AGGATGTTAAGCTTGAGTTTCCACTATTGTATCCATGGACAAAATATACTGTTAAGCTACAGCGTAGGGAATCGTTTTAATTCCTTGTCCGTATGTACTGAACTTTTTAACGACAAAACCTAATTTATTTTGTTTAATAGTGCTGAAAAACACACGGCCTGTGTTAATTTGTCGTAAATAATTATTATTATACCCGTGAATGATCGCATGATATTTTTTTTATTATAGTATTTTATAGTAATTGTTGCAGCCACTCGACTAATCAGCTGGGCTGCGATGTCAATGGGAAACAACTTACTTATCCAAATTTAAGCATTATCATGTTGAGATATTGTGTGTATAGTCAATGGTTCGACCCACTTGCAACATTATAGGCGTGGATGTCTAACATTAGTATTGATAACAAGGTACTGACGAACCACAGAAATCGCTCTGCTAAACAAACATTCGTGTTTGGGACGGAATACTATTCAGTTAACGTGTTTAGATTATTGATTGTACAAATTTAAGAGCAACGAGTTTCCATTAGTTTTTAGTTGGTGTTTAAATCTATAACTCGTATTTTACCAAAGCTAAAATGTATTGCAACTAAATCGAAAGATAACAAATAATAATAGAACACTTTCTTGTCATCTAGTGATACTGTAAAGCTATATAAAATATTAATTGACATGACCAATGCAAATGTTGTATTTGTTATTTTGGTTCAAATAAATGAGTTATGAGTTACCCTAAAAAAGGAAAGATTTTGTTTACATAGGCGCCCCAAACTCTTCCAAATGTGAAACAACACTTTAACAAGCTTCTAATTTTACAATAGGACAACAAGACCACTAAACCTTAATTTTAACACCTCAATCATTATTTTATCACAACAGGTTTTTTAGAAATTCTGTTACAAAGTTAACATTGCTCTTTCGGGACTAAAATCCAATACGGCTACCACTGATGAAGACTCTTAAAAATCAATCCAAACTCCCTGAGCGAAACAGTGTTGCAGTCTAGCTTTGCTTGTCTACTCGACTTATGTTACCAAACCTGTTGAATTTTAATAAACTTAAACCGGATATGCAAAATAGTTCTTGTTCTGGCATATATGTTAGATCACTTATTCTGTCTCGTTTTAAAATATGGTCAATTAATCGTAAAGGTATCTGGAGCCAGAAACATTCTTGGTTCAGTTTATAAAAATGTCCAATGGAGAAATACCTTTCGTTAAACGATGGATTACACCATAGCCTAACCGTATGTTTTATCTATGATTACACATACTCCTTTTGAAACAAGTCGTCCTTATGGATCAGCTGAAGACAATTATATTTTAGGATTGGTTTATGACCAGTTTTATGACCAGACTGGAAAGGTATTTTTATTTTATACTAGTTCTTTCTTACTATTAAACTAACTTAAAACTTAATATTTGGTAAATTACTACTTGACCAATCCAGCATAATTTTACCTCTGGTATTGTAGATAAATATGCACAAACAGTACAATCTACCTTGAAATAAGTGAGCAAAAATAGTCACCATTAACACACTCAAACGTTACCAATATGAACCACATGTCAAAACCGGCTTGCGTTGTTACAATAGGCTGATAAACAAATCTGCTAGATTTTCAAATTTAATGGTTTTACGTTCTTATTATACAGTATGAGCAGCTGTTGTGATTATTACCATAAATAAAACTTACTCCGTGGTTAGTCTATAACCATAGATGAAGTAATATAAACAAACCATAATTGCACCACTCAACAATTAAATTGGCCTGAACAGCTGATTAGTTGAACTTCAAATCATTACAATTTTACTTCTTCTCTCTCAATACTTGAACCTCATTGGTTCGTTACCCATGTTGTTAAGTAAAACTATGCTGTTTTGAAACTAAACAATGCTGTAATGTAAAACTTATCAATTCTAAGAACTGAACTGAAACGGCTACTAAAAAACGATCGTAGGTAAAGAACTATTCTGTCGAAATTGTGCTGAAAGTGCAAGCAAATCCTACAATAAAAAAAATACTTAATAAAACCTAAACCTAGTTTTACGCCGTTTACGTCTATGTCGTTAAACTATCAATCAATGAAGTAACCGTGACAACTCAAACTGTAGTGATGTTAGTCACTCTTATCTCAGTGCACTAGAGTGAAGTGACGCTGATATTGATGACATGTTAACATAATGACCATGTACGACATAATGACCGATAAATGACCTCGGGCAATTCATCGCATCCTTGACCGTTTACTGTGTAGAGCAAGCCTACTTTGTAGCATTTTTACTAAAATTTAATAATTTTACAATTTTACACTAAGAAAATTAAAGGGATGTAGGATGATAGATAAGAGCCATATAGCATGAGAAAAGTCATAGAAGAAACAGGGTGACTCTCATAACTATTGATATCAGACAAAACATTGGTCCACGACGATGAACCCCCAGGAATAAGCTAAAAACCTTGTTTAAAATTTTACAGTATTAGTAAACCTCCGGTTTTTGTACACCCTTTACTCAACAAAATATTTTAAGTTATTCCTTGGGATTGTATAGTTTTTATTTCACAATCGTGGGACCAATGGTTAGTCTAAAATCAAAAGTGAACACATTATGAGATTAACTTATATGTTATATATTCAATGATCATAGCTCTCAACTGTAGCATTGAATATACAAGTCACAGTTCCGGTGCTTCGAAATTCTAGTAATCGATTAATGCCACTAAATGAACACACGAGTAATAAATAATCGATCAACTATTTAGCAGGTAACAATTTTATGCAAGATGACCAATGATTGAAGAATTAATTTTCATCCTGGTTGGGAACTTGTTATGAAAGATAGTTCAAAGGACAATTTTCTTGATAGGCATTTTACATGGAAGTTGGAACTATTGTTATAAAACTGATATAATAATCTCACAGCGCTATTTAAGGTACAGTAGTGTATTAGTACTGTAAACCTTTACAGGGTGGTAAAAATGTAGGTGTATAGGGATCGATTTCCAACTGACACTCCGATCATCATCAGGCCCAATAGGAGACTGACATTCTCACTGAAGAAGCTGATTTAATGCAATAGATTGATCTATGTAGTACGGTTATTTTTAGAAAAGTTACGTCAATTACTAAAAACTATTTTATGAAGCCTACCATTACAAAATAAATTTATACCAGAGGTCGTCCAGTGGTCGAAAACTCGTCCAAAAATATCTAATGTACAGACTTCTCTATTTTCACCCCACGCTGTAAATGAAACACGTGATTGGAATTTCTTCCATTTGTTTTGATTTTCTGTTTATATTTCGTTGTTATTTCGTCACCAACATGGCAACTCATAAGGCCCATGTTGATAAAAAAAAACGTTAATTAATTTTTTGTGCTTATTTTTGAGCCTATTTTAATTTATAAAGGTATTCTGCACACCTACAGGAAAATATTTTTCTAACAGTGTAGATTTTCCCTACTATGCACAAGAGCTGAGAAAAAAAGGTTTTAAAGAAACATGCTTGCCTATTAATTAATATACAGATATAGATAATTTTGCAGTAAGCCTAATTAAACAGCTCGGAATTCAACACAAAAATAAAAATAAATAGTTCAAAACTATAGATAGACGATAAATCATTAAATAAATGTGTTTTAAATAGTGCAAACTGATAGCAAACTTACAGTATATCCTCTCTTAAAGAGCAGATACATCTATCATCAACTTATCAAATTAGGATGACAACTCTATTATCTATCAATCCATTATACAATTGAGTATTTTTTATCCATTTTCTAAATCAGAAAGGTGAAGAGACTTTCATTTAACATAAAATATGTATGTGATCGTACAGTAGGGTAATTCATCAAACAATAACTTTAATTGTATTCACTCATTGTTATTAAATTATTGTGGACGGAGTCATCAGTTTTGACATTTGTTTGTTTTCACGTCCAGTGCCTTTGGATGACTGAAATCTGTCATCGCTTGCTGATTGGTTCCTGGAATCTGGAACCCAACTTCAGCTGTCTCTATACCGGTAGACATTTCTGAATTTCGATATGACTAATCAAAATAAAACTCTCTTGATTAATTCTCTTGATTGTCATTTGTCATTTGACACTTTTCCTATCAATTAAGGATGTTATCAAAACGACTTTATATAGTAACGATACCAGAGTTCGTACCAGTCCTTTAAAAACATTACAACGCCCAAATAATAATAATCAATACTTAAATAAACAAATATAAGACATTTCTTTGCACACCAGTATTTTTTTATTTTATTTAATGTTAGGCTTTAGATAACCAATTGAGATGAGGATAGCAATAGGTCTATTGTATTTTAACCCGAATATAAATGAAAATATATGTATCCTGCAAAACGATTGTTCAAAACAATAATGCCCTTTAAGCTAAACGTGCAATGCTTGGCAAACAAAAAAATTAAGCTGCTGCTAAGCCCACACAAAATCCAAATATCTATTTCAAGACAAATTTACAAACGTAAATACCGTTTTAATAAATTCAGTAAATTCACTAAAGGGATCGTGTAGAATGGAGTGAGACTATCTGTGTGGATTATTGTTGTTACTGAACTGACTAAAATCAGAAGGGTCTTAAAGCCATGGAAATTTTCTAAAATCGCAAAGATTAAGTCAGCTGGGTCCAGTTTCCGTACAAGATTAATCTCAGGATCAAACCGACAACCTTTGGATAGTAAGGCGAATACTTTGACCCATCTACCCAGCGGTTTGACTCATGTTCTAACCGATGAAAGTCCATATGGGATCAAGAGCTCTGCCATACAATTTCTTTAAATTTCGATACTGTGAAAGATAAAAAGTTGCACTACAGCTGCGTTAGGTAAAGTTATACGAAATTACACAAATACACCATTCTTGTAATAATGGTGGGGAACCATTACTGCAAATATATATATATATATATACAAACAGTGCTGTAAATTATTTAATTTTAATATTGGAAGATAAATCAATAAATTGAACTCACTCTCTGGTTGTCGATGATCGCTAATCCCAGTACACAACACGGGTAACACTGTCACTCCTCGCACGTCACGTCCTGGCCGCACGTCGGACGCTGACTGTGGTCCGGGGGCTCAGCCCCAGCCGCTCCCTACCCTGGCTCTCCCACCAGGCACCCAGCGGCAAGAGGACCGACACTATTAAAATCAACCCTGTGTAAATTAAGTTTATGTAAACTAACTTAACCTAACCTAACCTGACCGGTACCTATTTTAACCTAACGTATACCCGTACACCAACCTAACCAAACCTAACGTTATCTTTGAACCTAACCCTACTTAACATATTCCAACCTAACCAAGCCTAACTTTTTCCAACGTAGCCAAGCCCAACCGAACCTAACCTCTTCCAACCTAACCAAACCTAACGTAATCTAACCTAACCCAAAATAGCGTGGTCTAGCCTAACCTGACATAATCTAAACTAAATTAGGTACGGTATGGCAAATCGTAATTGTGGTGGCCCTCATCTTTAAAGCCCTCAATTTTGAGATTGTTGTAACGTTAACTAGATATCTATAAATTTTCATTTTTTAATTTGAGATGAAAATGGTGTCCATTAAAAGTGTATGTATAATAAAATAAATAGTATATTGCACTAGAAGGACGGAAAGTAGGTGTATACTGTACGAACTATAGTTCCTGTGCGTTGCTTGCCAAGAGCGGGATTTCGTGTGATTACCGCTCCTCCCGGGTTAAGTTGCGTACTATACATTTTACCCATACTACCAGCAACAAGTTGTTTACTAATTTAGACATACTGTATAATAGAACAACATAACCTTATTATCTCTATTGTTTCGCTACTTTGTTATCATAATACACTAACTCACACCTGTGTTTGGATTTATCAGGCAGCAGATTTTGGCTTATTTCCTTCAAGTCAACTATTATTTGATGTGGAATTTCACCTTCATCTTCTAACATGTAAATTATCACAACACTCCTCGCCGGCGCTCGTCAATCGAAGTGATTCAACACTACACGGGTTTTCATTGTTGCGGTGTTGCGAGTCCATACGCGCCTGATTGTTTACGTCAGCTGATTTTACCCCAACTGTCTTTTCTATTTCTGTAAACAACTTTTTATTTTCTAACAAGAATACAGGAAAGAAAATATTTCATCACTTGGTCTTAGATGACTTTTTCGATACGAGCCCAAGTTTCATGTCCGAGGAAAATAAGCGAGGGTTGAAAATACACTTGTCCTACATTATGAACTACATTTTTCGTTATATTATAACACAAACTTAGTTAGAAAACGAAAACACAGTTCTTAGCTTGTACAGATAACCTCTCAAAATCTATTATTCTAATTCCGTAAGGAATTTCTTGTGCACAGCAAAACTCTTTTATTTATTAACCGATTTTGATGATTAAGGTGTCAAATAATAGGGAATTCTCTGTAGAAGTCATGGAATAACTTTTGTCACGCTCAGTTCAATGTGCTTTGCTCCATTGGACTTAAAGTTTTCATGTATTTTAAATATACAAGTCAGAATTTGTTAAGATTACCTATAACATATGATTCATTTCTTAAAAGAAAACATCTGTCTTCATAAAAATAGCCTGTTTCCCTTCTGTCATTTTAATATTTACTTTTTCTGTTTACCTATCAGTTTACTTTCAAATACAATGATTACTCGCAGAGAAGTGAGATGGGATAGTTTATTTATGCAGTTTCATTCATAGGGAGTAAAAACCAGTCTATTTCATTATGTGATTGTATTTTATTTTAAGATAATGGTGTGTTTAACGTTTTCATAGATATTTTTATGTGTTGTGTTTTCCAATTATTAATTTTGATTAGCCTATCATAAAATTCTACCTAGAAGAAACAATCCTGTGTTTGCGATTCGGCAACGTACTAACAACAGAGATGGTATGATAAAACATTTTGAAAAGTTACCTATGCTGGTTTTTGAAGTTCAAAGAAATTGTATGCGACCACTTGATTTTTTTAAATATTGCACGAACAGATACTGTCACAAAACAGACTATTTTGACTTAGGAGATCTAAGCGTACAGTACAAAACAGATTTAAATTGCCAATAAAATTAAATGAGTCAGTGTCAGTCTCCGGAATAAAATGCAATAGTAACGAAGCTAAATATTTGTAAAATAATATTATAGGATGAAGCTTCTATGTCCAATAAGTATGCTTTATCGTCTGCAGAATGATTACTGCGAAATATCGCCAAAAGAGATGGCCAAGCAAAGCCTTTTGGTGGAAAGGTTTTGGAGGTAATTTCCAGCAATGAGCTACCATATAGTCTCTGGTGCAAGTCGCTGTGAAATGGTAGAAAATTCAATAATTATATCACCTTAATGGTCAATGTTTAAAAATGCTTCACTTGCTAAAAACATGAGAGCAAATTCAAGGGAATCAATATTTGCTGGATATCTTTTACGAATAAGGATGGCCAAGAGAGCTACCTTAATGGTCTTTGTGAGACATTGATAAGTCTTCCACCACAATGTATTCCGGATAAAAATAGGCTATCATTGACGAAAGCTTCAGTGAAGGATTCTCTGAAGTTGCTTAAAAAAAGACAAAAATCATGCAATAATTTAACCAAAGATAATGACAGTAGAGTTTACTACTCAGTGGACACTTTGATTCAAGAAGAGGAAGACCGGTTACATGTCCCTGATGAATTTCTCCACACTTTAGCACCAAGTGGTTATGTCTCACAAGTTATGTTTATAAAAAGGTGGAATTGTAATTTTACTAAGAAATTTAAATCCATAAAAAGGACTGGTTAATGGAACCAGAATAATGGAGAAAGAGATTAATGACAAAGTCTTAAATATGAAAATGATTACTGCAAGTTCGGCTGGAAAGCGAGTATTATTATTCCAATTAAGTTTAGAATCGTCAGAGGTAAATTTTCTCCTGAAATTCAAACATCTGCAGTTCCAATGCCAAATTGCTTTTGCCATGACCATCACAAAAATTCAAGGACAGACACTTGAAAAAGTTGGTTTTATCTGCCATAGCCCTGCTTTCAACATGGGGCACTGTACATACCGCGCTTTTGATTAACTAAAAATAATGGTGAAAAAACAACGAAACCAAGGTCTTCTGGTTAAAGACGTTATTAGAGTGTTTGCAAAAAAAATCGAATGGAAAGAGTTTCACCTTTAAATGTCAAAAGTAAGATGTAAATGTTAACTGTTCTGTCAGACAGTATTGGGTAATCCGTTAAAACCTTTATTAAAACAGTAGCCTATTGAGTATTGACTTTTGATTTATTATGTAGTGAAAAGATAAAATTGTATTTAAATTATTAAAATGACATTTAAATGTAGTTAATATTATTAACTGGAAACAACTAGTTACTTCCAACTTGTTTTCAATTTTGCTAATACACACAAGCAGCTGATAATTTCGTATATTACGATTGTGTTAGTGTACTTTTACTTTCGATATGTCGAACTTTAAAATATGTGTTCCTATTCATTAGACATTGTAGTGAATAAAACAAATTATTATATATTGGCCTTGTTGAACATTTAAATTTTGTTATACATTCATTATTGTTGTAGTTTTTAAAGCATTTTTTCAATGTAAGCATATGCGCTGCTTAGAGCAATAGGATCATCTACTAAAGGCATACACTTATTTTCGGAAAACCTAAATAAAATCAAGGTTTTGTATGAACACTATTTAATGTTTCTCATTATGTTAAAAATCATTGGTAGCTTAAATAGGTACCTATGCAGTCTGCATTCAGTTTCTGGAATGCATAACAATGTAAGTGTTCACGAACGAACTCTAATGGTGCATCTTATTTAATTTAGTTATGCTTTTAAGATTACTTACAGTATGCAATACCTTAACACCCCCCTTCCATCGATTATACATTAAGAAACGTGCTTGGAAACCGCGTCGTCATGGAAAAGTATAAAAATAACAAGTTAAAATACAAAGGTATAACCACTTGGTGGTAAAAACCATCCATCGTGTAATCGGCATAAATCAGTAATTTATTTCAGAGCAATCTCAAGGTGGCTCACATCAACTAAGACAAATTTGATTAAAAACCTGGCGACACCTTTTAACATGGGGATGTAATGTCTAGGCATAACGCATTTTATTTTTTAACCATGTGGAAACCCTGAATATATTATCTAGCTTAAGATTGAATCGTCCTTTTTTAAATTCACAACAAACAAGGAATGAGTGAATGTAGCACTTCGCACGTCCATCTTAATTTTAATGCTGGGTTAGGCCGAACTGGGAGGTGAAAGATGTAGGGTACTTTTTCTGGAGGGTTTACTGCATTTGAAAATTTATTCGTCCTCTGCTATGCCTTTTTTTACAATAATTCGGTGCTTTACTTGTTCCCGTTGATTTTTTTATCAAGTACATATCGTGGAAAACTTTTGATTGTAATGTATGAATATGTTTTATGAAAATAAATAATTTTGATCAAATTTTTCTCCTTATGCATGGACTTAACTTGTCACAACGCTTTACAATCCCTAATGAAAAAATATCTGTTTGGACTTTAGAATAAAACCAATAACGTTGTCGTAACGTGGACACATAGTGGAAAGAAAGTGTAATTTGATATGAAGAAAGTGGATTGCTTTTAACATACGGAATGGTTTATGATCAAAAGTAATTGAAAACGACTCTTGTTTTCAAGAGTGACGTGCAATTGAGGTTATAACGTTTCCAAAAGCTTCTCTTCGGAACCAACTTACGTCCATGGGTTGTAGGGCGAGGAAATTGTAGGAGAGATTTATGCTCTTAGCGCAAGTGTTGTGTAACGTCTCAGCACGTTCGGACAGTCGGTTCCGTAGTTTTTGCATTCTTCCGGAGACCGGAACAGACACAATACATCTTCATACCAGAGCCAGACTACAATAGATTGATAACTGATCGACAAACCATAAGATAAAAAAACATAACACTAGTCTGTTTAAAATTCAACTAGTTTTGCAGGCGCGTCATTAGGGGGGGGGGGGCAGGGGGGGCATGCCCCCCCTGGATCCTGGGCTAGAGAAAAAAATATGCTGTACGAGCCAATATACAAATATTTTCTCCTGTCAAATCCTAAAAAGCACAGCAGACAAAAATCTTTATATTCATGTACAGTTTGGAACAAAAATTATTATTGTTTTATTGTCTTAGATAGCACATTTTGAGTTTACATAAATTAGTAGTTTTGTTATTCATTTACTTTTTTTTGTTTGGTGCTGTACGATAAACCACTTACTTATAGTTTATATATATATATATATACATAAAAATTCAGATTTTTAGAAGCATTGCTTTGTCATTTACTTTTATGGATTATTCAAGCATTAAAATTATACATGTGTATAAATTTTACGTATTTTTTTTAACATTGTAGACTACCAATTTAATATAGTTAAATAGAACCTTTTGTACTTTTGTGTCAAATTTTGTTATTGGTGATAAAATTTGATTTGCTTTTAAGTTCTTAAATAGGTACTTGTATTTTATTTAAAAACCAAAATAAACTGTTATAAACTATAGGCTATGAACAACCGTATTCATTGCTAAATGTTGTACAAGAGAAATTGGTCATGAATCTAATAACAAACTTAATATTAATACATCATGGAACTATTGATCAAGTTTCTTATAGATGACTAACTTACCAACATAAAATTATTGTGTTTCTGTCTGTTGTCAATAATTCAGTTTCATTAACTTTCTGTCTAAATTTAAATAAATTTTACTCGTAATTTTTTTTTATTTGAAGTGTTTTTGACAATCAAAATAAGCTTAAACCCCTCTTTTTTGTTTCAAAACTGCTAAATTTTCCGGGGGACCCCCCCTTGTTTGCTGGGGGGTATTCCATACCCCCCGGTGTTTGCCCCCCCCAAGGATTTGGTGAAATGACGCCACTGTAGTTTTGTCTCACGTATTGTCAGAAGATAGTAAGAGTGAGAGGGGAGAGGGGGAGATGGCCAGTGTCGAGGTTGAGGTTATCTCTGTCATTGCACAAGACAGGCAGCGGGTGAATCCTGGAACAGCTGATGATCACTGGGACAAAATCAGCTGATCAGTCATTTGTCTGTAGACAGTCCTAGGGGAAAACTCGCCAGATCATCCCCCGAGTACTCCAACAATAGAGGGAACACCTCCAGGTGTGCGCAAGGTCGAGCCATATAGGTCATTGGCTGAATCACCTAACCTAACCTTACCCTTTTATTCTCTTCCTCGGGCTTTGTGCACGCTTTACTTAAAGTTGGCGCCATACTACTGACTCATTTGAATTCCCCTTGATCAACAGCTGTTTGTATAGGTGTGCTAGATATGTCTTGAGATCTAGATTGTGCTTGACGTTCTCGATATTTAGAGTCAAGACCCATTATAGTCATCATCTCTGTTATCAGTTATGTTTTGAGTTTACTACTATTGGTAACAAACTTATTATATGGGGTTGTGATATAGTGTCTGAAGTTCTTTAGTGTAACTACAACACAATATTTAAGTTAACTTGTTTTCTAAACCCCTCCTTATTAAAATTGAGAACTGGTATTGCTCTTTGCCATGTCTAAAATAATATCCACTCTCAGTACTGACTAGCAACTTCTTACAGTAACTTGTATCAAAATCTTCACCTTGTTATAAGCCTTGTTCTCTTAATTTTCTGGGTACCGGTACTGTGTAACTTCCTTTAGTCTTTGGTTGAAATGCCAGAGTGACAAATAGTAGTTTAAATATTGTTTATCTATATTTATAAAAGAGGAAGTTTGTATGTATATATAGGGCGATTGATAAGTGTGCCAGCCGTTTTATTCGATAACTATAAGAGATATCAAACAAATTTAAAAGGAAAGTGCCTTGGATTTTTTTTGTTAAAAAAATTGTAGTCAAGTCGAAAAAATTATTTTAGCCGCCATTTTTCCAATATGGCCGCCAACTTTGATTTTTCTTATGGAACACCCTGTATTTTATGATGTATTCCGGTAGAAAATGTAATTTTAAGACGATTTTATTCTTGTAATTTTTTTCATAAACCTAACAGTTTCAAAGATAATAATGGTTTTAAGTTGTGAAATATCATATAGTTTTCGAATAAAACATCTGTCATGCTTGCTTAGACCTTTATCAAAACTCTTTCTCATACCGAAACTTCAAAACTTAAACCATTATTATCTTTGAAACGCTTAGGTTTATGAAAAAATCACTAGAATAAAATTGTCTTAAAATTACATTTTTTACCGGAATACATCATAAAATACAGGGTGTCCCGTAAGAAAATCAAAGTTGGTGGCCATATTGGAAAAATGGCGGCTAAAATATTTTTTTCGACTAGACTACAATTTTTTAAATAAAAAATCCAAGGCACTTTCCATTTAACTTTTTTTGACATCTCTTATAGTTTTAGAATAAAACGGCTGGCACACTTATATCAATGACAGTAATGAATCTTTCAGGCATTATTAAGCATTATTCAAGGATGGTTTCTGTGAAGTTTGGTGCAGATCCGTCATAAGGGCTCCGCCCTAGTGGCTCTGGAGTTTCCTATATTAACCATATGAGTACTTATATTTAAATGGAATTAAAGAATCTTAACAGCTGGTTCATCTAGACAATTTGATTCTGTGATGTTCAATAGCATTAAAAAGTTAATAGGTTTACCAACAGGTTGCAGCACTATTATTTTTAATTTATGACAACAGATAATTTGCAACCCAAAGGTGAGTGAGCGTAGCGAACGAACTTCATCCTGGAGGCGAGTTAGTGTAGCGAACGAGCTAAACCTGAAGGCAAGTGAGCGCAGCAAACGAGTCCCAGCCTATAGCAAACGAACTTCAACCAGGACGTGATTGAGCGATGCGTCGAGCTCATCTTGAAAATGAGCGAGCATTTGACATAAAACCACATTAGGACAGGACGACGTCTGTCGGGCCAGCTAGTAATGGTTAAAATAATATTATAGTTGGTGAAATAACTGTAAATTAGTATGTACATCAGAATGTACCCACTCGATCTATACCGGCAAAACACACCTTAAGTTTGTCTTCAGCCAGTGTGTGGTGAATCTATAAGGAGTACGTATAATCATTTGTCTACAAAGAATGAGTAGACAGGTTATGGTGAGTGCCTCTTAAACCCAGAGTGCATTGAAATATAATAATAATAATAATAATAATAATAAGTTATAAGTTATAATAAACTTGTGCACTCCAATGGATACATATAATGGAGTTAATATTGGTTCCTAATTAACTAACAACCCTCCCAAATACCTGCCCGAAGCCCGGTACAAATTTAAAATTAGAAATTCAAAAGAAAAACCATTACAAAACTACCCTAGACGAGAAATTTTGTTAAAATGCCCTCCTTGACCTGTTAGGACAAGTGATTATTCTCTAAAGGTTGACATAATGTTTTACCATCCACATAATGCCAATTAAGTCAACCTGACGCTAACTGGCCGGGGTCAAACGTTGAAACCCTAATTTGTGTACTACATAATATGTAAAAGGAAATTATTAAATAAAAACTGCGCACAGAAAATATGTATATATTTAATAAACCTATAAATAATTCCTTAGTGTATCTGACAAGTTTACAAAATCACACTATAAAAATACTGAGAAAAGAAGTTCCTTGGTCACATAGACGTGAAATTATGTAACTTAGTAAATTCATATAAACTAAGCAATATATTTATATAAATAAACAGTTATATATTTAAGGTATATAATCCTCATATACATTATGCTTTTGATAATTCTTCCATAACTATATTGTTTTCAGTAACATATAATTAACTTATCTGTACAAAACAAAAATTATAATACATATAAACAGCTTAATAAAATAAAACTATAAAGCCAGAAAACTGCAACAATAACAATGTCTAAAAGAAAAAAGTCTACTTGTAAAAATCAAACTAAGCTCATTTGAAAATATCTACAAGAAAAAACAATACACTACAATAAATTGACTCAAAAGAGAAAATTTACAAAGGTACATAAGAAAAATATACACTGTTAAGACGACTTAAGGGAAATACGTAGGCCTAGGCAATAAAAATATACTCTTTTTTAAAGGACCTAAAAATTACCTTAAAATGTTTTCAATTAAATTTAACATACAAATTTATCAGCCTTAATTCTTATTATTTGGCAAACATAAATTAACTACCTAACATACCATAACCTGGCACATAATAAAATAAAATATTAAATTCATGGAGTTTACAATTATCCTTAAAATTTATCCAAAAATATACCAACAAGAACTAGTGTTGTTGGCCTTTACTATAGATTAGTAGCCTTCTTTTTACGAAATAATGAGGATAAGACGTTCTGTCGCTTGTCTTTACGAGGGCCGGCTGACTGTTGTTCGTTTTCACTAGAACTCTCGCTCGGACGCCTCGAATCTGTGTTGGTAACGAACGTCGCAGGCGGAGGTGCAACGTAAGGTGGCAATGTGGACGATCTGTTTACGTTCATGTTGATGTTGGGCTAAAAAAAACCATCAGATTTCTGTTAGAATACATCATTTGACAAAAAAAAAATATAATATATTTTGGAATAATTTGCAAAGGGCAGACCAATGCAAATCTCCCTTTTTAGTTTGACTTGAGCTAAGAGTTAATCAGCACAGGTTTTTTGTTTTGAATAAACAACATTGTAAAAATATAATTTAATTAGGCCTACCTGGTTATTATTTGGTTGTCCAGCTCCAATATTTCCATAAACTGAAACAAATTCATAACCTTTATGAGGAAAAACAGATAAGAACAAAGAACTATAACAATTGGATATTTTATAATTTTATTACTAGCAATGTAAGTAACCCTATAAAACATTATCAAGCCTTTGAAATGGGACTTTTGTGGCGAGTAGTGATCAATACTTATTATCACAATGCGAATAATAACTCTAAATAGTTAAGTTTTAGTTGTTAAGTCTTCATAGCATATTCAGAACTTAGTTAAAAGTTAGCTGTTTGAACAAAATTGTTTGTAATAAAAATTATACATTAGTGCTCCGGGTGAGCGAAACGGGAATATTTTGTTTAATTAGAACAGGCAAAGAATGTTTTTCAACGGAAAAGTAATGTCTGGGACAAATAAAACCATAAGGTGTCGATGATTGGTAATAGCATTGACTATTGAGTGAAGCTGTGAAGTTGGTAATTACTGATGAGGTTAGCTGAATGAAAATGAGCTATTTTTGTATACAAAGCAATATTTTTCAGCCATGTTAATTTTTATTCTAAAACTGGCTACGACTTTTAACATAGGAATAAAATGTCTAGTTCTATCCATGGTCCAGAATTGTGCCAACGAAGATCTACACTCTACAATCAGTGGTCAAGTTGAGTTACTCACTGGTGCCGTGCCGATAGCTAGAGTCTGCAGGCCAGGGGTTCCTCTGGGGCTGGATAGGAACTCCTCGTAGAGGCGGCGCAGACGTTGGCAGTGGCGGCGGCATCTCTGCAAAACAAACTTTCAGTTAACAAAACTTGCTGCCATTCCATTGACAGCTCCGCAGTGTACTTCAATATACTGAAAGATGCCAACTAAACTCCAATCATGTACAGACAAGCCACTGTGAAAATCTTGAATTGTGCTTGTCTTTTCAGGTGTAAGAAATTATCGTGGAAAAGAGTAATTAATAATTTGTAGCTTGCATGATTAAATGCACCCACTCAGTATTTACCTTGTTGAGGGTGAGAGTTGTGATACCATTCAGAGTCTCCGTTGTGTTGATTGTGAGAATTACTGAGTCGAGAATTACTTTGAGGATGGTATGACTGCGGCCTCGGGGCGAGTTCTACATCTGTAACAGACGAGAACATAAATATATCATCAACTTAATACTACATAATACTTTTTATTTACAGTAAAGTCAATGCTACGGTCATCAACACGTATGTTAGAAGAAAATTACTGTAAAAACGAATCCAACAAAGATTCTAACGTTATTCGAATATTTCGGATTTATAAAAACTAACCTGGCCGTTGCCGCAGTGTGGGTAGTGGCTGAGAGGGCACAGACTCGGTGGAAGAAGTCCTGACAGGTATGGGTGGGGGAGCCGTGCGAGGCGGCACCACCGGTACTGGCACACGGGTGGCTGAGCTGCGCCGGCGCGCCACCTCTGGCGTCGACCCTCGGCTAGAGTCTGAGCTGACGTCCGCCGGCGCAGACAACGGCAACTGGTGGTCTTGGCCTGGCGAACCCTGCAACACAAATACAACTATGTATCAAGATGTCATTTCTAATATGTACAGCCATTTCTTAATATTGCTATGATGGATATAACTGCTCGAAATTGAGGCTCACAAAAAATGTATCATACATTTTACTTATGATTTGATCCTCTAAACCCTTTAACAATCCATTTCTCCAATCACTAAGTCACCACATGAATGTTAGATAGGGAATTGCATCCACTGAGACTATTTAGGTGCACATGGGAATCATTTATGTAACGTTTTTTTTTTTTTAATAGCGTCTTGGACTAGTAAACCAGACATCAATGGTCTGAGACCGTTTTGCCGTATGCACCTACTTAACATGTATAACGTAACAGTACTTATTTTTTTGAGGACACCCTGACCTTTACTATACCCCAGTAGTTAATGATGATAGGCAGTTAATGGTTTTAAAATAACAAAAAAAGTCAGAAAGAGGTGTATTAAATAGGTAAAAAAAGGTGTTATTACAGAATTACGAATCTGCATTTCTTTGGTATCCATTACACAATCAAATTAAATCACTAATTTAAATAATTAAATCGGTTCTTCCCCAAATCAACAGGCACCCCTACTACATTCTGTTGTACCTTGTGAGTCTCGTCGTAGCTGAGCAGCTGTAGGCTGGGAGGCAATTTGGCGTGGAAGCTGACTTTGTTGACCCAATCCTCCATCTCCGCCTCACTGGACGCAGCAAACAAGAACTCCGATCCGTCAGTGCAGCACAGTCTGGAACATAGTCAGGTAAGTTACTTTGTAAACAATTTTTATAAACATTCTCGAGTAAGCAGCTGTTGTACTTGAATACTTTAGCCATATTGGTGTTTTAAATTCTGTCTAGTAGGTTAGCTTAAATCTATGTTAGTTGATTTTTTCAACAACTTACAAAATACATTGTGCGTGTTACCACTATTATTTCCAACAAACACTTAATCAAAATAACTTCATTTACCATTAGCCAAAAGCGGCCATTAGGAATTAAATTAATCACACCTCTCATTTAATCGTCTGGTAAAGCTTTGGCTACCTCAATGAGGTGTATTGATATTCATTGAGATAAGTTACATATAATTAATTTTTATACCGATTACTTGAATAAGATTTAATACCTGAAGACATGTTTTCTCTTGACATAATCGTCAGCCTTTTCACACTTGGCTTTGAAGATGATGACAGGAGACGTGGCTGCCTTGCTGGATACAAAGTCATCCTTGTCCTTGAAGAAGCACAACAGCTGACCACAGAGTACTGTAATGCAAACACAGAGATTGATGAAACAGCTAATTTTATCAACTACCATAACAATCATTGAGATTGGGATGCCACCTAGGGGCATATTTCAACACAAATATGACTGAAGGATGAGTGTAGAATGGTGTGAGATGATCTGTGTAGCTTTGTTACTGACTAAGATCAGCTGTGTAAATTAGTCAGAATCATTTATTTAAAGCCCATCAATCAGGGACAGCTGGGTCCAGTTTCAAACCATTAAAAATATTATTTTCTGTTAGACGAGCACTATAAACACTCTGCTACTCAACCAGTCTATGTGGAGGCATCTTTACTAGCAATGGACTTGAAGTATGACAATGGAGAAATTTTCAACATACTTTCTCGTCACCCCGTATAATAGTTGGTCACTTTCGATGTAAGCTTAACATTTTATTTTACATAAGCTAAGCTTATGTAAAATAAAATGTTTGTTTTATAAGCTTTAATTTAGGGCCAGAGAACCAAAATGACAAGCAAATCTTAACAAACGTTTGTTTCCACTTCAACCCAATTTTTCCATAACTTGACAAAACTAATACATCACATGTAATTAGAGTAGCCAAACTTAGTGTTTGGTCCATGACATTGTCAATAACCAGTTACAAATTACAAAAACGGTCATTGTTCACTGATGAAAATATTCATTTTAAAACTGCAAATTGGAATACAAGTTATGAATTGGTTTATGCTTTGATGGAAACAGGATTTGCAATACAATAATACAATAATAATAGCAATACAATAATGTGTTGTAATGTTAAAGGACTAATTATTTCTAAAGCTGTACTTATTTTGACAAATCAGTGTCAGTTTAATCAATACTTTCCTTTTTAATTATTGTAGAAGGGCCTACTTTCAAACAAAAAATCACAGCTAGAAAATTTTTATCTAAATCAAGGATTAAAAAGAGTTTTAAACGATCATCAAGTCCTAAATTGCAAAATAGCACCCAAGAATCAGAAGAAATCCACAAAAGTGACTCACCGGTATAGAACGACTTCCATGATCGCACGGCCGCCTTCTTGCCTCCACTCTGCAGTTCGTGTTTGCGTTCCAGAACGCCCTGTATCTCCACCGGAGGCAAAGCTTCCATCTGCTCCAAGCCCCCCTTCTGCAGCTTGCGGAAACTCTGAGTCCGTCTTCTCGTCGTGAAGCTCGGAGTTCTCTTGGGCTTCTTCATATCCACCTTCATGCTTTCAGCTCGTTTAACATCTGCACGATGAAAATAACAAGATAATTGCAAAAAGTTCAAACTATTGCAAAAATCTAAAATGTTTTTATGTATTGTCTCAAGAACATGAATTGAGAACACATTTTTGTCAATGACCTTTTTTTGGAAATTCAAGTGCAAAGTCATGTTTATTAGTAAAATATGTTCATAACAAATGAAAATTGGCTTAAAATTAAAACGTATTGGTAATTTTAGTATTCAAAATATCTGTTATAGTTAAAAAAGGATTCTAGGAGTCACTAACAGACTTAAGACTTCTAAAAGTTACCACACAAGATGTTACAGGGATTGTTTAAAAATACTTACTCAATCAGGTTACAGACTACTCAGATAGTCTGTGTGATGTACAAAGAAAAGATTTATCTTGTTATATGTTTGAATGTATACATTATTTTGTTACATTAATGAATGGAAATTAATCTACAGCTAGTGAAATGTACAGTGAGTTTACTTAGATTTCAATAACAAAAAACAAAAACAAATATTCCAAATATTTCCTCGTTTGTAAGATACCAATTTTTCTAGAGGAGAAATATAGAAGTAAAACTTTACCAACAATTTATTTTAAGACTTTGCACAATTAATGTTACAGTTATTGTGTACAGTTACTGAACAAAGTTATTGCATACAAAATGACATTTACCTTTTCTGCCCAGACGATCACCCAACAAGGATGAGATGCTGCTTGACTTCTGCAGATTGGAGACAGTATCGTTATCCTGGGAGAACCTGAACACAATTGGGACGGATCAGTTTACGTTGGTATCAGGAATATAGTAGGGCATAAAAATATGGGACAAAATATAAAGGTCAAATACACTTCATAAGAAGTGTAAAGGTTTAAATTTTGTTCAAATTGCTTATACAGTGTGTTAAATAAATGTAAATGTAAGTAAACAGTCAAACTCCGGGAAATGGTTCTAGGGGTAAAAGCTAAGAGAAAATCAAAATGAAACCATTCCAAAACTCCCTTTGTTAACTAGATAACGGCAATTTTGTAATTTTACTTGAACAACTTATTTTTGGATTGTACCTACGGATCTCTCTGAAACCTGGTATGCATGTTAAGGGTGCGTTCTACCTCAGCTCGGGCTTCAGTAACTATGTTGCGCCATTGAACAGCGCCGTGAGAAGCGCTTGCAGACATTCACGGCAACTGCCTTTGTAAACTACCCATACATACTAGTAAAAAACCATGAGTGGGCTTTTACAGAACAAAGAACAATCTATGCGACCCTGGTTTTAGAATTTTACAGTAATAATTCTGCAATGAGTTAAAGCAGTTTAAAGTTGCTGTTATATGACTACATTCAAAGATTTTCAGGCTTGGTACGATATTAAACATATTGAAACCACAACGATCTAGATAGTTTAATCATCTTCAAAATGCCACCCTAACTTTGATCTACGTTAAGTATAGCCTTCAGAAACACTGTTGCTCCAGACCCTTGCGTTTACACAAAATGGCAAGGATAGAGCGCACCCTTAAGGTAGAATAGACCCGTTCTAGAAAAAAAGTTATCTTGGACCAATTTAAAACTTTAAAATGGAGACAGTTTTTTTTCATTTAAATTGCGAAAAATGGCTGATTTTATGAAAATAATGTCAGGAACACTTTTATTTAGCATTTAAAATTTTCCACCAAACGACACCAAGTTCAAAAAGATCCATCAAAAATTGCAGAAATATCCAAATATCACAATTGAATTTTTAGTTGTAAAATGAGATAGAACGAGGCTAAAATAGTCAGATAGCTCTTCATTTTGAGGAATATGATTGAATATGATGTTATGTGATTATTGGAAAATAAATAATAAATAAATAAATATTATATCATTATATTATAAAAAAAAAAAAAAAAAAAAAATAGCAGGTATTTTGAAATTTTGAATTGGACCAAGATAACTTTTTTCTAGGGTCTCTTCTACCTTAACATACATACCAAGTGACAATAGGAGGAGGATGGGGAAGGAATCTTTCGATCAAAATTGTTAAGCAAGACAAAAATTCAAACTACAAACTATGTATATGACACTATTGTAGGCATATTTCTTAAAGAAATGTCAATAAAGAAATTGATTGATTGAAGTTTCATACAAAAAGCATGAGGATAGCAGGCTTACCTGAATGGGAAAGAGTCCAAACTGGCACAAGAGACACAACACTTTAAATTATACAAACAAAATTATAACATTTCACTGTCACTTAACATTTTCAACTAAGGAAGAGATAGTTTTTTAACTAAGAAAGAAAGGCTTTCTTGTGCCAATTTGTAAGACTCTTCCACATTTAAGTAATAATGCTATCCTTACAAAAAATACTGAAAACCTAGGCTCTTGAGCTCTATTTAACAACCTCAATAAAAAGCGTGTTTTTTATGTGAAACAACTATATAATGATTCTAGACGTAGCAAAGCCTTGTATACCTGAGCGCCTCCATGTCGGCCACAGCTGATCGAGAGCGTGCCAGCCCGTAGGAGCCCTGCGGCAGCGGCCTGTCCAACGGCACTGGGGGCTCCAACCGTTGGGGCTCATAGCTATCATGCATCAAAACTACTTAGTCAACATGCACCATGCAACTAGACACTACTGAACCGTGCTTCAAGTACAATATTGGCCAATTCATGCAAGTAAAGCAATGCAATGCAAGTAAAGCTGGTGATCTGTATTTCTCATCATATGTAAGAGTTTTATTTGGCTCGTATTCAAAAGGATTCAATCTGCCCTGAATTTGCTTGAACCTTGGTTAGACAGGATCAAAGTGAGTGCAAAAAATGTTATATTATTACAGTTAGAGCTCAGGTAGACTTGAAACCGTTTGTAATAATAATTACAATAGATGAAATAAGGCTTTAAAACTTGATAAATTTAGAAAACAAAATAGTTATGATAAAAAAACTTTGTACAAAGCTGACCCACTGAATATTAGGTTACATTTATAGATCAATATCACACTGTTGAATTCAACATTTTGGGAAAACAAGAGATGTTCATTGTGCCTAAAATAACCTGTAAAACCACTTTATCGTTAACTGTCATCACATGTTCTCGCATTTGTGCAATGATACGTGTTTTGTTAGTTCATGTTGGTTTATGAATTTAATTCTGTGAAAACACAAATCATGCTTTAACATTCCACATTTGCCTACTGCTAATCAAGACTACTGCAACATAAACATTTGGTTGTTGTTACAATGAAAATTTAAATGTGCTAAACGGTCCTGATTTCATTGATGTGATGATTGACATTTAATTTACTCAAGGTAATTAAAAAAAAAAATTTAAAAATGCTATTACAATTTTAATTCATCATATAATATCCTTTAATGGAATAATTGGCACAATTAATTAATGTAGAAAAGATAAGAATTTTGACACAAATATTTAGCGATATACGATATACACTGATCACATTAAATTTTTTATAAAAGAATCAAGATTAATTCATCTTTTTATTCTAAAGAACTAAAAAGCTGAGAACAACCCAATGCATCCGCACAAGTGCAAACTATGCCTACTGTTGCCAGCCATTTATCTTAGTTCAGTGGAGGAACTAGCTTCTAAAAAAATATTGTCAAATAAATAAAAAAAGACCAAATGCAAAAGTGCAGTCTCGCTACTGCAGGGGACAAGTACACATAATTTGTACGGCTCCCGGATCTCTGCGGAAAAAATGATTGAATGAATAAAAAAAGGAAAAGTTAATAAATAGTAGAATAATTTATATGAAACAAAATTATACATATTTTTTGTTACTCCATTGTGCAAAAAGAATTAGTAGAGCTAGAAAAAACAAATTCTAATATTTCAGTAAATCTTATAAATATTTTACTACATAGAAAAAGTTATGCGTATCAACAATCTACCACAGGAATATATGATCATGCATAGTTTAAAAGCCATAAAGGATTTTAAAACTCAACCAATCTGAAAGACAGGTTAGAACGATAGACAGAATCAGCTGTCTTTTACATTACTTTAGGAAGCAGAACCAAGCAGGTTACTACGCCAGAGCAAAGACTGATTACAAAGGTGTTACAAAATTAAGTTACCTTGAGTCAGCCAGTTCGGAGCCTCCGTTGTGTTCTGGGACTGGCCTAACTTGCGTTCCTGTCCTGCGTTCACCTTCCTTCCTCCGCTCCTGTACAAATAATTATATTTTACGCCACACTACAACTTCCCACTCAAGGATTTAGTCCAGAAATCAGCTGTTTCCACCACCTTAATCAGATGGGGTTTCATTACGTACTACTGCACTGTAATGAGCTTTTACCAGACACCAGCCAATTATATTTGACAATGAGTGAAAAAAAGAAAAAAAAATCACAAACCTTAGAGATTATGAGTAAGGTAGTCTTGATAGCATTATTTAGCATTAATGAGAGTGTTTGATTTAGAAATGGTTTGGTTTTGTTACTAGCATTAGATACAGTAAATTGCTCCTTTAATTAGGGCCGTTTACTAAAATAAACCAAGTTGGAGTTAAAAGGAAGATGTCTTCAGATCCAACAGTGCTTGGAAAATTTATAGTTGGGATTAATTTGAATCGTTTTTACTGCCTATGCTTTTTTCCAATGAAGAGTTTTCCAAATAAGATTACAGTTTTCTTCATTTTGCCTTGTTTAGAACTTAGAGTTTCTCAGCCTTATCAAAGTGATGATTTAATTTCTCAAAGAAAAAACGGACTTTTCAAAATAAATTTAAACCAGCTCATGCTTATTACTTATATGCATTGTTTACACCAGATCCTTGAGACAAGTTAATGCATGTCATTTTCACAACTTACATCAGTTATCCTTTGGACCTCCTTCCTCTTCCGAGCCTCCAGTCTCTCCCTCTCGAGTCTCTCTCTCTCCGCTTGTCTCTCAGCCATCTCAGCCTCCCGCTGCTTTTGAAACGCCTTCTCCAGCTGCCAGGACAGAATCACAGTTTACAAAACCACAGTTGATAGTAGCAAAACAATTATTGAGGACATACTTGCAAAGCGAAAGTTTTGGGAAAAAATGTAGTCGAAAAAGAAAAGCTAAGGTTTAACCACAACATAAATAATATATTTGTTTTGGGACAAGTTTAAATTGTGAAGAATTTCTCACACTTCTTGTAGAATCTCTCTTTGTAGTGCAATTGCCAAAATTAACACAATTTGCGTTAATTATTTGTACAACTTTGATAAGTCTCAAAATTATTTTGTTACAATATCATTATTAGCTGAAGGAATAGTAATTTTAAGAGCTACTAAGTAAAACCAGGTGGGATTAAGCACAGAAAACATACTACTATAACCCAGAATGCCAACCGCATGGTAAAAAGCATTAAGTGTTTTGAGAGAGCTTTGCCTGTCAATCGTAGGCAGCGCCACCAGCGTTGCCATGCACTCAGCATAGCAATGCTGGTGGCGCTGCCTACGATTGACAGGCAAAGCTCTCTCAAAACACTTAATGCTTTTTACCATGCGGTTGGCATTCTGGGTTATAGTAGTACGTTTTCTGTGGATTAAGTTAGCAACAAAGAAAATGAAAGAGAGGTAGAAGACAGCTAAAGAGAAGTAGAAATGAAATCAACATCAAGATGGTTTGAACATGTAAGAAGAGAGCGAAAAAATTAAATTCCAAGGAAAATGAAGTTCATAGAGATAGAGAACAAAAATAACCAACAAGAAGTTGGAGAGACATAGTGAAGGTACGGTGGGATATGGCTAAGTTAATGACAGGAGAAGATGGAGAGGCTTACTTGATCCAGACCCGGGAATACGCAGAACAGAAGAGAACCTCATTATAAGACAAAAACCCACAACAGCAAAGTTCCAAGAAAGGTGAGGTTTCTTGCATATTTCAGTAACTTTCAATCTATCTGCTCCAAGTCTATTGACTTACCAGTGTAATCCTCCTAAGTGCCTGGAACTTATCTTCTTGAGCCTGGATGGTCTTCTCAAAGTCCTCGTGTTTCCTCAGTAGATCCTCGACCTGAGGGATGGATTCTCCCAGTTTGCCGTCGTGAAGGATCGGCTCCCGAGACACGATCCAGTTCTCCAAAAGGTCTGCTTCTCGTTTGAACATCTACAAGAAACGTGTTTTAATTAATCTTGTAAGGTGACATATTCCTAGATGTAATTTAATATATGTGATGTTGATGTAATAACTATCCAAAATTTACTGCAAATGAACATTTAAAAATGGGAGCAAATCTGTAGACTTTTAACAAAATTACTTTTTTACCTGAGTGTCCAAGTTCTGTTCGTAGATGACTTTCCGTTTTTCCCACGTGTCATCTAATACATTTTTCCTCTGCTCCAAAACTCTTATTTTCTCCCGAATCTCATTGCTGAGGAAGTGATCCTGGAAAAGAAAATATTTTTTTAGATGAGATTATTTTTACACACACAACACAAGAGGGTAAGAATGGTTACGGTCAGTTAACATAATTTATAAAAGTAGTTTTATTTGCTAACTGTACAAAGTATATGATTTTACAATGTATAAATGCTGTCAATGCGTTTAAACTGTAACAAAACATCAGAATTCGTAACAAACAATTACAGTACTAAAACACAGTAATGATTTAACCTGACTTACCAGGGTTTTATTTGTTGACTTTAGTTCGATCACAATTATTACAATTATTATCGACTTACAATTATTAAAAGTACAAGTTGTAGTATCATAAACCATCTATTGGCAGTGTTCTCATCTTCTGATAAGAAGATGAGAACACTGCCAATATTATAAACACACCTCAAACCCGTAGAAATCAAGAATTTACCACCAATATTTTTACTTATTTATGCTAAAAATCATAATGCTGGATTTAAATATCAGTAAAAAGAGTTTAGAGTTGAGAGACTTAATTACACATAAAAAGGCCTTTTCCACTAATAATTTACATTAAGATACAGTCACAACATAAAGCCTTACCTCATCAACATCCTGTATCTATTCATGTTCAGACATGCAAAGCAAAATAAATGCGAAATCGGTATTTTAGTTTAAATGTTACAAAGACAAAATTTGTTTATTGAATTAACTATATTAAAATTGTAGCCTGTTCAAAAATTTGTAAGTTCAGCATCATGTAGCTTACAAACGAGTAGGTTTGGAGAGGGAACACAAAGAATAAATAGGTCTTGAAATGTTATGTACTTTCTAAAAACCATTAGCATAAATCCAGAATAACTTTTTAACTACTGAACTGAATGACATATTCTATTTAGTTCCTGATTCAGGATTAAATAATGAGTCATTCTGTGTATAATCGTTATGGTAACTAAAAAAAACAAGATTTTTAGGACACTTTTTATTCAAAATATAAAAAAGCTAAAAAAAAATTAAAAAATTAAGCGTAAACATAAATATTTTTAGTAAATGTAATGCTATAGGGGTTTTTATACACACAATCCCTTATTACTTTATAAAGAAGGTCTGGTGAAAATTTGAATACTATAAGTATAGTACTAATGGAGTTATTCTAACTTTTGTACAATAATAACCTAAAAAACACGGTATTGGGATAATCGCAGGTGATGTAACAGGTGATTGGCAGAACTAAAATCCCCATGACAACACTAGTTTATTATTTTATATTTAGGGATGGACGAGATTGGATTTTTAGTTCGAGACGAGACGAGACGAGATTTTTTATTTCTCATAAAATTTCGAGACGAGATCGAGACGGGATTTCTCTTCTCATACACAACGGGAAATGCACGTTCAAAATGTTTACCTGATTTTGTAACATTGTTAGATGACTGTTTAAATACAAAAATAATGATAATAGGCAAGAATATTTACAATCTTTTATTAAAAAAACATCAGCATAAAATTTTTTTATTAATCACGCCTAACTTATTAAAAATGCCTACGATTAGGAAACATAGTGATATCAGTTAGGATAGAGTTCAACTTATCCTAAAATAAAATAAATCATAAAATAAAAGCAATATTAATTTTTATAAAATAGTTACTTGTTTTGACTTTTTATAGTAATAAAACATTCTTCACACTGCTTACACTTTACAAAACTTCTCAAATGTTATTAAAGTAATATTATTAAAATAATTAAAGTAATATTTACATTTAAAGAATTAATTAAATAAGAACGCCTTCAGAAAGGAAACGCAACTACAACACGCTCCTGTATTGCGGGTATTGCATTGACTTTCTGCAGGCGTTTTAAATTTTTTTATTTTTTATTCCCGTCTTGGTAAAAATCTCGGCCAAAAAGAAATCTCGTTTCGTGTAACGAGATTTAAAATTTCCCGAAATTTCGAGACTTGACCATCCCTATTTATATTATATATAAAAATACCAAAGTACTTATTTTGTTTTAAATAAATGTACCCTACTTTAAACCTTCATAATACATAATTATGATACAAAATAAAAAATGTAAATATCAGGAACAAAAAAAATAAATAGTCCAAAATTTTGTCAAATTACTGGTTGCGGCGTTTTATATTTTATTTATTTTATACTAGGAGTTGTCAGATTGGAAACATTTTTTAGGTAAATGTTCACAACTAAATAACCTATCTAAAATGCAACTTTTGGAAAATGTAAAATAAATAAAAAATATGGCCCAGAGATAGTGGCGTATCCCCTTAAGAAAAACTTAAATCATGATAACTTTGATTAGGTTAACAATAAGGAGTGAGCCTAGCACAGGAGACCTACCTGGTTGATGAGTTGTCGCCCAGTTGCGTAGAACGCGGTGAAGGCGTCACTGCGACTGTCGATCTCGGCGCGCGACTCCTGGTGTCTAGAGATCAGTGCCTCTGCACCGGCCACATCTTGTGCGAGATCCGGCGCAGTCACCTTGGCGATCATCTCGTTTATCCACGCTCTGTAAGGTCAGCAAATTCATTGTAACTATAAATTAACTCAAGTTATCTTATAAATTAAAGCAATATTAAGTCATTGTTACGAGTGTCCCCCATACCGTTTAGTATGGCAGTTTTCCTTGTTTGTGTGTATTTTGTATGTTCTTAAACTGATTCTACCAGATTTTACAGCAGACATAAGTATTGTTAAATTAATGCTAGACTCTGAAGTTTATGTGATTTATTTTGTTTTTAACTGGTCACACTACTTGATAGTGAGCCCAGTTTTAAATTTGTAGATGAACTATAATTTTTGTCTTCTATCAACCTGACAAGTGAATTCAATAGGGTCGAAAAGGACCTATAGGTAGCCTATTCTTTTACAGTAAACAGTAACCTAATCACATAACGTGATTCATACTTGGCAGAAGTGCCGTTTTTCCCTCACAGCGGTCTCGGTTACTGTGACAAGTCTAATTACCACATAGGATATGGGAAGCAGTAGAATACGTCTGAAGTGTAAAGTTTGAACTAGTCTCTTTGTGATAACTGGAGCTTATTGAAGACCTTAATTTACCGACAACCCTTGTATTTTCTTTCCAATGATTGAAGGGACTCTTTCATTTCCTAACAAAACAGAACCTGTAGCAACTACATCTTGTCTCATCATTCATTTAAACTTTCACAGCTTTACACTCACATGAGTTCTCTGTACTGGTCAAAGTACGTCTGCAGCTGCTCGGCCTGGCGCAGTTTGTCTCGTCGCTGCTCCGCCTTCTCCAACAGCTGTGTCCAAGCATCCAATGTCTCCTCGTGCTTCACCTCGATGTGATCCCTTGCATCAGGGAACAGTCCGGCCAACCGTCCCGCCTCTTCCACTACAGACTCCACCTGTATAGGCGTGAAGAGTAAGAATTTCAGTTGGAACTTTTACTTGACGAAAGAAGAAAACTATTGGCTTATTTCAAAAATTACATTTTAGTGACTTTGAAAAAGAAATTTTGAATACTGTCAGCTGTTGTATACAGTTTCACATAGTCATTAAGATATCATTCAACTGGTACTTAAGCTGGGTCTCAGAGTAGTTGATATGCTCACCTGACTATCCAAAGGTTGCATGTTTGTTTCTTAGAGTCGGTTTATAGAAGTTGTTTTACAACACACCAAAGAACAAAATGCAGTTTTTATCAATTAATTTGTCCATGAAATGCATTAATCCTATCCATTTCTATTCATTACCGTTCAACAATTTTCCATTATTATGCTGTTATAGTCAGTTTTAAATGTTCCTAAAAAAGTTTAAACTAAAATAAAATCATGGCTGAAGAATACAAATGTTCATCAGTGAATAACCTACATAACACATCTCAGCCATATTTATTTTTTAATTTAATTGGTTTAAAATTAAGTTAAATATACTTAGGATCTATCAATAAATAATTCAACTAGGTACATTGCTTGCTACCAGGTGATATATCAGCTATATCAGATATGATCATTTTTCCACACATTTTTGGTACCTATCCTGCGTGAAAGAATTGTCACATCTCACCTGTTCCTTAACAGCCGCCAAGTCAGTCTGGAAGCCGTCGTGTTTGCGCACCAACGCCTGGATAGTCTCCAGGTCCTGGCCGTAGCCCTCGGCAGATATTGAAGCATCCTTCTCCTGTATCCATGTGATGGTCTCGTCAGCTGTTCTGTCAAACACATGCACCTGCTTGGCGCCTGCTAGAGCCTGGAAAACAACATTTTTAACTTAGTATCTAGTAGCCCCATATTTCCATACATATGTTTACATATTTGACATAATAAGATCTTATCTTATCTGATCTTATCTTTACCTAGGGTTCAAATTTATCATCAACAAAATACTAACCAGTTTAATTGCAAGTGCAACATTGTCAAAGCTTGCAACACGTCATAACATGAAAACAAATAAATACATAAAACATACACAAAACATGAAACTAACAATGATAGCACTATCATGACTATCTTGTTAGTTTCTAGGTACATTCGTATGTTTTAGTATTTCTTATTTTTTTTAATTCAATCTGTGCTTGTTTTACAACATATTCTTATTCCGTGTTTTATCAATAGATGACAAAGCAAAGATTTAAGTTTTTACACTTAGAATTGAGCCGTAAGTTGATTTTCCGAGCTTAAAGGTATAAAACCAAGAGTTTACCTCCTGTCGAGCGTTGGCCAGCTCCTTGAGGTCCTCCCACAGCTGTTTGGTCTCGGCCAGCTTCAGTTGTATCAGCTGGGATTGTGGACTGCCCTCAGACACTAGAGTATGGCCAGACTGTATACAAGACAACACTCGTCCCTCGTTACCACTCAGACTACTCAGGAATGTGTCAAAGGCCTGCAAAATAGTTCATTGCTTAGATTGTTTACATCATTATTACAGTTTTGACTACAGTAGACCCTAAAGCAACCCTAGATCAACTGCTGCTCCGATTAATTCACTAGGTGTGGCGTAATCAAAAATAGAGATCAGTTTCTAGGAGTTCAGGGACTTCCATTTCCTTCCTTACTGCATAAATAACATAGAATTGTCTCCATGCTGGTCTAGTTTTGTAACGAATCACATTGGAAAATTACACAAGAAAATGAAAAGCAGGAAAATCACTGAGTATATCAAGTCAATTTTTGAGTGATGCAAATTATTAATCATGGAAATAATTGGGTTTCAGATAAATATGAGTGTGGTGTATGTCTCTCTATAGAGCAAATGTCTCTATATTTACCCATTAAGCCACAGCTTAGACTTGTCAACTGATCTCAATTTACTCAGTCATACAAGTCTCAGAGTGTTGACACTTGCCCAATAGAGATGTTTCATACCTGTATAAGAAGTTCCACATGTTCTACATCTCGGCCGTAGTCCTCGCTAGCCGCGACAGCCGTCTGGTCTCCAATCCACTCCGCCACCTCCTCAGCCTCTCGTACGAAGCGGAACACTTTGAGTGACTCCTTCAGTCGAGTCTCTCGCACCTTGGCTAGTGACTGCAGTGAATTCAGCTCTGTTTCTATCTGCGTCTGAAAACATACATTCATTTAATGTTTGACAAAAGAACTTACATATTTGGTCCTAATCAGTTCTAAATTCATGCAGAGCCCTAAACATTGAACCCTATGTTCAGAGGTGCCCATCCCCCCCAAACCCAGAGGCGCAATCCCCCCCCCCCAATTTATGCTGTCGTCTATTTAAACCTACCCTCCCCCACCAATTTATCTGACAATTTCCCCATTACCTCATAGAACGAGCATTTCAAGTATTTAGTAAACTTGGAGGTACAAAAAACAAACTTGCTGATAAGCAAAATTAAATGTTTAATAGGAAACGTCATTTAACAATACATCATTATATCTAACTTATGGTTGAATTAGCTTTTCAGAATTTGTATTGTCAGCCAACGTCTGACAACGTTTGTTGTAAACAACGTCTTCAAAACATTCAACAATATACTCGGTGAGTTACTCTACTCCAACACAGTGTACTGTAACTGTACAATATATTAGGTGGCGTTAATTTTTACAGGGCTTAAGAATTCAATTCAATCCGCATTTGAGTGCATTAATAATATTTTGGAAAAAGTATCTTGTTTCAAAATTATAGACAGAGTCTTGAAATAAAACTGACTTGTTGCTCGCCACTCCCAGGCTGCCTTCTACAAAAATCGCCGGGCAAAATACCCACAATACCAATACCTTATAATAATTGCCACCAGTACAAAAGGTTTTTGTGACGAAGTAATCTTATAATACATGTTGATAGCCCCAGGATTGTCTTTTATGAATAATAATGGTAGAAACGCATCTTGTCAGACAATCCGTTTGTACACAAAACACAAAGCGATCAGATAGGCCTATCAATTCACACGTGTATATTGCCGCGGGCAGGACTGGAAGTAAACTGAATCTGGTTATGACAGAAAGATTTGGTCACTGGATTGTCGTCTGTGTTATCAAAAGCTGATATTGGACTAATTGTAGTGACGGAGGAGAGTGTTGAAAATATAATGGGATTCGTAATTGAGTTTTCCATTCAAAATTATTGAAAATAATAACCAATTTATTTGATGGATATAAAGTGATGGTCTCAAAATTCTACAGTACTGCACGAAAGGAAATTTATTAAATACTTTGAGGAGTTTGAAATACATACATACATAAAACTGGAGACAGCACAAAATTTTTGAGCGAAAACACTCAATTAATTATGAATCTTACTAATATTATAAATGTGAAAGTTTGTGTGTTTGTTTGTTTGTTTGAAGTTCAATCACACATTAACTACTGGACGGATTGGGCTGAAATTTGGCATGATGATAGTTCACATTCCCGATTAACATGTAGGCATATTGTTATCTCAAAAATCCTTTCGGGCTCCGCCCCAGTGGCTCTGTAGTTCCCCATGTTAACCTTATGAGTATTCATATTTAAAGGGAATTAAAGAATTTAGTCAGCTGTTGCACTAAAAAAGTTGGTTCTATGATATGCAAAAGCATTAAAAAGTTATAAGATTTACCAATAGGGTGCAACACTATATTTTTTTGCATTTATGAAAACAGCTAATTTGAACTAAGCAGCAACAAAACATTGTGATACGCAATGAGAACTAACTGTCGAAGTAGGATTGTTTACAGTTATGTTTTTGTTTTTAATTGCATGAGTAATTTGTGATATTTTGAGAATTTTTAGTAATTTATTTTTCTCTATTGTTTAGGTGAAGTGGTAGAACTATGACTATGGTAGATGTGTAATACCTTTGACTATTGTAATACTATAGAATACTGTAAATTTAAAGAAATAAATGTTATCAAACTATGTCCTCCCTCATTGCAAACGCAAAGCTTGAGTATAACTGCAATAAGCATTTTATACTTATATGCCTACCCCGTACGAAGGACGGGTACTCTGCTAGTCCATTATATTTTCAACACTCTTCTCAGTCACTACAATAGTCCAATATCAGCTGTTGAAAACGCAGACGACAATCCAGAGACCACGTCGGTCCGTCATAACATGAACCTGAGATTCAGTTTACTTCCAGTCCTGCCGACGGCAATGTACACGCGTGAATTGATAGGCCTATCTGTAATAGTTTCGTGTGTTGTGTTAAATGTTTGTAACGTATTCTGACGACACCTCCAGAAGGGGATCTTTTGTAAATCCTGACGATGTTGGAGTTAAAGAACCACCAAAACATATGTAGCAAGTAAAATTTGACACTGGCATGTTAAGGATTGTATGACGAAGTGCGTATTTACCATTTTTAGAAGCAATCTTAATTACGAACGGCAAAATGTTGTTGGTGTTGATAGTGAGCTACTTAGACACATTTTTTCGGGCTGCTTATACAAAATTATACATTCATTATGACAGCTAGCAAAAAAACTCCCCCCCCCCCAAAATCCCCTCAAAAATAGTCCCCCCCAAAAATTCCTGTGGCGCAAACGCGCCACAGTACCCCCCCTCTGGGCACCCCTGCCTATGTTTATGAAGGAATTGTAGAATTTCTTCAGTTTATAACACAGTTTTAGCACAATATCTTATACAGGGTGTTTTTTTTTAAACTTGCATCTTTATTTTTGTAAAAACCGCAATAGATAGAAATATTCAGTTTGCGGGAATCTATTGACGTAGGGGGCACAATTCTTTTGAATTCAATGTTACATTCACATTCCCCCCCCCCTTTCCCCAACTTATTTTTTTTAAATAGCAAGGTACCCCTTGTGACATATCAAATGAAAGAGCATGAAAAAAGAAAATGTTTGATGAAAAAAAATTGAAAATCGGTTCATAAACATGTGAGAAATTCCCCCCCTCCCCACCCGGAACTTAATTTTTTTTTTTTATAGCAAGGTACCCCTTGTGACATATCAAATGAAAGAGCATGAAAAAAGAAAATGTTTGGTGAAAGAAAATTGAAAATCGGCTCATGAATTTGTGAGATAATCCCCCCCCCTTTTCCCCTACCCATAACTTTTTTTTAAATAGCAAGGTACCTCCCTTGTGACATATCAAATAAAAAATAAATTTCACCAAAAATTTTCTTTTTTCAAGCTCTTTCATTTGATATGTCACAAGGGGTACATATAAAGGGGTTTTGCGATAAAAAAAAATTATGTTCCGGGGAGGGGGGAGGGATATATGTCGCAAATTTATGAACCGATTTTCATTTTTTTTCATCAAACATTTTCTTTTTTCATGGTCTTTTATTTAATATGTCAGAAGGGGTACCTTGCTGTTTAAAAAAAATAAGTTGGGGGAAGGGGGAGAAACGGGGGGGAATGTGAATGTAACGTTGAATTAAAAAAAAATGGGCCCCCTACGTCAATAGTTGATTCCCGCAAACTGCATATTTCTATCTATTGCGGTTTTTACACAAATAAAGATGCAAGTTTTTAAAAAAACACCCTGTATACTAAAAAACTTTTGTAAAACTACTTTAGCTAGCCTGACCATACTACTGGACCGAATTACACACGGTTGGTACCAAATGATAGATATTTTCCTGTAGATGTGCAGAATCCCTTTATAAATTAAAATAGACTAAAAAAAGAACAAAAAGTGAATTTTAAATTTTTTTTAATTAACATGGATGCCATGTTGGTGACGAAATAACAACAAAATATAAACAGAAAATCAAAACAAATTAAAGAAATTCCAATCACATGTTTTATTTACAGCGTGGGTTTAGAATAGAGAATTTTGCACAATACATACTTTTTAGTTTTCGACCACAGGGCAAGCTCTTGTATTTATCTAATATAAAAAATAAGCCCTTGAACATATTTCATTCATAATACTTGCCTTCTGGATTGGAAATCAAACTGACATAGAATAAATATAAATTAGGAGAGATAATAAATAGAGGGATAGGATTATCCTTTTACTTTTTTGGTTACTTATGTGGGTATTTTATTTCTTATCAGGTAACATCCAAACAAGAAGGATCATAATTCTTATAAGGTATTCTCACATCTGATTTGTGGGAATAAATTTGTGAGAATTTTTGTTCTTGATTTTAGTCATCAATCAAGAACAAAAAGAACTGCAACTACAGGTTTGCATTAACAAGTACCTCAAACTAATGAAAAGAGTCAAACTAAATATTAATTATTAATTAAATTAAATATACCTGTTTCTCTCCGATTTTTTGACTGTCAAAGTGACCTCTATCCACCAGACCATGACTTAGCTTCGCCAGACGTCCGACGTTGGTCTGGAATGTGCTCAGCTCTCGCTCTATCCCCTCCAACTTCTTCAGTAGTGACTGGACCGAGTCTTCATCTTTACCAAAGTCCGAGGACGTCAACAACGGCCTCTTCTCCCTCAGCCACGTCTCTGCTTCACTCGCTTCAGCGTAAAACTGTAAAGTGTCAGCCAATTAAAATACAGTTCCAGTAATTTTTCTAACCAGTAATACTATGTGTACTTTACTTGTGGTTGGCCTGGATACAAGAAATAATTTGATATATACAATATATTTAATTGAGGGAGAAATATGTAAGATTTCTATTTTTATATCCAATTTAAGTTGGCCAAACAGTGGAGTATTGTAAAGTCAAGCATGTAGGGCTCTCAGATAACCTAACCTTCAAGAAAAAAGGACTTTTAATTTGAATTTCAACTGATGACTTACCTAGACACTGATAACAAATTCTTTTTTTTTCAACGCCAGTGGCATTTCACGTGAGAGTTACGAGATAAATGTTTAGTGGATGTGCCGGGGATTGAACCCGTCCCTCCCGCACCGAAGTCCGAGACGCTAACCACTAGGCTAGCAACACAACCAATTCTTTCTATCGTATACAATTTTGTGGAGAGAGTACACTGCTTTAGAAAACTGCACATTGGAAAAACTTATATTGAATACATAAATGATCAGTACATATATTATTTCATATCGTCAGTAATTATACTAATTATTTCCCACAATCAGTTTACAGGTCTTATGCCTACATTTTGAAGTACTGGGGATCAGACAGTATTTCTAGTTCAACTTATTCTCAACCAACCTTCTGTGACAGTCCTACACTAGAACAAAACGTCTACATTATAGACTTTTAATTTCTCTGGCAAGCTTACTTAACTTGTGACCCTAACTAAAGACAAGACTGTGTTTACCATCTGGGATTCCACGGCATCCAACAGTCGTAGCCGCCTCACACTCGCCAGATCTCGAATGTGCACCAGTCGCTCTTGCAGTTCGTTGATGCTAGCCTCGATGCGAGGAGAGGCAAAATGTCCACTGCGCACCATTTGCTGGGCTCTGCTGGCCAACGCTGCTACGACAGGCTCTCTTGAGGCTATTTCTGCTTCCAACACCTGAGCAGAAGGGTTAAGATGAGTTGACAAAAGTTGTGTTACCAATAATAGATTGGAGATCCTTTATTCAATAGGAAAAATAACGTTGACAATAAAAATCTATAAGGCTCAGGGGAGATTGTTCTTAAGGAATACAAAGATTTTTAAAGGTTGCATATTTATATACATATCTGATGCTTATCATATGTAAGTAAGTATAGGTTTGAAATTAACTTCAGCTGTAAGGAAAGGTCAAAACCATTTTGCTAGTCCAATTAAATGTGTAAAATGGTTCTGGAAATCGAAAAAAGCCACCAACTTGATGTTTCTTCTGCAGACTCTGTACAGCGTTGAGACTGTTGCCGAGGTCCGTGGAGGCAGCCAGAGGCTCCTTCTCAGCCAGCCATGCCAGCTCGTCGTCTGCATCTCGTAGGAACTGATGCAGCAACAGAGCATCCTCCAGGTTGTCTCTGCGAATCTGCATTGGTTCCTGCAGCGACTGGTACCTGTAATAGATACAGAGTTGTCAAACTAGTCCTTCCAATGTGACACACAAAGGGTTTAGGTTTTCAGTATTGTTGTGTTAGCATGGGAAGCGAATGTGAAATAGTTCATCCTGGCACAAGAATCCAAAAGATTTAAAACTGTGCAAAATGATTAGAATATTTCACTGAGCTAAGAACATGTTTAAACAAGGAAGTTTTGAGTTAGAAAGGAATATGTCTTCTATTTTTATGTATGATGACATGTTTCTTCTTTTTGCCTGGTTAAAATATTTAGGTTGTATTTTTCCACCACGGGTTAAGTGTAAGAAAGAGACCTAGGGCCTAACTTGAACTGTATAAACATAATATAATGCTTAATTTGATTCATTTAATTATTAAAATTTAAATTTTCCGAATTTGTTAACGTGTGATGATGACATATCAAAAGACATTGCTAACTCTCGTCACCGGAAGGAGTAGTATGTCCTGTGGAATTAGTAATTGAGGCAGTTTTAGACAAAGTTAGGGAAGGGTTCAAAATGCTTCCTCGCTCTTGAGGTATCAACCATAAACTATCAACGCTCAACTAAGGGTGTGCGATGCAGCATATTCTTTTCGATTCGATGCATCGATGCGATTCAAAGAATTTCGATTCGAATCGATGCGATTCGATTCGATGCAGCACGGCATAATTTTCTTCAAAAATTAAATACAACATGTGTTTCTGTAATGGATCCTTTACCTTAAAAAAGTTAAAGTAAAAAATGTACTAAATAAAATTATGAACAAGAGGATAGTTGCTGACCTAACCTCATTAATGGACACTGCTAATTTTATGGTTTGCCTAAGGAAATTCACCCTTCACTAACAATTAGAATAAGCCTATATCAATAAAGCAATCGTTAAGTTTATTATTATTGACCTGTATTAAATAAAATAGAGTTTATTTTATGATGTACAGGTAGTATTGTTACTTAGTTTTCACATTTATATTTGTTGGCTTTCAATACTTTTGGTTCATTCTTAAATCAGCATGAACCAAAAAAGTTGATAATCAGTAATTACTACTACAATCGGATCTTAGGCTGGATCCGGTTTTAATGGATCCGATTTTATTTATACTAGGGATGGTCGAGATTGGATTTTTAGTTCGAGACGAGACGAGACGAGATTTTTTATTTCTCATAAAATTTCGAGACGGGATTTCCCTTCTCATACACAACGGGAAATACACGTTCAAAAATTTTACCTGATTTTGTAACATTGTTAGATGACTGTTTAAATAAAAAAATAATGATAATAGGCAAGAATATTTACAATCTTTTATTAAAAAACATCAGAATAACATTTTTTTATTAATCACGCCTAAGTTATTAAAAATGCCTACGATTAGGAAACATAGTGATATCAGTTAGGATAGAGTTAAACTTATCCTAAAATAAAATAATTCATAAAATAAAAGCAATATTAATTTTTATAAAATAGTTGGTACTTGTTTTGACTTTTTATAGTAATAAAACATTCCTCACGCTGCTTACACAACAAAACTTCTCAAATGTTATTAAAGTAATATTATTAAAATAATTAAAGCAATATTTACATTTAAAGAATTAATTCAATAAGAACGCCTTCGCAAAGGAAACGCAACTACAACACGCTCCTGTATTGCGGGTATTGCATTGACTTTCTGCAGGCGTTTTTAATTTTTTTTATTCTCGTCTTGATAAAAATCTCGGCCAAAAAGAAATCTCATCTCGTGTAACGAGATTTAAAATTTCCCGAAATTTCGAGACTTGACCATCCCTAATTTATACAATTAACACTAAATGGGCGAGTATTCGAGATTTTGAGTTCGAGTAGAGTACGGCCTTGAAACTCAATTGTAAGATCAATATTTGTTGAAATGTAACTTGTGTTAGAATAAAATGATGGATAATTTGTATTACTGTAGATTCTACAGTCATACAAACAAATATAGAAATAAGCAAGAGGTAGTTGTCTTGTCCTAACCTATTGTTATAGCTGTCACGACAGAATAGGTCAACTCAAAGCAGTCGCCGGCGACTGACTGGCAATGGTATACTGACTTGACACAGAATAGAATGACATGATCGGTAGTGATTTTGTTTTAGAGTAGGCCTAGTGTTTCACAATAGAAAATTTCACTACTGAACTGTTACCTAAGCAATAAATTTATGTTTATAAAAGTCAGAATAGAAACACTATAAAGGCAAAACAATAGAAGGGAGGCAGGCGTTGTGCAATGACCTCGAAATGAGCTGAATAGTAACATTGAGTAGGGGGTTGGAAGGGGGGGAAGGGAAGGGTGAGACCTTTGAGCTATATTTAGACTAGACTTTCACCACTTCCCAAATGGCTGGGTATGGGGATTACAATACAGTAGCAGGTTTTTTCCTTGCCTGGTTTGACTTTTGTCTTTTTGTGTAGGAGATTTGAATAATCAAAAATATAATTTGAATTGACCACAATTATTTAGCATTGATAATACAATTTGCAAGGGACCAGGAGGAAATAGAACAAAACACTAAAATTAATAGAATAACACACAAAGTAAACAAGAAATTAAATACAGAACATCCAAAACCAGTTTCCTCCCCCTCTTCTCTCTCAGTCTCACCACCACCCCTCCCCCCCTGAGCCGGGAGGCCCAGCACTTTGTCCTTGAAACACCCTAGCCTCTGAAACAATAAACCCTTACACCTGCGTTGCTGTTTTGACAACAGGGTTATGAATGTGTTCACTATTTTTCATTTTCCAGAATTAACTATCAATTATTATTATTTGCAAGTTACAAATAGGAAACTACATGACATTATGGTATTCAATTACCCATGTATTATCAAAAATGTATAATTCATTACTTATTTTGATAATAAAAAGCATTCATTACAGCACGCAGCACTTATTGATATATATATATATATATAATCATCAAAGTATCTGTTACTTTATACAAAATAAAATAGGTACAAAATTGTGTGGCCAGTCAAACTTTATAAACAAACATTTTATTCTATAAAATACAGATGGTATATAGGGGTTGGTTTAAAGGAAATAAAATACAAAACAGATTAATTATTTTGATAAACGATAGAAAGGTTATGGGATTGATTGAACTAAAATAACCACAGGGAATCTTAATTAGAAAAGTCGTCAACCACAATCTGTTCAGTACATCGCTAGAGAGAGAGGGGGAGAGAGAGAGATAGCAGATAAGGGCGTTTGATAGGGAATATGAAAAAGTAAACAAACAAGGAACAACGACGCGACAATACTCGTTTATAGCCTTATTGTCTCGACCACTACATTTGCACACGTGACCACTTTTTGTTTCTTCCTTATCTTTCATCCGTCCCAAAATGGAATTCCTGAAATAGTTTGTTGGTATAATCTTCCTTCACACACAAGGCGCAGAGCTCAGTGCGTACTGTAGGTTGCCACGGCAACCGTGTGTCGTCATTAGCGACTTAGCCAATCACGCACGCGCACTGCGTTGTAGATTACGATACGAATAACCCTCTGACTTCGATGTTGTAATTGAATCGAATTTTTCTAATGATGCGTAATGCAGGGATGAAACTGAACATCTAGACAAGTTTAGGTTATTGATTTTGTTCTAAAAATAAAAATAATACATTTAAAGGTCTGACTTATTGATACAGACATTTTTTAGTATAATTTCGTGTTGAGGACACTCGCACGCCGGTTGTCTGAGACTGAATTCTGACCGTCTGACATCTTGAAATGTAGATTGTATTGTGTTGTGCAATATCATCTGCCTGCAGAGAGAACAGCTGAAAATAACCTTTAGCTGTTTTGAACTAAATAGTGTACTAAGTTGGTTACTAAAGTTGTTAGCGTGATTACTAAACCAATAGATATCAAATAAATAAATGTTAAATAAAATATCTATCCATCCCTGTCGGCTGTCGGTATCGGCGAAATCGGGCGAAATCGATGTTTGGCAATCGATTCTTGATACCGATATTCCTAGTATCGGCAATGTCCGAGTATCGGTGGTAGCGATAATTGACACTTCCCTATCTAAAACTCATTTTAGAGTCCTAAATTAGTTTTAAATATGCATCGGGACGTAATCGTTGCATCGGGAGTTAACCGCTGCATCGGTCTTTTTCGATGCATCGAGGCCAAATCGATGCATCGTGATTTCGATGCATGCTGAATTGAATCGCGATTCGATGCATCGAATCGAATCGAAATTTCGATTCATTTTCGATGCATCGCACACCCCTACGCTCAACCAATAAACTCTATGGATAAATAGAGAAAACTTCTACAAGTGACAGACCTCTTGACAACAGCGTGGGCGCGGTCCTGTATCTCCTCCTTCATAAAGTGGTTGGACCGCTGGAACGCTGCCGCAGTGTCTTGCAGCTGCGTGCACTGCTCGCCATGGCTAGTCACGTCATGTTCCAGCAGCGAGTGTCGCTTCAGCAGGTTCATGGTGCTCGCCAGGTCCTTGCCATGGTCCTCCGACTGCAGCTGACTCTCCACCTCATCTGTCCAACTCTCCAATTCCTCCAGTGTCCGTGTGAACAGCAGCGCCTTCGGACAACACACAAATGAACTACAGATCTCGGTGATGCAACGTTTGTACAAATTTTAGAATATCTTTTTCAATTTGAATATTATTGGGGGAATGACTTGCACAGTTGTATGTAAAAAAACATTGGCTTAGGAGGCCCAAGTTCAAATTTCACAAATCATTCTTGGCAGATTGCTGAGTGAATCGGTGATTTGAAGCCGATTTTGCTGTAGGTCCACCGATGTAAAAAATATGAGTAAGAATTGTCTCTGTATTGGAGTTATTCGTATAATAACAACAGTATGGATGGAAAAGCAGGGTTGTAAAAGACTCCCTGGACGGCCAAAAAGAAATGGAATGATTAAAAATCCAAAAATATGAACATTTGGAGAGCTGATAACATAAAAAAACGTAGGCTTGGAAAAAGTATAGGAAGTTAGTTTATTAGGTCAAATATTCTCTTGGGTATGTTTGGGCATGGGGGTATGAGTAAGTCAGTTAATTCGTGTCAATTAGAACTACCATCAGACTACCATCTTCAGGACTGTATATTGTGGGCATTGTGGCTAAATAAGCAATTGAATAAATATTACTTAAGCGGCTTTTACGTTTGAATAACCACATAAGAAACAAGTAGAACACTCCTAATCAGGGATTCGATTTAAAAGTACCATGAACCTTAAACAGAAAATATTTTGAAGGTTCAAACAGTTAAAAAACCTCGCTGTCATCATTCTGATTTCTTATACTACTTATTTACTAATTTCTTTTGTAAAAGGTTGTGTACTATAGCAAGCTGATTAACGTAAATGGACCTAGAGTTCACCCCTTCCCGTCAAGCAATGTTACCTGTGGCAGGATTACAGGGATGGTGGAATATGAAAGAAACAAAAGTTTCTGTTCCCGCTAGTTCCATCCCTTACATTCTTCATCACCAGCATTTCTACCAACTTCACTAAATCTACACAGAGACATACCTGGTAGGCGTCATTCAGCCTCTCCCTCTTGAGCAAGCTAGCCTCCTGCAGGGCTCTCCACTCCGCCTCCAGGTCGTCTAGCCTCGCTTGTATCTCCAGCCCTGCAAAGTGTCCAGCACCAATCAGAGCCTCTCCTTCGCTGGTCACCGCCCCCACCCGTCCTCTGTTGGCGGCCAACTCTGACTCGAACGCGGCGTGCTTCTGCATCTTACTCTGCAGATTTGTTGGATCTCTGTAGTTCTCGTCGTTAGCTATCTGCTGTTTTTGAAGCAACCACGCCTCGACCTGGAAATAAAATACATGTTTCAAAATCCTTATTCACATTTGTACACGTTGCCACAAATAGTGTGAGTTAAAACATAAAATATCAATCTATTAAAAAAAAAAAAAAAACGGAAAAAATGGAGTTGTATATTAAGCACCAGTTACAGAAAACACAATATGATAATCTTTTGAAAAAAAAAGAAAAAACACATTCAGCAATGCCGAACTCCAAAAGTTTAAAGTCAGGGCTTTACAGTACCAAATTACTTACTGCTACTTACTAGTTAAAGTTTTAATGGTACCAAATTATAAGGCAGTAAACCTTAAAAACATACAATCCAAGATAAAAATTAGGTGTTTTATGAGGACGACTGTAGCAGCCCAGCGGATTTGTGTGTAAGAAACGTTTCCGACAGCCACAAGAAACTGACCTCATACATGTTGCGCAGGAACTGATGCAGTTGGCGAGACTGGTGTAGTTTGTTGCGACGAGCGGCTGCAGATTCCTTCAGTCTGTCTCGGCGTGCAGTCACAGCCTAAACAAGACAAACATTTAGACCGGTTGAAAACTACCAGTAAATTCCCCCCTAGTCCAGTCTCGGTTTGTTCGGCATCTGGATAGTTTGGCTAGCCTCAAAAATATGTCATAATCCTGTTTTTTTTTTTTTTTTATCAAGCACTAGTTCCCAAAAGAAATACAATATTGCTGCCTTTACTTTGATAATATATAGTTTAATAAACTCTTAGATTTACAGACATATTTTCAAAAGATATTTTTTAGGTAGAAGAATTAATTAACAAACATAATTTTTTTTCTATAATACCTGCAGAAAGTGCATTGCTGTAAAATGTAATTTTAATTTATAAAGTAGTTGAATAGCAGCAATCCGCACAGAGTACGGTTGCGTAGTCATGCAAGGATCTTGTCCCAAGCCAGACTAGAGGGGATCTACTTTAACTCAAACTGGGACTACTATTTTCGTTTGTCCATTTTTTTATTAATTTTTTTTTATTGATGACATTTTATTAGTTATCAACATGGTTGGTTGTCCAGTATTTACCTGTAGCCTTTGGGTGATGGCAGCACTGTCATAGTGGTGAGCCGCTAGCAACTCCGTCCCAAACTTCTCCAACTCTTCTATCTTGCCCATCTGCGCCAGGACCGTCTTCTCAAAGGCTTCGTGCTTTCTAAGCAGGACCTCCACTCCGGACAACGACTCCTGGAAATTTGTAATGTGTTTTGAACATTCTAGTTGGGTTTATAAATATGCATTTGATAATTGGGTTACATTTCACTAGTGAAATTAGACAAAATGGGTTTGACTTCACAAAACGCCTAGTTAGAATTTTTTGTTATAATTATTGCAAATATGCCTACACTCTAACCAAATAATTCTTAACCTAACACATAGTATGGATTTTAGACTTTCCTGAATGGTCAGAGATATATCCTGATCATTCACTTTAAGCCCAGAAACGATTTGTCATTGAGCTACAAGTTAATTATGCCATCTATCAAAAGATTGATGTTAGATGGTAACAGGAAGAGGGTTTGGACTGTTCCTTGCAAAACATAAAAAAATATTACATTTTTGTACAAGACACATATTAAAAATAATATATAAAATAAACCTTAACTATTTAGGTCAGGAAATTCTTAATTCAACCACTACCCAAAACTAAACTATCTTTAGTTTTTCAATATTTTTTCACATCATTACCACTCTGCGTAGTGGTCACATTGTTGACACAAAAAGCATGGAAACATTTAAGCATGAGGCACCAAACAGGGGGGGTACAAAAACCCATATGACGAGCAAAAATAGCCCAAGGTAATCACTTAATCAGCCAATCAATGTTACAGCATCAGATAGCTCTGTGTACCAGTCTCACAATTATTTCAGTTGCAAAGTCACTATTTAGGTATTAACACACACCAGACATCAGTGAAGGTTTTTTACATTAATAATGTATATTTTGTCCAGAGTGTCTGGTCTTCCAAGCACTCCTCTCATTTTAGGTTGCTACGTTTAAATAGTCATCCAGCAGCAGAAGCATCTGATGTAAAATTTATCCGAGTGCTGTGCAAGATACCGCTGCCACATACAAACCAGCAGATTAAGACAACCTAAATACAGGCATCGAAGTAGGCCTATTAAGACACTCACCCCAAGGTCGTCATTGTTGAGGAATGCCTCCTTGGCTGCGAGCCAGCTGTCCGCCTGGTCAGCCTGCTCTCGGAACTGCTGTAGTTGTAGAGCTTGAGTCAGCCGACTGCGCCTCTCGTCCCAAGCACCAGCCAGGCGACGCCGCAGCTCCTCCAGGCGCCCCAGCTCTTCCTCAGGTGCAGGTGTCAGGCGAAGACCAGCCTCCTTCAGCGCCTTGAATGTCTCTTGTCGTCCGTCAATCTCCGCCTGGTCAAACATCAAATTGAGGATTACAAGTTTGTTTGCTATGCATATCCCAATTGAAGATAAATATTGGATAAACAGAAAATCTTTAGTAAATTTGAGAGGAAGAATGTAGTTTTTGAAAGAGTAAAGTAGAAGCTTTACTTAAGGAGAGCAACTCTGTGTCAACCTGCTACTGTATCTGTAGATCACCGGACTTCGGTCGCCAAGGTCCTAGGTTCAAAATAAGCTAGTCATAAGCTAGCATTATAACTAATACTCTGTGTAGTAGCTGCAATATTTTAATTTTTTTTTTTACCAGGCTTTAGTCAGGGATTGTTTTTTTAATTCCTCCTGGCTAGACCGAGATGTCGCAACATTATAACAGTTTAGAACAGATCCATATTGGAAGAGTTTTAACCCAGGACCTTGAGGACCGAAGTCCGGTGCTCTACCATTAGACCATCTCGCTCCCCAAGAAGGAACTTAAGAAAAAAAGTATTTTTTTAGTTCACAATTGACGTTCATATATTTGAGGAATATGCATACAATTATTTTGATATCAGAGATAATCACACAAACATTCTTACTATTTTATAAAACCAAACAAATATTTGTGTTTTATAAACCTACTGATATATTACTAAGAAAATTATGAAAGTAATTCACACACAATTTGGCATATAGCAGGTACAGAAATATTTAACAGGTATTCATTTTAATGGAGTAATAGTAATATATTGCTTATTTGTTCTGCACCAAACGTATCTACTAATTACAGTCCATCCTAAACGTAGAATCATGTCACCAGTAAAAATGTCAATACTGCTGAACATACACTTATCTGCAACTGCTCGCAACAAACCAACCTTGCGCTCATTATGCAGCTCAAGCAGAGCCTCAGCTTCGGCCACGTTGTTGGGTAACTCAGACGAGGTCATCTTCTTGATGGTGTCAGCCACCCACAGATCAAGCTCCTTCAGGTCGGCCAAGAACTTGTGTCGAGTGAAGGCCGAGGTCAGCTGATCGCGTCGTCTGCTGCACAGTGTCTGCAGCTGCCTCCAGCTGTCCTGCAGCTCTGACAGCTTGCTGCGGATTGGTGTTGACATGTCCGGATACTTCTGCACCAACCGGCGACACTCCACCTCGTGTTCCTGGGTAATATCATTAAATTAATTTGAGTGTTTCTTTACTAACGTTATTTTGTTATTTTCATTTCCCACTGTAATTTTGGTAAAGCTATTTAGTGTTGTGTCAATTACAACTGTTTACTATTGCTGCAAAGAAAATGAGTAGCCACAGCTTGAGTAGGGCTAACAATTGAAGTACAAACTTAATAGAAGAAGCAAATGTGGATGTAGCAAAAAATAGGCAACAGTAGAGGCAAATTAGTCAGGCTCAAAGTTCCTTAGGTGTTAAAATTATTACAATTGTATCTTTTCTCTCCTTAGTGAAATTATCCAATTTCAGAACGTTTCAAATGCAGGATATATCTAATAGGACAAAAACTAATATTCTTTATTATAAATTACCTTAACAAAGAATGTCCTTGGGTAGGATCAACTGCATTGAGGGAATCAAAGAAAAAAAACTATCTGAGTCAAAATAACAGACATCATAAAATTATTTTTCGGTATCTCCACTTCAACTGCAGCCAATAGCTTGAGATATTTGACATGTTTACCTTGATCTTGCCTTCGATGGCAGTCATGTCGCGTTCGATGCCATCCTGTTTGCGCAGCAGGTGTTGGCAGGCCTGTAGGTCGCGGCCGGTGTCCTCCGTCGCCATGGCCACCGCCTTCTCTCCCACTCGCTGACTTGTGTCGTCGACGTCACGATTGAAGGCGTGGATCTCCAGTGCACCTGCAAGGTGTTCCCTGTACTCACCCAATGCTCCTTGCAACCCTCGCCACCTTGGGAAAACAAATTAAACTGGTTAACATTGCCTTTTTAAATGTGGATATTCAATTCTATTTCTATTGTATTTATTTTTTTACTTCACAGTCTTATCTTTATCACTCTTTTTACAAGTATATTACCCAAATGACTTAGGACTTGTTCAAATTCACAAACAGTAACAAGGTACGTAATGAGTATAAAACGATTGTGCCATACTTGTTGTTGAAGTGCTCTCTCCGTTGTTGCACAGACGCTGTGTCGCTGCGGCCCTGTCTGATCAGCTTGTCCGCCAGACTGTTGATGGCTCTTATCCTCGAGTCGTCCACTCGCATGTCGCTGTCCACGTCGTCCAGTTTACGCTGCAGTGCCAAACAATGCTCGTAGTCTCTGCCCATGTCTCCCGCTTGTACCATCATCTCCTGCAAAGTTAAGTTGGTTAGTTTCTTTTTAGGTTGAAACATTTTAGGTTTAAGTATGGAAAATATTAAGGAAATCAAATGGGGGACATTTTAGGACATAAGATTAAGATTAACATTTAACAAACTTTTCAACTAATATTATGTTATACTATAGGTACACAGCATTAATCTACAAGCAAATTTTCTATTTTTTCCAATATTTAACATTCATTTTAAATATTCAATAGGACCTTTACAAATTATTTACAAAACAAAATTGTAGAGAATGTACATCAATTAGGCAAGGTTGAAACAAGTTTCTTATGGAAGCAGACCAAACGGTTAACCCTTGTCGACAATTTGTTTGTTCAACAACTGACCTTGTCCCTGATCCAAGCCTCTATCTTGTCCACCTGGTTGTTGAACTCCAGTATATCTTGAGCCTCCTCCAGTCCCCGGCCTCTGTTGTTGCTCTCCTGTAGCAGAGAGCGCCAAGAACTCAACAGTTGCTCCAGCTGCTGTCGGATCTCACGCGACGCCTTGTGTTTTTTGCTCAGTAACATCTCACCTGCAAACATTACACCGTCACAAACAAAGGCCACAAAAACAGTGAATCATAAGAACTTGTGCAAATAAGTCATTAATGGAGGAAAAAATACCTAGAGGGATGCCTTGTGGCATCACATAAATACAATTTATTGGCAATTAGCGGGATTTTTTACCCAGGACCTCAGGCTCTGAAGCCCTGACGACTACTCACCGTTGTCTTTGATTGCAGTGATCCGCGGCTGGTTAGCTGCCAGCTCTGCTTGGAACGCTTGATGTTTCTGCAGTTTCTTTATCTTGTCTTCAAGACTGCTCACTTCACCTTTGTTGACCTCAACCTCAAGTTTCTTCTGTTTCTCACCAATCCACGATTCAGCCTAAAACAGGGGATGTTTACACATACACTATGCACACAAAGTATTTTATACACTAGTAACAGACGAACGAGTGCCGCTAAAGCGTGAATGCAACACTAGAACTCACAGGTAAGATTGAACGCATTACTTGACTAAGTCACCTAAGTACTTTAACACTCAGCACCAATGACCTATACAAAACATGTCTACCCAATGGGTTAAAGTCGATTATTTAAAATAACCCTGCAAAAAACCTATTTCAAATCAATCAATAAATAAATTACCTCGCCAACATCCCTGACAAACTGCGCGTACAAAAGCGCATCATCCAGCCGTTGTCTGCGTAGCGCGCAGAGGTCTTTGACCCGGTGGCGCCGGGCCACCACTTCCGCCATGCGCCGGGAGATGAGGTCGCTCTCAAAGTGCTGCTGAGCCAGGAGCTTGTCTCCGTGCTCCTGCAACGCCACCACCTTCTCCTCTTGAGTGGCCAGGAGCTTCTCAAATGCATCGTGCTTCTTGACGTAAGCCGACACCTCATCCACCGTCTCTCCTGCAAGTGATTTTATTAAGTAATATTTGTCAACCGGTGTCACAAGGATGATTCCATTTAAATAACTAATTTGGCTAACATTTATTAATTTGTAAATATTTTCTTTACAAAGGTTCTTTTTACATGCAGACCAGAAACTGTTTTTAGTATACATTTAAGATTAACTTAATACCTGGTTGACCAAGAATCCAGTCTATACAAAGGAGGAATTAATAAGGAAACTCATAAAGACTATTTCTACTGAGAAACTTAAATCAGAAATCAAAATTGTAAATTATGTGAACTTTGAGAACACTAATATTGTCAGTTAATTAGAGATGGTCAAGTCTCGAAATTTCGACAAATTTTTGGGAAATTTTAAATATCGTTATACGAGACAAGATTGGATTTTTAGTTCGAGACGAGACGAGATTTTTTATTTGTCATAAAATTTCCAGACGAGATCGAGACGGGATTTCCCTTCTCATACACAACGGGAAATGCACGTTCGACATTATTACCTGATTCTGTAACATTGTTAGATGACTGTTTAAAAACAAAAATAATAATAACAGAAAGAATAATTAAAATCCTTTATCATCAGCATAAAAAAATGTATATTTACTACACCTATCTTATTACGATTAAGAAACATGGTGATATCAGTTGGGGTAGAGTTAAACTTATCCTAAAATAAAATAAATCATAATATAAAAGCAATATTAGTTTATAAAATAGTTACTTGTTTTGGCTTTGTTTATGGTAGTAAAACATGCCTCACACTGCTTACACAACAAAACTTCTCAAATGATAAAATAATTAAAGTAATATTTACATATAAAGAATTAATTAAATAAGAACGCCTTTGAAAAGGAAAGGCAACTACAACGCGCTCTTGTATTACGGGTATTGCATTGACTTTCTGCTGGCGTTTTTTATTTTCTTTTTTTTGTTTTTTTTATTCTTGTTTTGAAAAAATCTCGATCAAAAAGAAATCTCGTCTCGTATCACAATATTTAAAATTTCCCAAAAATTTGTCGAAATTTCGAGACTTGACCATCTCTAATTAACTGACAATATTAGTGTTCTCAAAGTTCACATAATTTTAATTTACAATTTTGATTTCTGATTTAAGTTTCTCAGTAGAACAAGTTTATACAACCCACTACTTTCAAAAAATTTTATCTATACGTAAAAATCCAAACTTTCCAATCCATGTAGTATAATATCAATCAATTCCACTAAAAATTTTAAAAATCTAAGCTTTCAAGAAACACTAAGATTATTTTACAGTTCTAATCAGACTAATACCGTTTACTGTTTTTGTATAAAATATCACAAAAGTGCTTTCAAAAAACAATCAAATCAACATCTTTGTCTATACACCATCCTCTCAAAACTACAAGTACAATATCAAGATTGTCAAAGTCCCTTAAATAGGTTTACATGTTGTATAGAACATTTAGAAACTACCCTGCCTATACTAACCAAAGTCTATGCCAGACAAGGCCGCCTCCTGAGTGCCGCACAGGGTGTCGATTTGCTTGGCGTCTCTCAGGAAGAAGTGCAGATCAATCAGCTGATCAAGATGTACCTTCTTGTGCTGCCAGGCGCTGTGTAGACGCTGCCGCTCCTCCAACAGCTGACTGAACTTCTCTTGGATCTCCTACAAAATGTTACTGGTTAAACATTTCACACCAGTAGCAAACAGATTGTGGCCCGTCTGACCATTCATGACTTCGCAGCTAAGAATGATGTAAGGGAAAGCATTCAAACTGCAGTAAGGGGCAGGAAGATTTCTAAGTCGTTGCCCGAAGACAGCGAATCTACAGTATGTGACTATGCGAATCTATCCATGCAGTTTACAACACATTAAGCTTGACATTTCACCTCTAATAGTGAAATAAGAATGAAATCATCTTTCAGAATAAATTGAAAGTAGCAAAACTTGACACAAGCGGCTATATCTGACCTGTGAGGCATAGTGGTCGGCCTGAACCATGGTCTCTCCCAGCTCCATAACCTGTCGGAAACTCTCCTCCCTCGCCTCTATCTCCGCCTTGACTGCCTCGTGTTCTGCCTTGAGAGTCTGGGCGGAGGCTGCGTCTCGCACCTTCTCCTCTGTCAACATAGCTGCACGCAGACCACTCGCCCAGTTCATCAGGTCCCTCACCTAAACAGATAAGACAATATAGTCTTCAAACACATAAATAGAATGAAGCCGGTTTGATCCTGTCTGAGAAAAGTAAGATGCTTCTTGCCGGTTTAAATCTAGACCCAAACTATTTCATGTTATATTTCCCAGGATTGAAAATCAACACAATTTACTTTACAATAAGACTCGTCAATTGTAAAATCTGAAGCCTCTTTATTAGGATTTCATATTCATGCTGACTACGGTAGGTAACTTATGTTTTTTCTCTTATTTTAAGAATGCTTTACTTTAAGCACCATAGGATACCATAGGAAAGCAGTGGTGTATAAATATGTTGTTTTTATAATTAATAAATGTTTCTTAATCCCTTTTATTGCAATCAAAGTGTTTGAAATATCAATAGTTGTCAGTCTGGTGTATACTAAAAACAATTGCTCGTTTGTAAGCTGTTTGTTAATCAAAACGGCACACGGAAGATTTCTCAGGTGCCGTTTGACGTCACTAACTGCTGACGTCACATTGAGGGAACACCATTACCGCAACGATACGGATTTGAGCCATCGGCCTCGGTGGTGTAGTGGTTAGCGTGTCGGGCTGATAATCCGAATATACCGGGTTCGAATCCCGCTAGTAGCACTAAATTTTTCAGCGAGTTTGGTTGGTTTGGTTAGGTCATGACAGTTTAATTTTATAATTAAAAAATTATAAAATTGAATTTTAGGCATTTATAATTTTATTTTATAAACAAAACTATTTTTTAGATTAGTAAACCTTCATTAGATTTTTTCATTATCAGCACGTTTGGTTAGTTTGGTTAGGTTATGACAGTTTAATTGTTTTTTCAGACGCAGCAGTTAGTGACGTCAAACGGCACCTGAGAAATCTTCCGTGTGCCCCACCGGTTTGTTAATGATGTCAAAACTGAAAACAAAACCTGAAAGGAATATTTAGGGTGTGAAAATTAGATAAAGAATGAGAATTTTTTTATTAATTAGCTTACATAATGTTGCAGTGTGACAAAAAAATATAGTTCATCACATGAGTAAAAATAGTCTTTCCATTCCACTAATTGTCCAACAGAAACAAAGCCGATGTCATTGAGCTAGAGCTCATGCTGAAAAGAGTCACTTCACCCTAGTAATAAAATATAGGCTACTACAATTTTTAATAAAGAGTTTTTATCTACCTGAGCAAGGAAGCGATGAAGGTCACAGCTGGCTTGCAGCATCTCCCGGCGCGCTGCCGATCTCTCCTGTAGCGCCGACCAGCTGGATACGACTACCGCCTGCTGCTGGGCAATGTGGCTGGCGTTGGTGCCTGGGTACTGCGCCTGTAGTCTCACAGCATCCTCTACAAGCACCTGCGACCACCAACATATCACTTGATTATACAAATCCATTGATTTAAAATTGTGGTTGTAAGGATATTGGGCAAAACTGGATGAGTAATACCTTTTACTAATGGGTAAAATTACGGACGTAGACTTGAACACTTGCTGATGTAAATTCCTGATTTCTGACACACTTAAAAACCTTTTTATCAGACCAAACTAAAAGGATAACTTATTGTAAACTATAGCAAATCACATCAGAGGATCACAGAAACAAAAACAAGAAAATCTAACTTTGTCAGTAGCGCTTGTGTGAATGGATTATTCAAATATATTCTATTTGAATGAAACAATTTGCTAGGCTTGCCTCCATAGGTGAAATGTCTACTTCAGCATCCAAAGTCCAAAGTTATATCAATTAATTTATTCATTATACATCTGTTGTTTTAAATTTTAAAGATTGTTGGAATCGGAGCCCATCCTGAAGAGGAAGGAATCTGTTCTGGTACAACGACACAAGCCTTCACAATAAATATTTTACTATCATAAACAGTTTTGAACCCTAAAAAAGTATGACTTTTCTCAGGATCGAACCGGTGACCTCGAGTACTATAACCACTGAGCTGTATAATGGTGTTAAAATAAATCCTAATACTGTGCACTCTCTACCCCAACGGTTTATTGCTTTCCCCTCCGCTGTTTCCTCACCACCCTTAACGTTGATAATGGGACAGTTGCCACTAGTTCTCCACTCTCTTCATGCCAACGCCTACCCTTATTTTGTATAGTAGGGTGAGTGCACCAGTGAATGACCACCCCCCAGTGAATGACCGTTTTGTATAAAAAACCTCATATCAGGCTTTCTGTATTTCCTAGTCCATTACAAACGTGTTTAAAAGTAACTTTTGGGCCTTATTAAAATTCACTCTGTGACTGATTCAAAAAGAAAGTGTCAATCATCCTTTTGTAACATAAACAAAATTAGATGTTTCAAGCAGTTCGTTTCTAAGCTTTCCACTATGGCGTCTCGCACAAACATGGTTGGTTGAAATTTGTCACGGCTCCTTAATTATTGATTGGAACTGTAATTTATTACATGTAATTCACAGTTAACATGTTAAGGTACAATTCTGTACTCATTTTAAGATAAAAATCCAAACCAATTGTATATTTAAACTGCCGGTCAATTACTGGTTCACAAATTAGGGTATAACCAGTGAATGACCGTTTCGGTTAATTGACCAATTTGGGTTTATTTTCTTTATTGATATTGATGACAATGTTTTCTGATCGAGTAAGCCATCGCTAAGAAACAAAAATTTTTGTTAGAAATTATGTGGATACGCTATAACCAAAGTTTGAATGCGAGTTAAATCTTACGATCATTTCCTAGATAAAAAGTGATCTTTCACTAGAACCTATATTTTAATGACCCTGATATCGTTATTTTTCACTACAGGGTTTTCAGCTTCCATGCGAAAATCTCGAACGGGGGTTATTCGGTGAAAAGGAGGAGGTTTAATACAATTTTAAAATTGTTATGTAATATGCGGTCATTCACTGGTGCGATGATTTATGTGCAAAAAATTGTATTTTAGATACTTTTTTTAACATAATACATTAAGTAGTATCATCGGGAAGTACAGGGAAATATGGGAAATATATTTAAACGATTTTGTACAATGTAGCTTAGTAGTATATTTTCCCATGTCGTTTACAAGTAGAAAGTCAACCTTAAACGGTCATTCACTGGTGCACTCACCCTACAAGTTGTCAGTTGACTACTCTCAATGGAACTCAATACATTCTGATTTGTTTCTATAAGTTAGGATATTGTTTTCGCTCGTAAAATCAAGCAACAATATGGCCACCAAAACCAATCTGAAATAAAACTTTAATTCTTGGTTAAAAAATAACAGAGGTATGACCACTCTCTAAATTTACTGAATAGATGTGTTTACAGTACAGTTAAGTACGGTAATCAAAAACTTTTCCATTATTTAGACTTTAATTTTTAAGCTTACCAAATTGAAAATGTGTACAGGTCTCTTGAACTTAGAATCAATCAAGTTCACTGTATTAGTTTGTGGTATATTTTATATTTGGGTTTGGTTAATTCAAATTGTTCTTCATCCTGATTCCATAAAATCAATACTCGGTCCTTGATACAAATCAAACGATGTATCGTGATTAGGTTGGTGGAAACTACCATTTAGAGATAACAAACGATCTATCCCTTCTACGATACAGTGATGCACATTATTTTCTTGAAATTAGGTATACTTAAAAAAAACACAATTAAAGTTGAATTTTAATCACACTAATTGTTATTGCTGCATTTTATTACACAGACATAATATTTTAATAATATTATGTATACAATAATCATCCACAATTACATCCTTTAATTGAAAACATCAGGTTCATAACAACTCAATTTTAAAACTGCAATAAGTAAGGGGAAAGAAATCTCTAGATTCATAAAAAAGGTTTGTTGAACCAAACAGTTTAAAATTTAGAGTGGATAAACTGACCTCTATTTTTGCCTAAGCAGAGGGAGTTAGCCTGAGTAGTGGTGGATTCAGAGTGGGTTAAGGGTCTACTGTACATTGAAAACAACTTTATACACACAAGAGATAGAACCTGATTTCAATAATAATTGTACAAATTCTACACATTGTCTTTACTCCCTAGTATTTGAAGTACTTTGTTCAGACCCTGCTGTTGCTCTTGAAGTAATATTTTCAGGTTCCTCACCTCTTCTACCAGCTGATCTCTATTGATGTCTTCGGCACAGTTGTGGCAGTTTTTACGGTTCTTGCACAGGGCAATTTTGTACGCAGCCATCATGATTCGCTTCGGTAACCTTTCATCCAAAGGGTTAAAGGGGTCAAAGGAAATTTCATTTTCTGATTCAGGATAGTATGAACTACGAAACCATTCCTTCAATAAATCAATTTTCAAAATCGTCAAAACATATCTTTTAGATGACGATTTGACAAACCAGTACATCTCCTTAGCATGAATCAACTCTGTTATTCTAATTAGTTTCGAGATCCTAGCGGTTTTTCTGAGTTCCTGTATATCGCTGACTGCAATACCCAATAGCAAGTTCATAAGCACTATAGTCACTAAGAGAGCGAACATCGCGAAAATCAAGTGAGAACTTATATCGAGGAGACTATCTTTTCCGTCGTTGGAGACCATATCCAAAGCTGGTCCGGTGTTCCCTGTCATCATTGCAAGAACATTTATAAAACTTGTCCAAGGGTTGTTGAATTTCGGAGACTCGGGGAATATCGCACTGAAACTGAAAGTGAACCCAATAAGGAGGAAGATAAAGACACGACAACACACAATGACCTTACTCAATACATAGGAGAACATCTCTATGTAAAGTCCATGGTGAGGTTCTTGTTTGACTAATAACATCAAATTTATCCAAGCACATAACACACCAAAAGCACCCACATGCCTTTGCCATGGGTATTCAAAAGTATATCTAAAAGAGATTACAAATGCACTGAATACTCCAAACACTTCTGGTACTTGTGACCAATTAAAAAAATACTGTTTGATAGACTGATGTCTGTTGTTGACAATTACTGATAGAAGTTCAATTATAGTCAACACTTTGAGAAAATTTACTCCTAAGGAGAACTGAGCATCTTGCTCAGTTATCTCATCCATTATAATCAAGTTATTGAAGCAACCTTTTAGATCAAATTTGCTTATGTTTTGAGAAACACTGTAACAGTCATTAACTACATCATAAAGATAAAATGTAAATGAAATGGCAAAAATAAAACTAAAAGTGGATCTCGTGCTATAAATATGTTCCAATTTTTTCAATTTTAACAACAAAAATGCATTACATAGAGGATGTTCGAGCAAGTGTTGTTGTTCTTCGTCAATTAATGTTTTCAAGAGTCTGCACTCACCCTTAGATGAATTTTGAAGAAAGTAATCAAAGTTTAAACACACTTTGACTTCCCAGTTCGAATCTTCTTCCTGCATGGAAATGCAACTGTCCAATTTTGTTTTAATAGTCGCCAAACAAGCTGGGGTTCGCCTGCTTATGATCGCGAGAGCTGTTGGTCCATCATTGGCTCGACTACTTAGATCAGCACCTTCCATGATCAAGAGATCGACACATTGAGACAACTTGTTCATCGCGGCTACATGAAGAACTGAAAACCCATGGTCATCTCTCGCATTAACATCAGCTCCTGACGCAAGTAATGTTTCTAAGGATTTGAGTGCCAACAAATCATCTTCACACACAGCTGCATGCAGAGGTGTTTTACTGTCAGAATCTTTAGCGTTCACATCCGCTCCGGCTCTCAATAATGTTTTGATACATTCAACACGGTGATATTTGGCTGCAAGATGCAGTGATGTTTGTCCCTTTAAGTTACGTTTAGCGACATCAGCTCCTTTATTGATCATTGATGAAACACAAGCAATGTGTCCTTCTTCACTAGCTAAGTGCAATGCAGAGTTTCTCTCCTTAGTACCCAGGTTAACATCGATCCTGCATTCCAATAAAACATTAAGGCATTGCTCCTGTCCACGTTGAGCTGCGATATGCAAAGGTGACATGCCTGCGACATCCAAGCTGTTGACATTCACATTCTGACGAACTAGAAGCAACAGACATTCAACAGCATTCCTCTTGACAGCTAAATGAAGCAGATTGTCCTCAACCTTTGCACCATTCTCCATCAGAAGTTCAATTATTTCAAAGGAATTTCCAATCACAGCACAATGTAAAGGGGTCAAGAACTTATATTTAAAGTTAACGTTGCAGTTCTTCATTATCAACCATCTAGTGCATTCCACAGCACCGTTAAAAGCGCTTAAATGGAGACTGGAAACTCCCGTCCCAGGTAGGGTGCAAGTCACATCCACACCTTGTTTTTCGAGAATCTCCATCAAATCTAATCTTTTCAGAAATGCACACCATAAGAAAATTATACTTCTCTCGTGTTTCACTTTTTTTAATGCAAATGACTGCACTCCTCTATCATCCAAATGTCCGTTTTCAATGTCCAAGAGAATCCTTGAGTCTCCTGACACCTTCTCCATACTATCCAAGATGTTTTGTCGGAAATTCCAATCTACTTGTGTACCTTCGTGATGAGTTTGTTCCTCCTGCAAGAGCTCCATCTCCTTATGTTCTCTGGTAGCAGGAGTTGACAGGGATTGCTCTATAGTTGATTCTTTCAGAGCTTCTGTCTTGATATCTTGTGACTCTTGTGAGGATTCAATGTCACTGACCACTGACATTGCATGTGGCTGATTGCTGACAGTGTGGTCTTCACAGTCTCACAGCACTGATTATCAAGTGTTTCTCGTGATGGTACTCAGTTGTACGTCACACTCACACTGATGCCAAACTTTGTGCTATCCCAAATTCCAGCATTCACTGACTAAACTTTCTACTACCTCCAACTGTCTTAGCATCAAAGTGTATTGAACAATGTATATTGTGCTTGTAAGATGTGAAGACTCATAGCAATAATAAAGAAATAAATAGGTAATAGTTATTTCATACTTCAACTAATTGCATTACTTAGCAAAATATTTATAATTTTTAATGATCTTTGGATTAGATAATCATTAGCTTAATTACTTCACTCTAATCTAACTAAAAATTAATTATTCAGAGTCGTAAAGCTTTTCAATCATTTTAAAATATATAATTCATGGTTTCAAATTGCTTACACAACTTACTCAACAATGCATATGAAGCATTAAATAATAAAACATAAGGTAATGAAGCATTAAATAAAATAAATATTGATAACTACTTTGTATTGAATCTTTTTAGTTTGACGAGTTGAATAGTTAAATACATTTGAGGGTTAAGCCAAGTTTCATGCAACCTAAGTGATTTTTTATGCCTAATTGTTTGAATTCAAACAGGTTCATAATGGTCATATCTCATATCAGTTTGACTTGGTTGACAATTTTGAGTATTCAACATAAACAATTGGCTCAGCACACTCTGTTGATGGCTCAACTCAACAACGTCAATATTTATTTCAAAAACTGGTGAAAACTTTAACAGTGGGATTGAATGTATAGTTATATAATAGTCACAGCAGTAATGTATAGGGACGGTTACCGAAAAGCTCAAAATACTATTTGACATTTGTAGTAACAAGACCAGGGTTTGGACCGTTCCCTTTTAAAGTGTAAAAAATGTGATTGGCATAGAAAACACACATAATACACAAAATTTTTTAAAAAACATAAAAAATAGTAAAATAAAGTAGATATAATAAAAAGTTTAAACAGTAAAAAACTTAAACATACCTGAAGTTGGGCCTCCAACGCAACCAGATCATTCTCAAAGCCTTCATGTTTGCGTATGAGCGCTAGGACGGAGTTGAGGTCGCGTCCAAGGTCGTCGGAGATGGCTGCGTCTTTGTCATGTATGCGGCTCAGTGCCTCGGCAACGTCTCGGTGGAACCTGTGTATCTCGCCAGCAGCCGCCAGACGCTGCTCTCTGTTGTCTAGCACTAGCAGTAGTTGCTGCCACGACTCCCTGTATCCGTCAGTATGGATTAATGTTTGGTAAGTAAAAGGTTTTTTTCGCCACTCTACACTGTTTCTACTTACTTTCCTATCATAGAATTAGTCTTGAAAAACACGGTGTTTGCTGCCAGCTTGGTTAAATTACATTTCATTGTAGTACTGGTTATGGATTTTACCAACTGATAATAAATATTTTTTAACTATTGAACAACTCATATATATTTCATAAACATAAAACAACGTAACCAAAATTACCCTTCTTCTCTCTAGGGAGATCCGCTAAAATCACAAAATAAGTTTGATATTAAATAGTCTAATGTTCTAATGTCAGTATTGAGTTACAAAAAAAAAAAAAAAAAAAAAAAAAAAAAAGAACACAACCTCTCACAGAAGTGATTGTCAAGTTCTTAAGATGGCGGGGACATTTAACAGATTTTGTCAATTAAAAAAAATATTGTTAGGTTAGAGTAGTATGGAAAAAATAGCTCATGTCTCGTTTCTTCCGTTCTTGTACGGTAATCCTGAAACTTATGGGAACAACCACACTTATTCGGGAAAAACATATTTCCCGGATTAGTAAAGTAATATACTGTTTTTTACTGTTTTTTAAGACCAATGCAGTGTGAAAATGAAAAACCAAACTCTCTGTGACTCCTGAGGTTCACCCATAGTATGGAAAAGTAGTTTAGGAATTAAACACAAGACTTTTACAAAACAACATTAAAGTCCATCCGTAGTACTTCAACAGACTTTTCATAAGCGTTTTTTTCTTTAGTTTACAGAGCTATAGGAACTGCTTTAGTTTTCAAAAGCATCTTTTATGTCAAATCAACTGCTGAGTTGTCCTTTCAGTTTTAATAAATAAGAAATTTTGCATACTTGGACGGAAACAGAAATTGACATCAGTAAACTTTGCCAGTAGCTCAACCCAACTATGTAAATTCCTGTTCCAAAAGTAGCTACAGTTTTAAAACGAGTGATCTCTACCTCTAAAATTAGTCAAAAGTGATGCATCGAGATACACCATTACAGGGGATGGTCCTTAATGCAAACACACACCAGGTGTCCGTCCATAAGCAGATTAAAATATTGCTACCCTGCTTATTATGGGTTAACAAACACTGTGTCTGTCGACTTAGACACGTCCATCTGTCTGCAAACAGACGCTACAAAATCGCTTGGTGAGGGATTCATTGCAGACGTCAGTGTCTAGACTTTCTCCCTCTCCTACCGGTAGTGCACACTCCTCAAGCCCTGTAGCCCCGAAACCCGTCGAAACACACAATGCTGCAGTAACGTAAGCCCTCATTTGTAACAGTGGGACTCACCTGCTGACGAACAGACGCCCGGTGTGTGTTGGCTTATAGTCAATAATTGTACTATGTAAGCGTGTTTTATAAGTCTCACCTGACAGTTTGGTGCCTTATCTGCACCTCCGTAACCGCGTCAAAGTCAGCTGTCTCGCTACCACACCACAACCATAAGCAACTGGCTACACACTCCTCAACTCATGCAACATTTTTGCTACAATTGTTAGCAACATGTTTGCAACATTTGATTGCAATTGAATATTTGTTGTTCTGTTGCAAACTTCAACAATTAATGGTTAAACAGAGTAACTATCAAAAATAGCAATTATTTTCCTTGTTTACAGTTCATTTTTGGTCATGTATTTGTATTGTTTAAAGGATTGTTGCTGACACTTCCCATAACTTTTTTTAGGACACTAGGCCCTATTTTATTCACATTACCTATTTCAGATTAGACCTAGGGGTAGCGGTATTATCACTTGGATATAAACCCATTGGTGATTTGACAGGATTTGAACCCAGGATCTGAGAAACACAAGTCCTGAGCTCTCCCACTAGACCAGCTCACTCCCCACCCAACCACTATTAGAACTTTGAACTCCTGAAACATTTTAAGATTTTTTCCCTTTTTTATTTTTTTTTTTCTATTTAATTCGACTTCTTTAAAGATTTATTATTTCCAGTACAGTACTACAGTGGAACCTCAAATTAATTGTCAATCTGCGTTATTTGTCCCCTTAAAAATGTGTTTTCCGCTATTTTTACTGTATAAGTTTAGAATAATGGCATACATAATTTTTTAAGGAGCGTTAATTATACACAATGATACCTACACCTACAATATTATCCATTCGCCAAAATAATGTGTCATAAAGAGAAGACTTTTCTACCTAACCTAACCTAACCTTGTTTATGAAGGCTATGTTTAATGACCTTTTTCAATCGAATTTGTCCCTTATTAAGTTTATCAAGTATGAATAAAACAATAACTGATTGTTGCCTTGCACTATCAACAGCCCAACTTTGACTAGATTGGATGAGAATCAAATTGCAAGAACCAACAGACATTATCGTGATGATGTATAAATAGGTACTCTGTTGAACCAATCTTAGTCACCAAATAAATATGTATAAAACAGATAGTTTAGGTTGCATAGATCTAAACATGCCGGTAAAAAAAATTTAAAGAAATTCCATTAATTTTGTCTGATGAGAAATAAATTTCAAAATTTAAAGTTCAGACTGTAATTACAGTTCAAATAGTTAAGTAAAATTATATGTATATTTTTCGATTGTAATAAGTTGGTGATTTAAAAAATAAAAGATAAAAACTTATTATTGTCTGAAAAGTTGAGGAATGTGAAGCCATTATCAGCATGCCAAACTCTGTCAAAAGCATGCAAACATATGAGGTTCAATCCTTTAAACACTTGGTAAAATAAGCTAAATTTAGTTATTTCAGAATTAGCGAAAACAAAACAACATTATTATGTAACACAGTTGAACGAAACATAAGCAAACAAAAAGCTTTAGCATTTGGATTTTCATGGATTTGATTGGAAATGAATCAAGACTCAAAACCCTGATTGGCTAAAAAAAAGTGTCAATAGTTTTGGTTGGAAGGGTAGCTGGTCAAAACTATGAAAATTAATCACAATGAGCAAAATAGATTAAACTAATTAATCTGAATTGCGATTGGACTAAAATTTGTAGCAGCGTTTTACATTTAACCAATTAAAATCTGTTCAATTAGGACAAAAAGTTCCTAAACTTATCAATTCAAATTCAACATAAACAAACATATCGAGAATAATATTTATAAGTGGAAATGATAATTTGCATTATTACTTTATTATTTATTACTTGGTATTTTTATGTTCAATAATGTTGCCTTTCTAGACTAAATTATATAGTACATGCACTATATACAAATGAAATACTAAATAATGTAGCTAACAGGTCATGCCAAACTAAAAAACCTCAACCGTCAAGTTTTAAAATGCATATAAACAAATGTACTGTAGACTCCCTCTTATCCGGACAACAACCGGACATCGGTTTAACCGGACTAGATCGGCAGGAAGTGGGCGGTACTGAAACCACTGTTCTCGTGGAAAAGATTTGAGACCAGTAATCACATGTCTAAATACAATGCTCTACTAAATTTAAGTCAAATACTGTATAAACCGTTTTAACGAGTTTTTGGAGACGTCGGTTTAACCAGAAACCCCGTTTTCCGGACTGGCCTCGGTCCCGAGGAGTCCGGATAAGAGGGAGCCTACTGTACATTTGGAATAATTTACATAATGAAATACATGTTTGCACTTTAAACTTTTTCTGATATTCCAACAGTTTTATACGGTTGATTAAATGTTGAGAGCGTTGTAAAATGTAAAAATGTACAGAAAATGAGGGAGTGAAAAGTATTTTACTTTTTAAACTAGGAGGTTTATGACTTTCATCATTGATGAGACTGGGAGGTTATTTTTAGTTCCTGCTAAAATTTTATATATTTTGGGTAAAATTGAGTTTTTTCTTGTTAAACTTTTGACCTTATTCTCTTTGCAAGGTTCCCTTGCATAATTAATACAATCTGGGGGAAAATAATAACGATAATGATTTCCCAAAAATTCCATACCAAAGTGTTTGGATATTGTAATTTTGTGTTCTGCGCTTTTAATAAATTTAGCATAATTCTCAAGCAAAAGAGCACAAAGCATTTACAAACAAGTCTTTAAACAACTCCATCGCACAAGTGAATCAAAAGGAACAACAAAATAAGGACCTTTGATATAACAACACATCAATATTCTTTTTTGACTTAGCATCTCTACATTTTTCAACTTTTTACCTTGAAATCTGTTATAATTTAAACTTGCTCGATGTTAGATAACTGTTTAATGAGTAAAAAAAAAAATGTTTAACAAACTTAAAAAAAATTGATATACTGCAGCAATGACATTTTAAGCACATTTATACGTGTGTCTATTATAGGCCTCCAACCTCAAAAAAATTTAATTCCAAAACAAATTTAAAAAACACTATTTTGTCAGACAGTAATCAACCAAAGATTTTACAAAACATAGTCGGGCCTACCTCAGTTGGTCCTGGCGTTTCTCAATGTCCGCTGTGTACGGACTGTCGTTTGAGATGAGTTTCTTGGCCAAGTCTTCACATTGGTTGAATCTTTCGGCTCCGGCTTCCACTCTGTGTTTCAAGTCGTCAAACTTGTTTTGCAATATCTGGAAACAATTTTTGAAAAAGCATTACGGTCAGAAGACTCTTTGCTAGCTTGTAATTGCATAACTTACACCTGATTACATAAATTATATAGGCAATGAATATGTTTTTAAAGTGAGGTAAATTTGATAAAAGTTGTGAGGATAGCAGGCTTATCTGAATGGGAACGAGTCCAAACTGGTACAGGATACAAAAAATTTTGTGAATCCTGTACCAGTTTGGACTCGTTCCCATTCAGGTAAGCCTGCTTCCTCACAACAAATCCTTAAAACCTAGGCGCTTAATTGTGCTCTATGTTACATCATTGAAGAAAAAAAACTGTTATTGTTATAACTTTTTTTACAATGTGCTGTACCAATTACAAATTTATTTCGCAAACATCAATTTTTCAAATTGAACCTAACAGAAAAGAAATTTTACTACAAACAATAGCATCTTTTATCACATCAATCAACAAAGTTAAAGTATTAGAAACTTAGAGAGAAAATCAAATTGTGACAGCACATTCAGTTAGTGGCTCATTCATTTATGTTGATTTGCTACAGCTAGATGCTACAGCTGATCCGTACAGATGGGATGTCTACTTCAGTATAAAAGCCAATGTTATTAGCTCCCAAACTTTTATCTGGTAAACTAACTGAATTCTATCCCATTAAAAAATCCTAATTGTCCACTTAGTTTTCTGTACATCAGTAATTTATCACTAAACTCACCAGCAAATGCTCAAAGTCCTGGCCATAGTCCTCGCTAGCCGCTGCAGTCATCTGTTCTCGTATCCAGGTCTCCAGCTCGGCGCTCTCACTGAGGTACTCGTGTCGACACATACTCTCCACCAGATGTTGCTGTCTAGCGCTCGCCAACTTCTGCAGTGTCCGCATCTGCTGTGCGATGGCCGTCTGTTTGCTAGCGATAGCCTTGGCGTCCGGGTGTTTGGCGTTGATCATCACGTTGGCCGCTGTACCCATCTCCGTCACAATACCGGAATAGGTGTCCAACTCCAGCTCAAGCGCCTATAGATAGTGGTTTTATGGGTTACGATTTGTAAAAGTTGAAATCAACACTGATAGCTTGGATAGTTGATTTTAAATTATTCTGTTTTAAGTTTCATTATTTTTTTAATTAGTTTGACATAAAAGATTTTACTTAAGATTTTTTCCTTAAACTAGTAAAATACTTGACAGCAATATTGTTGAAGCACATTGCAGCATGGATAACAAAGAAAATTTAGACTAAACATTATACAGTAAATCTTTGACTGATTATTAACATATGTGGTGGAAAAGTAACTTATGTGTGTTTACTTAAACATCTACAATCACCAGATCAAATAATTCTTTGCACTCAATTTTGGACCAGTAGCCAATTGTTGTTAGGCAATAAAATTAATAGGGTAGTCCACTAACTGTTTTTATCATTTTACTACATGGTCTTGATAAAAATCTATGATTAAGAAGCGTGACTTAAACTAGAAATCAGTGACTTTTCATTGACTTCTATCGGCCCCTAAGTGACTTTTCAGTGACCTCTATATAGCCGGGTTTTCCTAGGCGCGGAAGCGGAGAGCGGAGAGAGGAACGCGGAGAGCAGACTCCACTTGTCTTAGGTAATTTAAATTTAATGTTACTGTTTTCCTAGAGCGGAGCGGAATGCCATGTTAATTTCTTTTCCGCTCTCCGCGTTCCCCTCTCCGCTCTCCGCTTCTGCGCCTAGGAAAACCCAGCTTAACCGGTAGACTCCTCATTAATCAACACTTTTAAATATCAAGCTCAACACTATTGCTTTAATACTTTCCAAATATACAAAACAAGAATGGAGAACAAACAAAAATACAAATATTGATAACAATCCCACTACCAGTTCTAACCTTGTGTTTGGTGAGCAGTTTGGACGCAGCGTCGCGGTCCCTGCCATAGTCTGTTGAGGACAAAACATCGTTGCGCTCTGACAGCCAACTCTCCACTTCACTGGCCTCGAAGAAGAACTGCTGAGCCTTCAGTGACAGCTCTAGCTTCTTGCTTCTCTCGTACGCCTTCTGCTTGAGGTCCTGCCAGGCATCCTGCAGACCAACACATAGCGACTCCACCTGAAAATGGGCATTCGGCTTGGTTACAAATACAACAGGTAACATTCTTACTTTATTAAGTTTGAATCCATAGTTATTAAAGAAAGGCAAAAGCTATGATCACGACAACATCCAAAACCTCTTGTGGTTATGTAAACATCAAATGTTTTGCGATGGTGGCAAAATCTTGCACATCTTCTGCGGTCTTGAAGACATCATTATTGTCTTTAGAAGTCATGGAAACGCCACAATAGTCTTCCATGATCGCGGCATAATGTAAAGTATATCACACGTTCGTGTAGATAGCCGTTTTCTGTGATAGCCACCAAATTTTGAATATCTTCCGCGGTCGTACGGACATGACTATCGTATATTGCAGTCATAGAAATTATGTGTCAAATATTACTCCTCAGGAGATAACGAGTCATTGAAACTGTAGCTTTAGTAATATTGTAGCTTGACCCAAGATGAATTGTAGAAACACATCCAAAGATGACTTTCAGGCTAAAGGAAATAAAGAAAAGGATGTCCTACAACTGTGTGATTTCATAAGAGCTTATGGTTGATGGACTAATTTGAGGGGTGCTATAAAAGCACAAGATAGCCAAACAGCAAAAAAAAAAAAACACCTTATGACAATTAACGCACCTGTTTAGTCTCCGGATGGCTCTGATGTACAAGCGCCTCTCCAGAGGCGAGTGTTCTGTCAATCATCGGCTGATGACCCTGTATCTCCGCCTCCAATTTCTTGTGTTTCTTGTACAGTGACTGCGCCTGGTACAGGTTCTGACCCAGAGTCTCGGACGATGCCAGCGGCAGGTGTTCCCTGATCCAACTGAGCTCCGCCTCCAGCTCAAACCCAAACTTGTGGAACCGCAGTGACTCTTCCAAAGCCTCTCTTCGCTTGCGGGCCGGACCTTGCAGGGAGCCGAACCTGAGAGGAAATATTTTGAATGTTGTAAGTTCATTTAACAACTAATCATCTACAATAAAGATATCTTGAAAACACCCATTACAATGATTTTACCAGAAATTTTTAACTACAGTTAACATAAAAAAAACATCTTACCATCCGGTTTGAAAACCCTAAGAAACTAAAATTGTTTCATTATTTGGCATCAATTCTTTAAAAAGTTCAATTTCAATTCACCACCATGAACCATGATACAACTATGGTAACCCCTCATTAAACCAGATTAAATGGGGAACAAAGACATTCGGTCAATGGTCCTTGCGGAAGTTACCAAGTTTCTTTGTTCATCGCAACTGATAAGGTGTTAACCTTATTTGTTTCTGTGTCCACCAATAAACCACCAAAGACCACAAAATTACGGTTTTGTGTCGATATGATGAGAGAAATTCGTAATGAATAAGGAATTATTAAATCCGTAAAAATCCTCTGGGGCACAAAAGTTTAACAATTTATGATTTTAAATTTCTACATTTTCATGAACTTTATTGGGACTTATTGCTTACCTTTCCTGGCACTCCTTGCTGGCCTTCAAGATATTGTCTGCGTCAAAGTGGCCCTCATGGACCATCTCCTGGCCCAGGGCTACCAAGTCTCCAATTCTCTCTTCCCACTGGATTATTTCTGTTTCGATCACCTAAGTATTGGGAGGTCAGTTAGTATTGTTACGAGAGAAAAGTATTATGTGTTTACTATTGAAAAAATACAAAAGATAATCAATGAAGAGCGGAATTTAAGTAAACATGTTGTAAGATGGTGATTCCATAATATCACCATGTGGAATCAACAGTAGGCTACCTGGTGTTCCTTAAGAAGCTTCTTGACATTGCGCAAGTCCGAGCCCACCTGACGGGACTCCAGATTAGAGCCGAGCTCCTCAAGCTTGGTCCGAGCGTCGTCCATAGTGCGGTTGTAGCTGTCAACAGAGAATGTCATGTTTCAATGTCAATCATATTACAAAGGCAAGAAGTTGATTTCAGGGTTGAAACTACTTGCGGATAAATCACAATTTACAACATTTTTGACTACCGCAGCCTAATTTACATCTAGTTTGTTTATCTGATTCCTAAAAATTCAGATGATAATACATCACAACCTTACACACCCTAGACATAGTTCTTCTCTCTTCTGCCATTGAAATTCTTCTTAATACTCTGGGGTAAAATTATACAACAGCCAGCCTAACACCATGAAATGCTTAATAGGTTTTTAGATCCAGAGCTACAATCAAATAAATATTCAGCTGGCTTTTAAATTAGTGCTGTAAAAATGTTCAAACACATATTCTTTTGTTATTGTTGTTGACGTATAATTCATGTACGCCTATTGCGTGTACGATACTAATAAGGTTTTTTCATGGATTGATTTATTTCTGCGTACCTGTGCTGAGCTGCAGCCTGACGCAGACGTCGTCCCTTGTCTAGAGAGAGTGACACCAGCGTCTCCCAGCGTCGGTTCAACTGAGTCAGCATAGTCGACACTTCTGGTGCTCGGTAGTTCTTGTCTGACACTAGAGCCTGGCCCGTCTAAACAGTACAGAGGGAGGTTAATATGATAGAGCGATAGAAGATGCAGTTTAACTTATGTTTAATGATTTAATACCTAATGACCAATTGTTACCCAAGAAATAAACTAATTTACATTATAAGGACAGTTTCCAAACTGTGCGGTTAAATTAAACAGCTTATAATATTTGGAGATTTTGTAGGACATTCAAAACAAGAAAGAACCATCTTAAAACATAACCATGCAATAAAAGTAATTTTAAGAAATTGAATATTATAATTACAATTCTTAACCACATTTCCAACTCTTACCCCAATGAAAATTATATGTTTGGCAAATACAAATTTAAAACAGACAAAATAGTCACTTTAGGTATATTACCTTGTTGACAGCCCTTAACTGCCCCTCGTTAGCCCGAAGTTCTCTCTCGAAGGCCTCGTGTTTTTGCAGTTTCCGCTCAATGTTTGTCAGATCTCGGTAACTCTCGTCTCCGGCTGTCTTCATCTTGTCGTTGAGCCAAGTGTCGAGGTCGTCCACATCAGCAGCAAACTCTTGGAAGGTTTTGGCAGCAAGCAGCGCAGCGCGACGTTCTGCCGCCAATGCCTTCAAAGCCTGTCTGCGAGATAGTACTTGGTGTCTACGTTCGTCAATGCTGAAAACATAATGATTTTTTAGGAAAATTGTGGAAACTATGTGGCTCTTTTGTTTACAATCTGTTATATCGTTCAATATGATTTGCATTGAATAAGGAATTACAATAAAATATTATTATTAATAAATATTATCATTATTATTACAATATTTTTATTGGGGTATTATTTAATACCTTAGAAAAAATACCTACAATCCGAAGATTAAACGATGGAACGTCCTCCTATAGTTGCCCTTTTAAATGTGTGTTAGCTTAACAGAAAGTGTTACATAAAGAAAGAAATGATTTACCTTTTTAGAAAACGAGCAAAGGTTTGCAGCCCCCACAATTATCTTCATGATTGAGTTCACACACAAAAAGTGAAAAAAAACACACTACAAAGCCTCAATTTCACAACAAAAGAACCAGTTTTAGTTTAGGATTAATGGGAACTTTTTTTGTTTGTAAAAATCGATTTACCTATTTCATTAAAATCATGTATAGGCCTACTATGCCATGGATGTGCACTCAAATAGAATTAGGAATTAATTGTAATTTACAACCAAATCAAGATCGAAGTAGACAAAAATTTGGTTTTGGTTATTTTGGTTTAAAATATTATTTATTTTACTTATGATTTCAAGAAGATATACATTTTTTGGAGATTACTGTTTTGAGTTATCAAACTCTACTAATAACCCTGTTTAAATATTCTAAATTGTCATACTTACTACTTTTTGTCGTAGTGATCAGCAGCTATCAACTTGTTAGCCATCTCATTGAACGCCTTTATCCGGTCGTCCTGAACGCTCAGAGTGTTCTCAAAGTCTTCATGTCGCTTTAGCAATGCTTCCACGTCATCCAAGGTTCCCTAATGAATAAAAGAGGTCAAATATTAAACATATTTACATGGTTAACTCTACATTTCTTCTCAAATCATTTGCTGTGGTAAGAGTTCATAGTTAATTAATCATGGCTAATGACAATAACAGTTCTGCCCTTGTATTCCAATGCTAAAAAAAAATATTATTTTTTTCATCACAAATGTTGTTGGAATCTCACCTGACATTATTAGATTAGATCAACAGTTTTATCAATTAATTTTCATCTAACAACACAGAAACATTCTTTTGAAATTATTATCATTAAATTTTTTTCATTACTTTAACTGAACTAAAATTACAAATTTAGTACAAGTTTCAATTAAAACTGAACAAGCATGTTAACAACATTTTTTAATTCTGAGTTTTCATAAAGGGTGTCCAGTGTCCCATCTAAATAAAATCCGAGGATAATTCCAGGTTTTCCAAGTTTTTAAGTTCAAAATTAGGCAAACCTGGCCGCTTAAACTCAACATTAACTTACTTATTTATACCAACTAGAAAATTATATGTCGTGTTTAGCCGAACATTAACATCTGTCTTCATTAATTTTAAAGTTAAGTGAGAAAACATTAGGATGCATGCAGTGATGAATTTCATTACAAAACCGAGAGTGGAAATCACGCTATTTTATAGAATAAAACCATCATTAAAATGTTGATTGGTGCTATAAAAATTGCTATAATTTTTGTACAACAGGCTTGTCCGAAAGGAAAAGTGTTCATCTAAGCACAGATATGCTTCTTAAGCCAGCTGGCCCACATAGGTAGGCCTGCTATCCTAACAAGTCCTTAATAGTTTACAAAAAGTAGACCTTTCTGCTTGGCTTAATTATGTAAAGGTTGGTATCGGCCTATGACATATATCAGTAAACTTTTTTCATAGTTTATAAATTGTTAAAATATTTTTATCACTGTTACTTTTTTCATTGTTTATTAATAATTGTTAAAATCTGACTAGGTACTTTAAATACTATGCTTGCTTTGTTATTTGTTTTGACATTCTATATTTCATGCTATAGTTTAAGATTGGTTGAATAAAAAAACCTGTGAAACAACAAAAATTACAATAGTTGTTGCACACAAGCCTTAAGACTTTTGTAGCTAAATTGTATAAGTAAAATAAATAAATAAATAAAATAAAACAAAAATTGACAGTTGAAACATTTATCTCTAAGGTTGTTGAACACATGCTGACAGTAAATATATGTTTCCATAGAAACTATTTATTTAATTCATTCACTTACACAGAAAATGATTGCAAGATAAATTTTTTCCTCCTGTCAAAATTATTTTGAGGAAGAATACCGATACAAGAAAGGTAATTATATTTGCTCCGTTCCAGAGGATAAAAAGTAGAGAGAGAGCAGTTCTGGAAGTTGTAACATCAGTGAAAACTTGGTAGAATTCTTCCGTTCTTCTGAAGAACTTAGTAGCAACAAAGTATCAACTCCTGGGGAAAATGTGAGTAGAAGTACACGTAGACCTGGTGTTGTATTGCTTTAGTGAAACAAAAAGGATCCACATAGTTGAAAGGATTGTTAAGACTAAGCGCCAAAGTTAGGATTTGCCATGAAAAAATGTTCAACAAACATGATAAAATGTAGGAGATTAATTAATTCAACCATGGACGAGGAGATTGAATTCTGAGAAACTTCAAGTGGAAGAAACTGAAGAGTTCTGTAACATCAATGTACGCCGATGAAGACAAGTGGGAACAGAATTCAAGGACAATTCCTGAAGAAGAGGAAACAACAAACAATATAAATTAGTAAATTAGAACTAACTTATTAGTATTAAGTATCTTTTGTACCTAGTTTTAGTATTTTATGTATCTTGTATGTATTGTAATAAAGTATCCGTGCGCTTTCCTACTTCAGCGTATACGGAGCGTCCCCTGGGTGGCGGATAGGGGGAAGGTCGGTGGATCTGCTTGTCAGTCCTCCCGGCTAGGTCCGATGGACCCGCTGACCAGAAGTAGGGTCCTCCATTCATATTGGGGGTTGAGGCGATGGGCTAACCACCCTCCCTTGTAAAACAAACCTGGTTACGTTTCGCCTACGGAATAGGACTAGATGGATCACATTGGACAACGATCTAAGCTGTGTCATAAGGACTTGAGATTTGGAAAATTTTTTAGCTGGAATGTTCGCTCTCTGGCGGTACCAGGTGCTAAGGGCATCCTTAGCAGGGAACTGGAAAAGTACAAAATGGATGTTGTAGCCCTGCAGGAAATTAGGTGGCCATTTAATGGAATCATTAACGCTGGAAATTTCATGTTATACTATAGTGGTAGAGATTATGACATACATCAAGCAGGAGTGGGATTTGTTACCAATAAAAAGATTGTAGATACTCTATATTGAATTGAATTGAATTGAATATAGTAAAATTTGAGACTGTGGTTGAAAGACTGTGTTGCTGAAGATTAAAATGAAAATTTTAAAAAACTATCTGTGATAAAAATTTATGCTCCAAAGAAGGTTAAGAGTTATGACGAGAAAGATGATTTTTATGATCACAGTTAGTGAGTTAAACTCATAACTATGATTTAAAGATTATGCCAACGGATAGAATATTGAAGGACTATTGTGGAAAAGAGATTGTGCATGGTAACAGTAATGATAATGGAACTAGGCCCCATTGCCTGGCATGTGCCACAAATTTTACAGTTGCAAGCTCCTCATTCCCCATGAAAAACATACATGAAGAAACATTGGTATTACGAGACGGTAAGACTAGAAATAAAATTGATCACATTTTGATTTATAAAAGACTCGGAAGCAGTATTGCATACGTTAAATACTTAAGTGGAGGTGAAGTATATTGAAGTACAGAAAAATGTGCAGCCAAATATTCATGAACCAACACTACAATAAAACTACAAGATTCGATTAAACTATACCATACAAATGAAAAATAACAATCAAAACACATGCATCTTTTAATTGGATACTAGCGCTAAGAAATAACCAAAAATTTCAGAACACACCAACTTTCAGGATCTTCTAAACATTCAAAATCCAGTGATTTCCTGGACATTTAAAATTCTAGGATTTCTAGGACGCTGTCCAGACTCACCCCGAGGTCTGTGAACTCCAAGAATGCTTCGTGACTGGAGGTGGTTGTGTCTATGTGGTCAGCCTCCTTGTTGAACTGTTGCAAGTCGAGACACTGTCTCAGCCAGTCGCCCTTCTGGTCGTAGCCTCGCCGCGTGGCTGCGTACTCAGTGTCCAACCAGCCTAGCCTCTCCTTTACCTCGGTCAACGCAGGATTACGCGTCAACAGCTGCTGACCCAACGAGCTCACCTCTACCAACCTGATCAGGAAAAGCAAAACTGTTACTGTTAATGTTGCAAATATTAACTTTTGGAAGTTGGTAACTGTTAAGTTTGCATGTCCTATTTCGTTCAATCCACCAGATCAAGTATATTAAGGGTTGATAATCATAGCATATACTAAAAACATTGGGAATGGTGTGATTAACAACTATGAGGTAGAGTAGACTCCGCTAGTCCAGCTTGGTTCTCTAAAATTGCGGTAATAGATTATATTTACGTGCAACAAGTTTCCCATAACAAGAATCAACTTATTCTATTATTTTATAGTTAAAATGCACTTACTCATCGTGGTGCGCTCGTATGTCGTCTCCTAGATCTTGATGGTTCTTCAGTAAGAGTTCCGCTGTTGCCACGTCTCTGGCATTTTCTTCAGCATTGAGGGCTTCCTTTACTGTCGAGATCCAGTTTAACTGTTGAAAATAATGAAAGATAATATACAGTACTAGATAATAGATACCAGATAATATACTGTACAGGCATGCTAATGAATCTGTTGGTAAACTACATCACAAATTTGTAATATTTACAAAAGTCTGCCTATCAGTTGTGCCAACAAAATACTGTACAAAGAAATGCTACTCACCAAATTCTTGGAACTGTTCATGAAGATTTGCTGTCCAACAGCATTCTCCAACCGTGATCTCCTCTCCACAGCTTTGTCCTAAACAAAAAATAATTTCATTGTTAACAGGTTCTCAATAAACAATTTTAAGAAAGTATTTTTGTCACCAAGAAATATTCTTAGATTTTTGTAGGTACTAAATCTGAAAAAATACTCTAAGATTGTTGTAGAAGTGAAATGAAATTACCTTGACTTGCTCCCACATTTCCTGTACCTCCTTTTGTCGGACCTTCACGTTTGGTTTTTCATTCGGATACGATGACATTACTCTGAAAATATTGAATGATTATGTCAGTAAAGTTAGCAATTTGAGTTATTACAAAAACGTATCTTATTGAAATAACTGTAATGTTTTTGATCTTATCCATAATATTTATAAAAAACATTATTTTAATTAGGGGCCAGTAACACACTAGAATCAACATAACACAAATCATCATCCAAACTAACGGAGTGTGATTAGACATGACTCACAGTCTACGAGCACCAAGTGTTTGCATATTAGTATTAGCTGACCGAAAACGTTTGTAAATTTATTTATTTTCCAATAATCACATAACATCATATTCAGACAGGTGATTTGTCATTACAATATTTTATAGTCTCTATTATACTTAAATTGTTACTAAAATACATTTCATATGCTGAGCCTTAACATCTACACAGCTTCCATATATTCCTCCAATGAGAAGAAAATGATTTGTGTCCATATCTTTGTGTATGTATTTTTTATAACTTTTCACAACACCAATTATGAAGAGGATTATTAAGGCCTGCCATTCAATTTAAGAACGGACCTTAGGGTTTCTCAAATATTCAATTTACAAAATAAAACAATCAAAAATCATTTACTACAGAACTTACGAGTTGGCTAGTAGGTTGACCCGGTTGACCTTCTCCTGTACCGGGGCCAGCTCTCTCTCTAGTTGTTGATGTCTGCGTTGCAATGCCTGCACAGTCTTGAGGTCGGGACCCACCTCGGCCGAGTCTAGCTGTGTCATCTTCTCCAACATCCAGTCTCTCGCCTCGTCACACGTGCGGTGGAACAGCTCCACACTAAACAAACAATTGCATTTAAGAAACCATGTTAAAGTTTGTGTGTTTGTGGAAACTGAATTCAACCTGCAACTTCTTTTTTGACACAGAAAAAATGTAATTGTTACTAATTTAGCGTAGGAGGGACTATTTAGTTTGTTTCTTTATACCACTTGGATTGGGGCAATTTTTTTTTATTTTGGTGAAATTTAATTTCCCTTGCCCAAAAAATAGAAAATGGTAAGAGATTGCAGAAAGTGAGCATACACTGTTTGGCAATTATACAATTGACTATTGGATACTGAAGTAGACATCCCATCTAATTAAAGTATTAAGTATTAAAGTATTGGACCAAGTGTAGTCTATTTTTATTCATAACAATTTTTAATGAACCACTCACAAGGTTTTTCAGCCTCTAAAATTCTATTACGTATTTCATCCCTAAGTTTGTCTTACTGTGATACTTGATGTGACATTACAGGTGCTATAAATTACATTAAGCTGTCATTTCAGTTAGCTCTATTGGTAGCTAAATTCAATTAATTTAATTTTTAAAACTGGGTACAACATTAACGAGGGGACGGAAAGTCTAGTTCTATCCATGGATAGGGCTACTCCCCAAGTGGCAGCTTCAATTCCACTAAATTAATAGCGGTGTATGATATAACTCAATTTGAGTCAATGCCTGGCAAGTTACTAAACTATTATCTTGGTTAAAACAATCACTATTACGGCATACATCAAAGCTCTTCTAGACTGACCTTGAAGCACCCTCCAGACTCTTCTCCTTCTGCGCCTTGAGCCAGTTCAGATGGTTCCACATCTGATGTATCTGCTTCTGTCTGGCCTTGACCTTGTCTAGCTGACTGTGACCTTGTCTGACAAACTCCTCCACGGCTGCGTCCAAAGCCTCAACACGCTTCCCGCTGGCCGACAGGTCAGTCAGGAATTTCTGTAAAACGGAAAATTATTAGCTCTGGGTAAAAAGGAAGCATTGGAAATTTGGTGGAAATGAATTTGCTTAGGAGGTGTTGCAGGAAGAAAAAGTTGGGCCATGGATAAAATAAAGATACAAGTGGGGAGGTAGATGAATAAAAGGGAACCTTGATGCAATTGGTGCTTAGGGATAGAGTGGAGGGTACGGATATTAATGGCCTGCAAAAACTAGGGGTCAGAGAGCGACAAAATCTGCAAAAAGTAAATCAAGTAAAAGCGGTATGGTGTAAAGTAGCACATCTTATACCTAAAGGAATTGGGATATTGACTTAATGTAATATTGTATACTCAAATCATCAAAGTTAAGAACTGACTTTTGGCGTGAATCCCTTCTCTGAATATGTTTTTCATTGTGATGTACCAATAAAAGGAACAGCAAGTTTATTTTATGTCTGTTTTCAAACTTCCGCACTTATTACAATATTTTACACAAAAATTCTTAGTTAGACCTGTCTCACCTCGTATTTCCTCTTAGCTGTTTCCACGCTATCAGCTCTGTCTTCTGTGCGAAGCATTTTTTCCTTGTCTTTGATCCATTTTTCAAAGTCGTCACACTCCCGGTAGAAACCAAAGAGTCGAATAGAGTCCTCAAGAAGTGCTCTTCGTTTCTGCAAAGTGAAAAAGGATTAAAAGAAGCCACTGCATTAAAAATTTGGTATCTAAAAATTGTTTTTCCTACTAGATGAGTGGGACAAATCTCAGGTTTGAGGTAAAAAGTAAATGTAAACGAGTGTTCATGTGACTAACTCACCTCTGCAAGATCCAGAAGATTACTATAAGTGTTGTTTATTTTCTTCAGACGTTTCTCGACGTTCTGGTTATCATCATCAACAGACTTGTTTTTGGCGGGTTTCCCTGAAATTAGAATAGCTGTAAAATAACTATTTTTCAAAGCATAACAAAAATCACTTAGTCACTTTCATTTAGTGCACAGGCTTCATTGATATTTTAAGCTGAAAATGAATAATGAATAAATAAACTGGAGTGGAATCAACTATATACGTATATCAAGTACAGTAGAACTTCAATCAACTTTCACACTTTAACCATCACTCTCTGTAACTCGTCACTCCGCTACAGTACTTAATGTGTCACAATTGACGCCGTTATGAACATTGAACAAGTAAAACATATAAAATAACAGTTCTGTATTGCTCTTCTGTGTAAGTAATTTAAATATAAATATGTATTATTCACTTGTACAGGGTTTAATTTTCTTCAAAACCTTTTAAATCTACTTACTGTACAGGTTTATAATGGGATTTGATTTATGTTATCTGTCTATTCGCTTAACTGTCATGCTCCTGGTCCTGAGGGTGACGTCACAGAAAACATACTACTAAAACCCAGAATGCCAACTGCATGGTAAAAAGTGTTAAGTACTTTGAGAGAGCTTTGCCTGTCGGTTCGTAGGCAGCACCACCAGCGTTGCTATGCACTCAGCATAGCAACGCTGTTGGCGCTGCCTACGAATTGGCATTCTGGGTTATAGTTAGGGATGGACGGGTCCCGAAATTTCGGGAATTTTTCGGGAAAAAAATATTCCCGATTATCGGGACGGGATTACATTTGACTCGGGAATTTTTCGGAACGGGATTTGGTCCGATCCTCGGCGATTTTTCCGCTTCGCGAGTGCCGATAACGCCGTTATTGTGAGCGATAGGTCCGCGAACGCAGGAGACGAAGTCATACCGACGATCGCGCCGTGACCGCGGAGTCCTACCGACGATCGCGCCGTGACCGCGAGTCATACCGACGATCGCGCCGTGACCGCGAGTCATGACGACGATCGCGCCGTGACCGCGGAGTCATACCGACGATCGCGCCGTGACCGCGAGTCATACCGACGATCGCGCCGTGACCGCGAGTCATGACGACGATCGCGCCGTGACCGCGGAGTCATGCTAACGATCGAGCCGTGATCGCGAGTCATACCGACGATCGCGCCGTGACCACCAGTCATACCGACGATAACCCCGTGACCGCAGAGTCATGCTGACGATCAAGCCGTGATCGCGAGTCATACCGACGATAACCCCGTGACCGCGGAGTCATACCGACGATTGCGCCGTGACCGCGAGTCATACCGACGATCGCGCCGTGACCGCGAGTTATGACGACGATCGCGCCGTGACCGTGAGTCATACCGACGATAACCCCGTGACCGCGGAGTCATACCGACGATTGCGCCGTGACCGCGAGTCATACCGGCGATCGCGCCGTGACCGCGAGTCATACCGACGATCGCGCCGTGACCGCGAGTTATGACGACGATCGCGCCGTGACCGAGGAGTCATGCTGACCATCGAGCCGTGTTCGCGAGTCATACCGATTATCATGCCGTGACCGCGGAGTCATACCGACGATAACCCCGTGACCACGGAGTCATACTGACTATAACCCCGTTACCGAGGAGTCATACCGACGATAACCCCGTGACCGCAGAGTCATACCGACGATCGCGCCGTGACCGCAAGTCATGACGACGATCGCGCCGTGACCGTGAGTCATGACGATGATCGCGCCGTGACCTTGAGTCATACAGACGATCACCCCGTGACCCGCGAGTCACAAGTTACTATAGGTACCTGTAAATTGTTACCAATTTTTTGGCTTTTATAGATCAGTGCCACAAATGGTAAAAATTGATTTCGTACGTCTTTTTTGGTAACTGCAATACAGTACTTTCTTTTTATGCACAGAAAAAAATCCCGTCCCGTCCCGTCCCGAAAATTGGGAAGGAAATAAAAATCCCGTCCCGTCCCGTCCCGAACTAAAAATTCAATCCCGTCCATCCCTAGTTATAGTAGTATGTTTTCTGTGGTGACGGTTAATAGAGGTTCTACTGTAATAAGATAAGGGGTTTCTTTAGCAAGAACCATTAAATTTTATTAAAAAATCAAGGACAGCTTACCCTCTATCTATCAATTTCATTCTGCAAACATCCATTAGTAACTGTCATAAAACAACTTACTCTAGCTGTTCGTCTATTACCTGTTGTCTTTGTCTGGATGGTCTTCTTCACAGGCACCATCTGTTTGACCATCTTCGTCTTCTGCACCCTCTGCACTCCTCGCACTTTCTCTGCCTTTCTCACGGGGATCTGCATCACCTTGGGCTCTACCTCCCTCACGTAGTTGGCTGGCACGAACCCGTCCTGACCATTGCTCTTGCGCACACTCCACCAATCAGGGTTGGTCTTGCTCAGCAGGAACATCACCTGTAAGCACAGTTGTAATTTTAGTCGTCAGGAAGCTGAAATGGTAGAGCACATGCTTCAGGTCCAGGGTTCAAATATAGCCAATAACCAATGGCTTTAAGCTATGTGACAATACCCCATCCTTTAAGGTTTTGTGGTAGGGCCTACCGTATGTGAAGTTGGGATGTAAAGAAAATTTAGAAATCACCGTTTGGTGAGTGAATAGTTACGCCATTTGTTAACCTAAAAGAACTTGTTTTGTGAACAAGTGACGGTGTGACAAGAGATTTACACAGGAAAAAATCATAGTCTATGACTATTAAGAACACTGGGTTTGAAAATTACGATAAAATAAATTGTCTAAATGTAATGTACAAGTTAATGGATTCAACATATAGATTTTCAACCTGATGGATTGGAAACTATACTCTGTTAAAAAAAATTAGGCGGTTTTAGGGCAAGAAATCTATCCCCTCCACTTGATACCACCTTTAAACGATAGCTCAAAAGCTGAGATGTGCCAAAACATCAGCTGTACATTAAGCAAAAATATGTGATGGGGAAACTTACTCTCAAACCGCCTACATTTTGGGAACAGAGTATAGTTAAATTGATTAGTTAAAAGATTTGATTAGTATTAAGCCAAACTTGAAAGACAACCTATAGCATATTTTATGTCCCATCAACTATCCCCATAACAAAAACTCAGTGTGATTTACCACAGTGAGTTGCTTATTTAAATATTTATTAAACTGTAAATTATGACCCTAAACCCCGAGATTCCTCTGTCCTTACCTCTCCTTTGGCCATCACCATCCCCTGGCCACTGAAGGGGTACAGACTCTTAACCTGGGGAATGGCCTTCTCCTCCATGACCGTCCGATACTCCACCCTCTCCACTGGCTCCTCCTCCCACACCTCCTGAGGCACCAGTCTCGCCTCCTTCACCCACTCTTCTCTCGTCTCAAACTCTTCCACCGTCTCCGGCTCTTGTTGCAGCTGCAAGTAGCGGGTAATTAAGTTTTCAGTGTTTGAAATACAATACAAAATGCTCAAACAATATACAACCGTACATCAGTACTATTGTAGCAAGACTGTGGTAAAAATAACTAAAGACTTCAAATTTTGTACTCTTTAAGGAGGTTCTAGTTCACTAACAAGTTATGGAGGTTCAAATATTGCTTGTGAAGGAACTCTCAAGAAATTATTTAATCTGAACAAAAAAAATTGAGATGTTGTTGTTTGATTTGTTTTAAGATATGATCTATGCAAATTTCAGTAAAATTTATAATTTATAGCTTGCCTTTTCTGGAGGGAGAGATCACCAATACATATACAGTTCCCATCCCTTACGAGATCTATCTTTTATTCAACTTGGATTTTTTAAGATGGTTACACGCTAGATTGGGAAAGAGTCCAAACTGGACACAGAACTTTACACTATAAACCCAACATTATATTTCACTGTTACTGACAGAATTTCCAACTAAGGAGAAAAAGAGTTTTTAAATCTTCCTAAAAATCAGGCCCTTGTGCTCTATTACATCCTTTTAGTCTACTTGATTTTGATTAGTTGACATCTCAGAATGAACTTTGTAACCACTCGCCATCAAAACAAGTTTTATTTTAATGATTGAAGCTTTGCCTGGAAAAGGTCGAAAAGACACACTGTGATGAGCTATATTTCTTATACTGCACCAAATTCTGAAATATACCCTGTAACACGATGGGTGACGACTGACGAACACAAAAAGGTGTGTGACAAAATTATAATATTGGTTAATCAGGACTTTTCTCTTCAGCAAAATTTGCGAACTAATTGTAAAGTAGAATGTACAGCTGATGTCTTTGACTCCAGTTACCTTGAGTGTGGATATCCCCGCAGTGACCAGCTGTTCGGCCTGTGTGTTGAGGCTCTGAATGTCTCCACTGTAGGCCTTCAGTTCGCCTTGCAGGTCTCTGTGCCGCTGCAGTAGTGACTGGGCGCTCGGCTCATCCTCACCACAGTCGCCCGAAGTCACCAGCGCCAGCCGCTCGTTCAGCCACGACTCCGCCTCGTTAGCGTCAGCGTAGAACTGGATAACAAAATAGTAAAGTTTTTAGGTTTGATATTTTTGACTATCAAAAATAGATTGATTACCATTTAAAACCAAGAGTAATTTTAAGTTTAGATGTTATTGGCCTTGGTAAGGTAGGATTTTGCTCCCCACTACTTGCCTGAGTTGAAAAAAAGGATTTGTGACACTACCTAGTTAGAAGGGATTGTGGCAGGCTTTTAACTTCTCAGATTTTCCTCCCATTGTAGGTAATGCTATGTCGTGAAAAGTCCAGCTCACATAAGGTTCTTGGGTTGCCAGAATGATCAATTCAGTAGCTTGCTGTTTCTTAATTATTGTCTTAGTGAGTAATTGCAATTTCTTCTTTACTAATATGTGATATTACGTAAGTTTTTAAGCTGTGGTAAATTATTTAAATAAATGATCCCTTGTAGAACACCTTGAGTATTGCTTCATAAACCCAACTTTTAGCAAACATCATCGACAGTTATAAAGTTTTACGCACCTGAAAGGCTTCAGCGGCCTCGTCCAGCTGTTTCTTGCGAGTGGCAGCAAGCTCGCTGAGGGTCCGCCAGTGCTCCTGCAGGCTGTGTATCCGAGCCTGGATGTCGTCTGACTTGGGATGTTTCTCAGCCACGAGACTGTCGCCCGACTCGCACAACTTGTCACACTTTGGTTTACGCATCTTCATTTCGTCCATCAAAACCTATATGGATACAACAACTTGTAGACAATCATGATAAAATTAATTGTAAATATACTTACATTTCATTATTACCATCGCTTATTACACATTCAACATTCAAAACTAAGGTATGATAATAATTATCTTATGTATGAGGTTCTACAGATCAGTTCTTTCTCTTTAGCTGAAAGAACTATTCTTTTCCTAGAAAGGTGAGCTTAGAGTTTGAAGTGGACTAAAGCTATGTGAAATTGAATTTGGCTAAGTTTCAACCCGGTCCGATACTACAATAGCCAAGGCTAGAAACCTGCTCCACTAAGCCAGCTTGAAGTAGATAGTGTGAAAAAACTTGTATGGATACTATTTCTCTAAAAGAAAAGAAGTAGTTAATTCTATGACTAGGAGTGGTTTAACTGTACTGTATATTTGCTTGGTGAAGTTTTTTTTTAGTATAATAATGTTTATTGTCTTTAAACTCAAATCTCTCAAACCAACAATTTTACTTGACAATTACACAAGAAATATAGCATTTGGTACCTCAAAAGAAGAACCGACATTACATATAAATTGTCCATTTCCAATCTGCATATTTAAAAATGTTACTATAGATTTTAACCCTGTCAATCCTTGTGTCAATAACCTAGTAATTACCTCTATCATTGGTAAATAACCAGTGAATATGATGGAGAATCATCAAATAAGCAAAATGTCTCTTGAGGACAATTGGAATGCTGGAGGAATGAATCAGACCTCAGCTGTTGAGAAGACCTATTATAACTAACCTTATGTTTCTGCTGTAGGCTGACTACGGCACGCAGATCCTTGGCAGACACACCCGCCTTGCAGATCCTCTGCTTCTCCACCAGCCACCCCTCCTCATCCTCATGGTCCTGGACAAACTGGAAACACTTCCTGGCGTCCTCCAGCCTTGTGCGTCTCTCTTTGCTGCTCTCCACCAGACTACAACAACCACTTCTGTTACTACTGAACAGTGGACAACAAGTTGAGGGTTTGTCGTTACATTTTCATAATGAGTTTACCAGTATTCTCCATTATCAAAGAACAGAAGTAGCCACTATTAGACTTATTAATTAAGATCCGAAAATACATTCACAGGACCTAAACTTAATGATTTTGCATGGACCTTACACGTTTAGTGAAGACAGACATTGGCAGTTCCATAGAGTGGCTATATGGGTTAAAGCCCCACCCCCCATTGGACTCTGAAAATAAAGATTTAAACATACATTTCATCATAAAAACGTAATGGAGGTCTTTCAACACAGGTCTTCTAGACATTGAAAATGGCTTTAAAAAGGTTACCAACTTTAAAAGGTCAACTGCTTTAAAAATAGCAAATTTTCTGAGAAAACCCCCGTAAGCCCCTTTGTTGACAAGGTCCTAGAACCGCCACTGAAAACAAAATATATTCAGAAAAAAATAACAATTAGGCCTTCGGCCTTCTAACTCTGTAAAAGCAAAGTTAATTGACCAGGATTGGTAGAAGCCATTTAGGTTTAGTCTTTGTGATAGGCAACTAATAGAAGCACAGCTATCTAGCCTTCCTTTTGGATCAGTCTGTACAGCTACTTTGCTTTTTAGATTTTAACACCATGATGGAAAACCACAGGAATTATTTCAAGCAATAACATACTTGGAGTACGCAGTGTTGAGCTGGTCCAGTCGGCCCTGCAGTAGAGGTGCCTCTCTGTGACCAGCCGTCACGTACTGCTGCCCTTGTCTGCCCAGACGACGCACAGTCTCTCCCATCGCCACTGTCACCTGCATCTCTACAAGACTGTGCTTCTGCAGCAACTCCTCCACACCCATCAGGTGACCTCCAACGTCTCCGGACTGGAAGTTGACCTGCAACAGAGTACATGTGAGGGTTGAAATGACTCATGTTTCTTGGATGAAATGGTATTGGAAACAAGAAATTAGAATAGTGAAGTGTCTCATCAAATAGTTGAAAATGGAGGGAATGAGTTATAGTAGAGACATATGAACAACTATTTCTTCTGATTTTTTGCATGGTGAAAAATGTTATTCATTGTATGTTTCATTGCTTGTCTTGGTAGACAAATTGTGAGTTCAAATATGTAGGTTGATAGTTTGAAAGGAAACAACTCCTTTAAATTTATTCATGAAACAGATCATGAGTATAAGGTCCAACTCTGGTTGCGATTAAAAAAATATATAATTAAAATAAAATTTATAGTATGAGTTGACGTTGACAGTTCCGTAGTTTTGATCAACTTGTCTAGTAAAAATGCACACTTACTAGCCTTGATAGTGTTAATTAAAATATACTGTATTAGTTATGATTCACAGCACGACTCGCTCAGTTTGAACGACTTGATTACGTACCTCCAGATCCTTTATGGTGGTCATGACAGTGTCTATCTCCCTCAGCATGGACATCAGAGTACACAACATGTTGAGGTTCAGTCTGTGTTTGTCCAACAGCTTCAGCAAATCCTGCCACCTCTGCATCACCTCCTTCTCCTTAGCCTGCACTCGCTCACACCCGTGATACCTCTCTCTGACCAGCTCCTCACACATGTTGGTCAGGTCGTGGAATCGTTCTTCCTGTAAAACATCAACACGGACATAGGCTTAGATGGAATGATAAACCCTTAGAATTACTAAACAAATCTTATTAAGGAATAATGGCTGAGACACAACTAAGTATGTATTTAAATTAAAATATATTGTATTTAGAACTCTGCCGATCAACTTTACAGAATGTTGTCAGGATAAGTAACACACTTCTTGTCTATTTCCTACATGCATTTACATTGCCACAGACAGAACTGATAGCAGACCTACTACGGACCAATGTACTTATTTTAAATTGAAAACCACAAAACTTGTAAAACGTATAAACATAGTAAGATGTTTGGAGATGTGAGAAGTAGATGAGAAGATATAATTCCTAGGAAAGATGAAGTTGATGGTCATAGCCAGAACAAGACAGATAAGAAGACCTATAATGGGTGTGGGGTTCGATTCCCGGCACATCCAAAACACATGGGCTTAGACCGTTTTCCTTAAAAGCTCTATTTCAGTACACACATTGTCTCTTGTCTGAAAAAAATGAGGAAGATAGATTAGGAACAGAAGGATGTGGAAAAGAGGAAAATACCTATGGATAGAATAGAATGGAAAAGCCTAGACAATGCCTGACCCAGGAATAACCGGAACATGAGAGAATGTGTATGTGATAAAACATAATTTAAAAAAGACGTATATCTCACCCTGGCGATGATATCCGCACTGATAGCCTCGTGTTTCTTCACTGTTGCGTCCACCTGAGCCAAACTGCTGCCATACCTCGGGTCCGACAAAACCTGTATCATCTCCTTCAGGTAGCCTTCTCGTAACACACTCTGTTAAACAACAAAAGATTAAACACAGTTCAAATTGTATACCTGAAACATGACATAAATTTATAGTGGGCAACCTTTAGAAATATATTTTTTCATACAAAAAAATTTTTTTAGGATTTACAAACTTTTAAGTAGCATATATAAAAATTCTCATATATTTTTTAAAAAACATCCAGTTTTAACCTGAGAAAAGTCAGAAGCTTCTCAGAACGAGTCTTATCCAAACATAAATATTAATATCAGACTAAGAAAATCAGGTGTGTACGCTGAAAGAAACTAATTCAAGTAGCCATATGAAAGCAATTAATAAAAATAAAGATACAAGTAATCAACTTTCTCAATCATAGTCTAATTCAAACAGACCTTTCTTTCAAACTTGTAGTTGAGTTGCTCAAGGCGTTCCTGTCGTAGCAGTTCTTGACGTAGAGCCACCTCGCGTCTGTGTTCCGCTCGCTCCAGCTCCTGCCACACCCTCTCCAGGTCATGGATCAGCTGACCGTCCTGAGGTATGAACGCTGGCTGGTTCAGCGACTTGAGCTGTGTGTTGATGTGAAAGTACAACGCTTCTATCTCACTGCGCTCTTTGTATCTGAGAAACATAGATGTGGTTAGGTACAAGAGATGATGAGAAGGAGTAATAAAAAATAAAAAAAGAATCGCAAGGAGTCAGGTTCAGAGTTTGTGGCAGCAATAGATGTGTGAATTCCAAAAGACTTTTTTTCGCTATATGACAACCAAAAGCTGTTGTTTTTCTTTGGCCAGCAAACAGATTTACTTATGACCACATAAATTGACCTAAAAACGTAATTGACTTTTATATATATCAGCAGCATAGTTTTAATTTTTGGGATACAAGCATGAACCATTCTGTAATAACTAAACTAAGGGATTTATTAGTTTGACATATTTATTCCTGACTATGGTATTCAAAATATTTTTAATCAGATCAATGTTGATGAATAAATAGCCAGTTTTAGTAGGCCTACTGTTTTAAATATTTCCAACCAATAGCAGGTTTCAAATTTTGTTAGGTTTAATAACAACCAAATGTATAAATACACAAAAATATGAACAAATAATACTAAGATTATACTCACTTGGGCGGTTTTTCTATGGTACGGTATTCTTTAAATTTTAGGAGCTCTTTTTGGATCCCTTCCAAAGAGTTAGGAAAGTTTCTGTTCTCCAGCTCCAGTATCTTAGCTCGTATCCAGTCCAACAGTCGCGTTGTTAGTCTGTCGTAATGAACTTTCATCTTGTCTGCATCCATCATCTGTCCAACAATCTGAAAACAAATTAACCAGCTTAATGAAACGGTTGTTTAGAAAAAATCTAAATTCCATTTTTGACTAAACCTATCAAAATATTTGATTTGCTGATTACTGATTAAATGGTCTATTGATCAAACGTGAATGCAGCTTACGCATATTTTGAGCCGAGTGAGATTGAAACAGCATTGACGGGTTGGCGAGTTTCATTGCATGATTTTGACCTTGTCTTTGAACCCTCAAGGGGGCTTGTAGCTAAACGCGTAAAGATTTTGTAAAAAAAACCTACTAAATTTGTGTCACCAATGGTGATGCGAATTAGTGAGTCTGGTTAAGTTGCGTAGGTTTTCTCCACTTGCACTCTATCTAGATTAAATTTTTTTTCTTACAAACTCATTTACATATATTGCATTCGAATAGCAATTTTTTCATTGTAGAAGGTAAAGGATCATTGACCCTTAAAACTTAAAGGACGGTACGTTGGCCATTGTTAAAAAACCACAAAACCTTGACTTACGTATGTAGGCTCAACACAAGAAGAACTAAAGTGTACTTTATGTATGTAAGCTTAGAACTACTACGCTAGGCTGTTTTATGGATACTGTAGTATACAGTCAGGTCTGATAAATTATAGATTCTTTTGAAGCATTGTTTCCAAACAGGAACAATCACAACAACAATGCATCGCACACCGCTACTCAAACTCAACCCTACTGTGGTTACAACAAAAACTGACTTAGTGATAAGTTTTTAATGTAATAATTTTATATAATAAACAGCCACCTCCACAAGATTAACAGGTGGATCATTGTGTTTTACATCAAACCATTTCAAGACTCACATTGGCTATCCTCCGACCACTCTTCATCTCATTCTTCATCCGGGCGAAGGTGTGATAATACGAGGCGACGTACGTGATGATGGACTTCTCGTCAGGTCTACTAGTGTCGACATCTGTTGGTGTGAACAACAAATTAATACTTCTTATATGAAATTAGGACCTCATGGTCCTTTCCTACATTTGACTTCCAAAGAAAAAGAGCAATAGTTCTAGAACAAAAAAATTACCAAACATGTATATGGTAACTGTGGCGGTTCCAAGAGGGTGCTACAGAGGCTTAAGCCTGCCCCCCCCCCCCCCATTGGACTATGAAAAATGTAAAATGTACTATAAAAATGTAACAAAGGTTTTTGGATACAGTTCTAGAAATTGAAAACTACTATACTGTAATGAGTTTTACCGGACACCAATCAACTGATTATACTGTATTTGACTAGTGATTTTTAGTCCTATAGTTGGTGGTAATATATAAGGATTTGTACAGATTTAGTAGTATGGTGTAAATTATCGTACGTCACTCGTCCAAAATGTGTTTACCGGGACTCGTATGGTAATCCCGTACCCGACTTCGACTCGCACGGGAACGACCACACTCGTCCGGCAAACACTTATTTTCAGGACTAGTAACGTAATATACTATTGTTACTTGATAGGTAAGAGATTAGGTTTGGCATCTACTGGGTATATACTGCTGAAAGCTATCGGTAAATAAACAGATTTTAACCTGTAGGCCTCTACGACACAAGTCCTGCGCTCAACTTCTTCAATAGAGACATTTTATCAGCACTATTGATCATTCATAATGTAAAATTTGTATTATTGTTGTATTCCACAAAAATATTTCAAATATCTGACAAAAACTCTGTTTACTGTGTTAAAAAAATTGGATGTACAGTATATGGTATCGGAAATAAGGGTAAATTGTATTGGACAAAACTAAGTTAAAATGGTTTACATAATTTTTCTTACACTATTATATATCTTTTTTTCAAAACATTTTTTCTGGCCAAATATTTGATGATACACACTAAATGAACAAATTGTACACAAATAATTTATTTTTGTAAAAAAATTCAACCGACTTCAAACGCTCTAAAAAGAATGAAATAATTTCAATAAAGTAAACATTTGTATTAGGCAAGCTCACGTATTTTAAGTCGGCGCGGCTCTATGATGATTTTTGATACAAAATTGAAAGAGGGTGTCCATATTGCAGGTGACTATCTATAACTATAGGTGTTAATCTGCATGTCTTTTTCATAGTTATGCGTTAAGTGTTATTTAATCACCGTAATCAGAGATATCTTTTAAAAGATTATAACGCATTTAAATGTTTGTAACTTGGAAAAGTAACGTTTTAATACTAAACTAGCTTCTTTTCCCTATCATAATATCAAACTAAATTATTTTCCTATTCATATAGAACATTTGTGTGTGTTATTTTCATAATGCATTTATTCTGACGTAAACATAAAATACAAGAAAATATGTTCTTTAATATATAAACAAAACAGTTCAGTATGTTTTTTTATATATTTATGTTTAATAATAATACGAAAATATATAATATAATACAAAAATTAATAGGCTACAATTTATTGATTTTCAAAATACACACACAATATTTCATTTCAATCATATTTGCAGTTTGAGCCGCACCGACTTGAAATACGTGAGCTTGCCTAATACAAATGTTTACTTTATTGAAATTATTTCATTCTTTTTAGAGCGTTTGAAGTCGGTTGAATTTTTTTACAAAAATAAATTATTTCAGAATTTTTAGTGACTGTATAATTTTTTATATATTAATTACTTGAGGATTTGTCATAGACTCAGTCCTTGCTCTGCACACTGAAGCCACTAACCGAAAGAGATGACGCGGTTAAACTTCTAGGTTTCCTGGTTGGATCCCAAACTAAGCTGGAGCTCACATATTGATAGGGTATGCGCACGGCTATCTAGGGTTATTTGCCTCCTAAGGAAACTTCGGAACATCATCCCGAAGCAATTCTTGATAACTGTGTACCATGCTCTGTTTCATGGCCATCTTATGTACAGCTTGGTACTTTGGGGTCATTCACCATTAGCACAGGACATATTATTGCTCCAGAAAAAAGCTGTAAGAATCATAATGTCAGCCGACTACAACGAACATTGTAGGCCCCTTTTTAAAGATCTGGGCATTCTTACAGTCTTCAGGCAATATGTATTGAACATCCTAATACTCCTGAAAGAGAATGTCCATCTGTTTGACCGAAGAGAAGTTCACCACCGCTATGACACCCGGCAAGCACTACACCTTGACATGCCGCGTTGTCGTCTCACCCGCACCCTTAAGAGCTATCCCCGCTATGCCATACGGTTTTTTAATACCTTGCCGGTTAAGGTGCGGGATATGGAAATCACCTCTTTCAAAGCTGCCATCAGAAATAGCTTAGTAGATAGGCCACTGTACTTGCTGGAGGAGCTGAGTAAAGAACCCCTAAAAGTTATATAAAAGCCCTTCATTAAAAATGGGGAACACGTTTTATTTACCGCCACAGCCTGTTTAAGTTTTATTGTTTATATGTATGTAAATAGTAGTGTTTATTCTTAAATGTATATAATAACGCAGTCTATCTGACATTGTCGGTCAACGACGCAGCACACAAGTATCAAGTAAGTATCAAGTAAGTATCATAAGCAAAACTGTTTGACACAATCAAAAGTTCCACAGAACGATCATTATTTTAAAACTGCTTGAGTCACCTGTTCAGGTTACATAATCAATGGGTAAGAAAATAAACATTTTTAGATATTCCTTAAGAAAGAAAGAGTTGTCCATTACATTAGGCCTAATGAAAAACTAATTGTCTTTTCTAGATACATTGAAATGTCAGACATCATCGTTTCCTGCAATCGGTGTACTTCTTCATTATAAAAAGAAATACAGTAACGTCTCAAGCCTTTTGGAACAATATGAAAGTTATTCCTCAGCTACCAGCACTAAAAAATCTTTCAAAAGTGGAAAGTTGGTCGTTAACACGTATAGTACCTTTGGAAAATATTATATGAAAGATTGGTTAAGCTAAAAGTGGTGTAAGTCATGTAGGGGGTTTTGTTTGCTCAAGATATAGCCTAGTCGAAATTGCAAATCATCTTCCTCTAGGACTTTCCGAAGCAGGCATAATAGTATTGATATGTTATAGTAACTGGGTAGAGAATATTAATAAACATTCCACATCTGCAAATGAAATATGTATATGAAAGATTGGTTCAGCTAAAAGTGGTGCAAGCCATGTAGGCGGTTTTGTTTGATCAAGATATAGCCTAGTCGAAATTGTAAATCATCTTCCTCTAGGACTTTCCGAAGCAGGCATAATAGTATTGATATGATATAGTAACTGGGTAGAGAATATCAATAAACATTCCACATCTGCAAATGTATGTTTAGTAATTAAAATATTTAACACTTTTAAGACAATTGACGATTATGCACTGTCACACTTATTAGGTCGTGTAAGGAATAATTGCATTTAATTTATATATTTAGACCTGTTTTACGAATGCTTTGGGTTTTACAATACACCTTTACCTATTTGCCAATATCATACAGCTATTCACTGAAACATATATGTTTTTGTAAGTCAGAATATTCAATACTAAAAACAGAATTACTGTATACACAAATCAGGTCAAACGTTAAAATACATTTTTTATAGTAACCAAAACAAAATGCATTTTTCTCAATGTAATTCATTTAGGCTCCATGACAATAAATAGTTTATTGATCAATATGAAGCAACTGTTTCATGAAGAATTGTCTGTAGCTTCATTTAAATGGTTTAACTAACAGCTGTAGGAATGTTATTATTATTTATTGCCTTCTCTGCACAAATGTAAACAATCTGCACAAATGTAAACAAAATAAATGTTGAATATTTAAGGTTTTCAGAATTTTTCACCGAAACAAATATTATACTTAAACATAATATATAAGGTACCAAATAGAAACTCTCCTGGTTATTTTGGTGGTGGAACCACAGTGATCGGTAAAAGAATCACAGAGAAATTGGTGAACATACATAGAAAAAAAAAAACATCGCCACAAACAAATTGAGAACCTCCTCCTTTTGTTGGTAGTGGGGAAGTCGGTTAAAAATGAAACCCAAAGCGATATATTTCTCAAAATATTTCTTTTACAGGATTAGTTGTCCTGGGGAACTATGAAACCAAAGGAAAAATTCAGTGTGAGTCATTTTCTTATCACATTGATAACAAGTTTAAAACTCATTAAACTCAACGTTTGTCTCTCTAGGTATAGCCCATTGGGTAAAATATAGAAAAATAGAACTATTTTGTATTTAAATATGCACTGTATAGTATTTAGTTAAATTTTACATTTTATTTTCAATTTTTTCTGATTAATATGTATTAAAAATGGTTTAACATGTAATAGAATGCATATGCATAGGCTATAAGTGTATTTTTTTGTGTAATAAGTTTATAGTATTTCAAATTTCTAGTTTTAATTTAAAAGTAAAAAAATATAGAATTGCAACCGATATACATTGACCTTTATATGATTGTTTACTTTCACTATGAAATAAGTAGTGCTGTAACTTCAGTTCACAACTGTAGAAAGAAAATGGTTCTCGTGTTAATGACTCTTTTACAAATGTTTTTCATAATCTTTCTTGCATATTTTTTTTTAATAAACAGGGACAAAAGATACAGAACAAACTTTTTCAATTCTTTTTTCTAACCCAATGCAAAACTTGGGTGTAAAATATGACAAAGGAATCTTACCTTCGGCATCCAACAGCCGAGGGATGCCCAGTTCGTCGTTGGCGATGTCGAAGGCGTTGTTGAGATTGTCGATATGTCGGGTCGGCTGCAGCTCTTTGAAGTCGATCAGGTCTGGTCTGTGAGCGTGAATGAGAGCGTTGAATCCCAACCCGCTTCTCCAAGACGCTGCAAGTAATAGAAGGGCCTTTTAGAAAATGTATAAAATGATAAAATACTACAAAAACAGTATTTACATTTCTAAAAAAACTTAACTCAGCTAAAAACAAAACAAGCGCAAAAAATCCTAGGACGCAAAAACCAAGGCTAGGCTATATGATTAACGAATTTTTTTCTCAATTACTTTTAAAATATTGTTAAATTAGATCTAGTTTTGAGCGTGCCAACCAGGCAGACAACTGAGAGGTCATTGCCGTAGCGTTAGTGCGTAGGCATGTGTCCTGTATTCACGATATAGTGTATTCCCAATTTGAAAATAAAGTGCTTTATGATGTCATATATTATATATAAAAAGGAAAGATATAACTTACAAGTGAAGTCTTGAATAGCCACATTAGGATATCCAGTGGTCTTCCTTTGACACCAAAGCAGCAAAGCATCTTTGGCTGATTTCTTTTCACTGCTCTCATCTTCTTCATCCTAAAAAGAATATTAAACCAGTTATTTATATTTAATAATTTTAAGTTTATTACTTCTGAATAGCAGAATAATATGCATTTATTCTGCATCCAGAGAATTCTTTGAATACTTTATAGATAATGAAAAGCTTGCATTTCATGATATAATTTTCAAGTGACTGATGCTTTGCTAGAGGACATTAAACAACTTCATTAAAAATTGACAATTTACAATTTTTTCAATTATATTCCTCCCGATAATAATTAATAACTATATAATGCTTTCCTAAACAAATTCGTCCAACTATCAATATAACAAATACAAAATAAAGCCATAAACATATAATCAGAAAGACAGAAATTATTCTATGGACCGCTTCAATATTTTTAGTTTGTACAGAACCCAGGTTTATTACAGGAACCATTCAGGAGTATTTAGCTACATTCAAATTTTTGTTGCATTCATATGCTATCAAAAAACACATTATTTGTTTCAGCTAGTTAAGAAATTGGATTAATCAACTAAATATAACTAAAAAATTAATATTGATGTCACTAACTACACAGGGTGAGGTTCATAAGGTCCAAATTTCACAAAGTCCAATGGTTAAAATATTAATAAACAGAGCGTTTCACAAGGTCCAACGGTTAAAATATTAATAAACAGAGCGTTTCACAAGGTCCAAATTTCACAAAGTCCAACGTTAAAATATCAAATGAACAGAGCGTTTCACAAGGTCCAAATTTCATAAGGTCCAAAACTATGACATTCAAATAATCACCGTTTCACAATGTCCAAATTTCACATAGTCCAATGTTAAAATATCAAATAAACATAGCGTTTCACAAGGTCCAAATTTCACAAGGTCCAAATTTCACAAGGTCCAACGGTACAGTCTCGGCCAGAAGTCGCTGCAGAGGTTGCCGTGGTTCGGTATGTAGGCACTACACTACCTAGTGTTGTTGCCACGCGTCACAAAACATCATTGTGGGTCCGTAGATACGTTGTAAAGTAGTGGTATTCACCCCTTCTGCAGCAAACCTGCAGACTAATCGATTTTCCATTTCTCTTATTTGATTTACACAAGAATATCTCCTTAAAATGATCACATTTATTCCCTATTTAAATAGCATTAGTTTAACAAGTACCGTACATAGGTTTGCTGCAACAGGGAGTAATCAGTAATCAGTAATCAGTAGTTGAGCGCCGGCGGACGGTGCCTGCTATCTGACCGGTGCCTGCTATCTGACCGTGGCAACCACTGTAGAGACTTCTGGTCCAGACTGTACCGTTGGACCTTGTGAAATTTGGACCTTGTGAAACGCTCTGTTTATTTGATATTTTAACGTTGGACTTTGTGAAATTTGGACACTGTGAAATAGTGATTATTTGAATGTTATAGTTTTGGACTTTATGAAATTTGGACCTTGTGAAACGCTCTGTTTATTTGATTTTTAGCATTGGACTTTGTGAAATTTGGACATTGTGAAACGGTGATTATTTGAATGTTATAGTTTTGGACTTTATGAAATTTGGACCTTGTGAAACGCTCTGTTTATTTAATATTTTAACCGTTGGACTTTGTGAAATTTGGACTTTTTAAGAAACGCTCCCACTACACAGCCCTACTACACATACTAACTAATGAACAAAAATATACATACGTACTACACATACACAAACATACTATTGCGCTGAATACATACCACATCTATCTCAATCTCTTGAATCTGGAACCTCAAGATGATGGTCCAGATCAAACCCAATATGAGACGAGGGTTGCCATCTACGATGTCCTGGGCACCGATACTCTCCAACCTCACCTGCGCGAAACAAACCATTAAACAACTGTTTTACATACACAACACAGAATAGCAAACAGCCGTTTAAAAAAACACACACAACACAATAGAAAAGCACATCAAACAGCTGTTTAACATACACAACACAGAATGTCAAACAGCTGTTCAAACAGCTGTTTTAAACAGCACATACTCAACACAATATAAAAGGACAATAAATGGCTGATTAACATACACAACAGAGATTGTCAAACAGCTGTTTCAAAGAACACATACACAACACAATAGACTATTAGACAGATGGACATAAAAATTTGATTTTGTGTTGTTCGTCCCGAACATGATGGCATGAATTTAAAAAAAGTTAAAATACTTGATACTGCAGGATGAATAGTGGAGTAGAAGATCACAATGCAGTACCAGGTATTTCAATCTTTTTACAATTCAGGAAATAATAGTACTTAAGGTCAAACAAGCAATTAGAAAATTAAGGTCAGCGGACAAAGACAGAAATTAGCGAGTTTCTGGAAGAAAAAATTTAATTGATGTCCGAATAATTGACGAAGTGTTGGGCTGAGAAGAGATGAACAGATGACGGAGCTAACTTGCCTAGAGGGCTAACAAAATTATGACTGTAATAAAACAATAATTATATGCTTCCCATAGTAAAATCTGAACCTTGTTTATTTGATGAGTGATTCATGTTGATGAAGTTGAGCCCTAGTTTACACATTTTTCTCTTCTTTTACAATTAATTTGATGATTTTTGCTTCACTGTTTGGTTATAAAACCAGAGGAAACGCTTTTATTTACAACTCAATCGTTTTCTTTGGAAAACTGGTTTTGATATAACAAGAAACAAAAAGAAAACTTGCTGCCCAATGTAAACCAGACAATAGAGAACATCTCCTTCTTGGTTGTGTTTCTAAATTCTATCCATCAAATCATCTTCCTTTGTTCCCATTCTAAATATGATGAACTTTCTGTGACCTTTGAGAAGATGATTTGATTGACCAAAGAGTTACACAGGGTTATATCTGATAAAAACAAGTGTTACAGAGTTCCAGCTGATCAAAAAGTGTTAAGAGTTTTGGTAGATCAGCTGATCGAGCAGATGGTAAACTAATAAACATGTGAAGCCTGAGAGAAAGGATGGGGAAAGCATTGAGGTGGGAATGGAATACAAAAGCAGGGAAACCTGGAGGCTTTCTCAAGCTCATTCGCTTTCATTGCCTTCCTGAGTTCACATTCTCAGAATAGCAAACTGTTGCGACAGTCGACAGTAGGTAACAGTAAATGTGGAAAATGCCTTCAGCAACCACTCTTGCTTTCTCATCTAAAACTGAAGTGGTTAGGAAGATACATTGACTTTGGATAGTGCAAGTAGACTTTGTAAAATCTTTAACCTTTTTTGAGGTGTGGTGCACGTACAGTAACATTTTAGGGGGATTATGCCTAGTGGCATTTTTTAAGTTTTTTGTAAGGAATGGTCCAAACACTGGTCTTGTAAAATTTAAGTAAATTTCAGATACTGGAGTGTGTTGATCTAGACTAAATGTTTTTAGATGCTGTTTCACACATTACTTCAAGCAAGTCATAGAGTGTTGCAGTATTATTACATAAATAAAATCCATTGGTGATTAGCAAGATTTGAACCCAAGACCTTGGGCACCGAAGCCCTGCTATCTACCACTACACCAGCTTGCTTCCCTGAGTTGTTATGCTATAGGAGAGCGTTAGTTGATAAGTACAGTAGATTGTTTACTTAATGTAGTGGTTATCATATAAAATTCATATACAATTTTTGACAACTAAAAATAGGGGTAGTCCAATACAATATCAATTTTGAAACATCAACTCTCAATTGTTTAGGTGAACATTTTTAAATTTTTAAGTAGGGTAACAATTTCTGAATTACAAGTAGAAATGTATTAATTTGTAATACAAATAAATTGTCCAGGGATTTCATAGAAATCATTACCAAAACTTGAATGAGACAGGATTAAGGTTAAAACAGCACCCCTGAAAAAATATCAGAGATGATGTTATGCTAAGGACTTTTTAACTCTTTTGGGCTTATCTTCCCCAATAATAGGCCACACCTTTTCCAGAGTGTATTCAAAAAATATCATAACAACTGCAAGTGACATGGCCAAAGTGTCCTTCAGATTTCAGTGACAGATAAAACAGTCACTACCTGTGGCCTTCTATTGTGTGCACGGTGTACACCATTATGAAACTTCCCAGGGAAAATTAAGTGCATAAAAACAAGGCAACAGCGACAGACTTTAATGCACCAGGAACATTATTTGTGGAGTTGAAAAGGATGGAAACCAAAAACAAAATGGGTAATTTCGTGTTATACCGACCACACCTGAATTATAACCCCCTTAGGTTAGGATAAACTAATTAAAATCATATTTGGAAGTCGATTTATCGATTTGGTCGTTATAATACGTAAGTACCCCAAAATGAAACCTATATATAAACTTGAGTAGGCCTAAATAAAATACCCCACAGATATAAAACAATCAACACAATTTTATCCCTGGAACGGGAAAATATCCCGAATACGGGATATGATTGCTTGATTGCTACAGCTAGCACTGGTGTAACAGTACCGCTCAGGTCAACGAACCAAACACCTTCATTCAATTTATTCCACACACTTTCTACTCGGCGCGCCACTGCACTGACCCTCAAACGCGAACGTGTTCCCGCGAAAATCGCCGCCCGGCGCGCCGTGGCGGGAGAAACCCACTAGGGCAAACCTCGCTCCCCGAAGCTCAGTCAGTGATTTCTGCTTGAAGGATTTTAGTGCTACATGAATCGGACTTACTTTAGTCGTGGACTATAAACCTGGGCTATAAAGCTGGGTGGTATTTGTCGGTGTAGATCAATGTATAGATTTATTTTATAAGGTTTCATCACTTCAATCACACGAAATCCTAAAATTGCAGGGATTATCAATTTACTTCAATAATGTCCACTAAATCACTTTACTAAAACAGCGACGTATTTTGAGTACGTATTTTAAAGCCGTGTGATTTAGATTATACATGTAACTTTGCTACTAATCGATAAAGATCTGCCGATTCTTTAAACTAGGACGATTCGTTGAATATTTATGGTACACAAACTGTGTATGTAATGTCTAGGTTAAGTGCGTCAAGAAGGAATGTTTAGTTTCTTAACTTCTATGTAAAAGCATCGACAATAATGTTTGTCTATGGTAAAAGCTAAAATACGTGACACCGAGACCTCCGTGGGAATCAGGACTCCCAGAGGAACTTCAGTGACTGAAGTAGGAAAAGTTGTTGTACGTAGTCATTTTAAATTGGAAAGTGCCTTTTATTAGGATTATAGGTTAAACCAGGCCGTAATGCTCGCCAAGCATGACGTCACGATAGAAGACGGCTATGACGTATGAGTACTTATTTATTTATTTTGCAATGAAAAATTAAAACAAGCAGCTGATCACAAACGGTATAATTACGTCATTGCCGTCTTCTATCGTGACGTCATGCTGAACAAGCATTACGGCCTGTTTTTTAGTGTGGCCATAAACTCGGGTTGGACCTACAACACTCAAAACGTAAAAACGTAATAGTGTAACAGCTGATTTAGAACTATTTACAGTATTGCCAACTTGACTGGGACGGGTGGCGTCGTCCTGTAATCCAGCTACTAGGAGGTCACGAATTGTGGATATTTATAGGCATGCACTGTAGGTGCGGTACTCCCTGGTGTGGATTAACGTCCGCACGAGTGAGTACTACGACCATCCGCAGTACTATCCTGATCATTAGACCAATTCGTATATACAAAGGAAAGATTCCACTATAAACTGTAGGTCCCTTAGTTGCCATTACCTGTATGGGCTATTAATTAACAGCTGTGTCTAAGGAATGTCGGCCTTAGTCACTAACAAGACTACAAGATCGCGCCACTCATCCTACACTCATCTCCATTCATACTTGGCTTAAAATACCTACTATGTAGGATGGTCGCCATTTCATTGAACAGTATTAACTTATTTTCACTTTACACCGCATCTAGGGAATTTCACTATTTTAGAAAATCTTCAATGCGTATAAAAACAAGCACGACAAAATGGAAAAGTGTACCACCAATTTGCGTGTTATTGGTAAAATATTGGCATTTTTTTTAAGGGAACTTGAGGAAAAATTGTTTTCAACTGGTTTAGGCTTGCCTCATTATCACTGCGTGACATTAGCAGCCGCTTATAACACGCTGATAACACATTTCGTCACACACAACTCAAGGACAACAGTGATAACAGTGTGCATGGCTTGGTAAACGAAATGTACTTCTCGGCTTACCTATGGGTAGAAAAGTAAACGCAAGTAAAATCAAGCTTTGGATACTGAGAGCACGAAACTTGATGGCTTGGATACTCCATCTTAACCTTATTTTATTTTTCACCACTGACTTTAAAGCTATACGACAATACGCGTCTGAAACTTTGAGAGGTTACTCTTTTAAGCGTAACAATATTACAATTTTGAAACAAGAATTAAACGCCACAACAATGTTTTTTTAAACTTCGAAATCACCTAACTAACGGGCAATATATTGTCAACCCAGTGTGAGGGGCCGAAAATCCAAATAAAATGGTCATCGAGAGAAATAACACCAAGCAGTCACTCACAACTAGTTTGACCATAACTAAATATTTATCTTGAGAGAAAACATAATAAAACCAATGAATGGGGGCTTCAAGTTAGTAATGGGAAAAACGAATAGGGACCTAAGCTAAGCATGGACAAGCAATTTTAGTAAATCACGTCATCTTGACAAACTGGCACGGCACAGTGACGGAAGTTCCGTTTCCTTTTCGGGTTCGATCCTGGACGTGGGATGTGGGTCAGGCCGTATAGTTACGCCTCTTTCACACGACGCGGCGCGCGCCGTGCGGCGCCCGCCGGATCCGGCGTAGGGCTATGGGAGCATATGAGTCCTTTCACACTATGTCCGGCGCGCGCCGCGCGGCGAATTCGCCGCACGGCGCGCGAGTTACCGCCGGATGCACCTTGAGCCGGACGACAGCGCCGCGCGGCGTCCACGCCGGACAACTCGGTGAAGGTGCATTGGTTCTTATGGGAGCTTTCACACGGTGCGGCGCGCGCCGCACGGCCCAACCCCTACGCTGCCTCATTTTAGGCAAACTACCTGACCAAGAGGGTGCAACAGTTAATTAAGAAATTATATATCGTTGTATCGGAAAATTATATATTTAAAGTTATTACAAAACATACATTTTTATGTTAATCCCATGCAAATCGACCAACTTAAAGTATTAAAACAAAAATTTTCTTTTAATAACTAGAGGAGAATATTTAGTATTAAATTAATAATTTAGTAATTTATACGTAATGAAACATTTTTTTAACTTCTAGAATACAATATTTTCAGATATGACGAATACTTATATATAATACGTGAAGGTGATTTCTACGAAATACTACTCCTCCGTTAATAATGAACCGATTTTTACAAACGATGTGTCAAAATTAAGTATTTGTTGTGTACACGCCCCCTTTCACCAATTCCTGTAGTAAAAGTCCTCGGGCTTTGCCCCTCAGGCTATCAAAATCCCAATGTATATTTTATGAAGACAAGATTTTGTTTAGTTAAACGGACGAATAATTTGTATTAATTACAGCTGTTCATAGTACACACATGATACACACAAGAGTTTTCGTTTTCAGTTTCGATAGATGGAGTGGAGTGAGCGTTCGTTTTCAGAGTGAGTTCGTTTCCAGTTTCGATAACTGGAGTGGAGTGATTGGTTACATTATCTTTGAGTTGACTCTCACACGTCAACGGAAATAGTGACAGTTATTCGTAAAAAAACTCCTTTAATATTTTGCAATTGCTCAAATTCGAGCAACAGGTGCACTAGTTTATTATATTTAAAATTATCCTATTCATTTAATTTGAACTTTTAAGTGGAGTATTAATTTAAAAGCCATAACTGAACAGAAAATAATAAATATTTAGGAGTGCCGTACGGCGCGCGCCGCACGAAACCGTACTAGTGTGAAGACACACGCTTGTCCGGCGCAGCGCCGCGCGGCGGACGCCGTACGGCGCGCGCCGCTTCGTGTGAAAGAGGCGTGGTAATGAAGCAGCAGTGGGCCACGACGAGCTTCACCACGACTCTACTACAGGTACCGTGGGCGTGGCGCTTCAATGGTCAACGGCAATGCTACAGGTCGCTGAAGCAAGACTCCGAAAAGCATTATTTTCGGAGGCACTGCACCGAAAGAAAGGTCATATACCTAGAAACGCATTTCTGGAATGTAGGTACTACTCCGAAAGAAAGATGCACGATTTGGCATAACCTAGAAATGTCTCTGAGGGAGTATTGCACTGCAATATATGCAAAGCACTACTCGAAAATGTGTTCCAATGCGGTATGATTTTCTGAGAAATTCCTGGAACTTTGTTTGGAAAAAAGTCTTAAAAAGACTGAATGGAAGAGGCGAACTAAGGGCCCATCCACGTCAACCATATCTTTTGAGAATGAAAAATCGTTAGACTCATGAGGACCAATATGATGACATTTCTAGAAAGTAAAATGAAATTTAAATTCCTACAATACAGCATAATCAATCAATACGAAACAAATTTACTACGAATAAAACCACGTACCGGTAACGATGATTCGCTAAAAATATAAAGAGCAGAAAATTTAACGCCTAGACGAGAATATAAAATGTCTGAAAAGTAAATTCAATAAGAGGTTTACGATTTCAAAAAGTGTAAAGATATAAAGGTTAAAATTAGGAAAACAACATTCAAAAGCAGAAAAGAATAAAATCCTAACACGCTCACTTCAATTTTCAACTGAAATTCACTAAAAATAGTACCTGAATCCACTCAGGAAAACGTCGTTTACGGCCAAACACTAACCTGAACATGCAAAGCAGGAGTGTTGCGGGTGGGAAAGGAATGCGACTTACCTTGGTGTGCAGGAAGGCCAAACTCTTATTGACGTTCTCCACCTTATGAACCCGCATCTTGCCGTTGTTGGGCTTGCCAAGCTTCTCGCCACTGATGATCTCCAACAGCTTGAGGAGCTTTCGCCCATCGGCCAGGTCCGTGAACAAGTCCTCCACCTCCATCCTTGGCTACAACAACACAAACATGAGTATATCTTGTAGCATCATTTGGAGATCTTTAGAAGCTTGAGTAGCTTTCGTCCAGTGGCCAGGTCCGTGAACAAGTCCTCCACCTCCATCCTGAGCTGCAATAACACACTCATGAGTATATCTTGTAGAGCTTCAATCATTTGGCGATCTTTAGAAGATTGAGCAGCTTTCGTCCATCGGCCAGGTCCGTGAACAAGTCCTCCACCTCCATCCTGGGCTGCAATAACACACTCATGAGTATATCTTGTAGAGCTTCAATCATTTGGCGATCTTTAGAAGCTTGAGTAGCTTTCGTCCAGTGGCCAGGTCCGTGAACAAGTCCTCCACCTCCATCCTGGGCTGCAATAACACACTCATGAGTATATCTTGTAGAGCTTCAATCATTTGGCGATCTTAAGAATAAGAATAAGAATAAGAATATCTTTATTGTCATTAAATACAAACAAAAGTACAATAGACAACGTCAAAATAAATACAAACTTTCTATGGATTAGGTCAATTGTGTTGAAAGAAAATAAGTTACAGCAGGAATTGAAAAGGGAAAAAACAATGAACTATATATTAGGTATTTGGTATTCTAAAAATTCTTTTACTGAAAAAAAACTTCTGTCAAGAAGCCAAACAGCCAATTTATTTTTAAATTTATTAAAGCTAAGCTCTTGAAACGATACAGGTAGCTTATTAAAGAGCTGTATTTGGAGGAATTTGTGGCTATTAGTTGATTTTGATAATCTTACTATCGGAATATCTAGGTGGTTACTTGTTCTAGTATTATAACTGTGAAATTCATTACGTTTTGGGAATGATGAAAGATTTTCTTTAACAAATAGCAAATTTTGAAAAATAAATATACACGGTAGAGTCATTATTCTGTGTTTGCTAAAAAAAGGTTTGCTGGTCGTTCTGCGTGGTATTTCAAAAATTATTCTCAGTGCTTTTTTCTGCCATGAGAAAACCTTTCTGGCTCCAGCGCTATTACCCCACAGAATGTTTCCATACAGAAGATGAGAGTGGAAGAAACTATAATAAGCAGTAATGAGCATACTATCCGAGACGCAACTCTTAAGTCTTCTCAACAAAAAGCAGACTCGGGAGATCTTAGACACAACATGCGTAGTGTGGCGTTGCCATGTAAGCTTTGCATCCAAATGTATGCCTAAAAGTTTCACTGTTGACGGGATATTTAAACCTTCAAAGTGTTTTAGCGAAAAGCAAATCCGCTCAGTTTTATCATGATTTAAGGTAAGAGAGTTTGCATTGAACCAATTAGACGATAAAGTAATTGCGTTGTTGACTGTGGCTTCAGACTCAGTAAAACTACAACTTGAGGAAAATAAAGTGGTATCATCGGCATATAAGAGTGATTGGCAAGATAAGTTACTAGGTAAGTCGTTAATCATTAAGAGAAACAGAATAGGCCCCAACACTGACCCTTGAGGGACTCCCGCTAGAATTTCCTCAAACTCAGATGAGTCCTGCCCAACAACCACTTGTTGGAATCTGCCACATAGATAAGTATTGAAGAAATTTAGCTCATTTTTTTGGACTCCATAAAATTTTAATTTATGCAAAATAATTTGGTGTGACGTACTATCGAAAGCTTTACTGAGATCCATTAAAGCTACGTTAAGATATTTGTTGTCTTCAAAAGATTTTAATACCTCAGAAATTAATTTGTCAACTGCCTGTATTGTTGAAAAACCAGGTCTGAAACCGAATTGAGCTGGGCTCAGAATTTCGTGCTTATCCAGATGACTGTAGAGTTGAGATTTCACATGATGTTCAATTATCTTTGAAAAGATTGGAATTATAGAAATTGGTCTAAAATTATCAATAACTGTTCTGTCTCCCTTTTTATGAATTGGGTGTGTTTTGGAAAATTTTAGGCTATGGGGAAATGTACCTGAAAAAATAGACAAGTTTATGAGATAGACTAATGGTTCTAAAATGAAAGGGATGATTTCCTTTACGACATTATTTGAAAAACCAAATATATCTTCGGATCGGGAGGTTTTTAATAATCTTACAATTGATAGCAATGACCGGTTATCTATTGGCTGAAGGTGGAACTCTTTGGTCACCGGCTTTACTTTTTGAAGAAAGTTGACAAAGTCACTATTGCAATTGGATGAATTAACTTTTTCGGCCACCCTTCTACCGATCTTAATGAAGTGATCATTAAACTCTTGAGCTGAAATTGGGGACTCAATCTTCTGTGCTTTGTTAATGTTGGATTCAAATTTTATGAGCCGCCAAGCGGCAGCGCATTTATTTGGCGCATTACTGACAAAACTGTCGTTGTATTTGATTTTAGCCTTAATGATAGCTGACCTGTATTGTTTCTTAAAATTAAGATAAAGTGCTTTCAACTTATCGTTTCTATACTTGGGTATTTTTAACAAGTCATTTAATAAAATTACAGTGTTTCTCTGTTCTTTCAGACTGCTATCAAACCACGGCTTTGAGACTCTTTGACTTCCCGGTACACATTTTTTTGTTATTCTAGGGCAATAAAAGTTATACAATAAAAGGAGTTTATCCAGAAATAATTTAAACGCTAGGTTGGCATCAGGAGTACAAAACAATTCATCCCATTCAGTATTGGCCAAAGAGCTAGCAAACAAATTGATCTGTTTTAGATTTCTATAGGAAATTACATCTAACTTGCATTTAAGGGGATTTTGTAATATTAATTCAAACCAAATAATTGAGTGATCGGAAATAGTATGGGGCCAAATTCCTTGTTTAAATTGAGATTTATGACAATTAGTGGCTATGTTATCCAGACAACTCAAGTTTCTGGTAGGCTCCCTATTTATACAGTACAAATTGAATGACTTAAGGATATTGAGAAACATATTACTGGTAACATTCTCTTTAAGTATATCAATGTTGAAGTCACCCCCCAAAATCAATCGATAATTAGTTTTTTTCTTACACACATAATCAAGTAAGGCATCTAGTAAACTTAAGAAGCTATTAACATCGGAACTCGGATTTCTGTACAATGATATAACTACCACCTTATAATCTATAAGCTCAATACAAACTGCTTCCATTAATCCTACTTGTGTTAGGTGAGATACATCGATTTTGTTACATTTGAGATGTTTGAGAATAAAAATCAATCAATCACTTGAAATAACCAATCAAATGTAAGGAGTAAAATCAATCAATCAATCATCATTTAGAAGATTGAGCAGCTTTCGTCCATCGGCCAGGTCCGTAAACAAGTCCTCCACCTCCATCCTGGGCTGCAACAACACAAACCTGAGTATATCTTCCTGTACAGGTTCATCATTTGGTGATCTTTAGAAGATTGAGCAGCTTTCGTCCATCGGCCAGGTCCGTAAACAAGTCCTCCACCTCCATCCTGGGCTGCAATAATACACTCATGAGTATATCTTGTAGAGCTTCAATCATTTGGCGATCTTTAGAAGATTGAGCAGCTTTCGTCCATCGGCCAGGTCCGTGAACAAGTCCTCCGCCTCCATCCTGGGCTGCAACAACACACTCATGAGTATATCTTGTAGAGCTTCAATCATTTGGTGATCTTTAGAAGCTTTTGAGCAGCTATCGTCCAACAGACTTGGATCTTTGCTTAGAACTATTCATAGGCCCGATGGTCAAAGACAGTTGGATCCTGTTTCCAGCAATCAAATAGCTTCTGACCATTCACAGGATCTTATCCGCCTTACAAGTACAAGTACATACCCGTCAACCTCTATTTTTGACTACGAAATCTTGACGACAACTATGGGCTCTTCTTATAAGTTAGAGCTTATCTTAACTGAAGAAATTTATATAAAATTAAAACGATTTCCTGAGTCATCGAATTCAAATTCCTTTTAGTTTTTGGACTAAAGTCCGTGAATGCTCATCATGTCCGCCCATGAGACCAAGCGTTTGATATTCAGTTCCAGGATACAGAATCAGCTTAACAAAATTCCCGAAGAAAGCACTTTTACTCTAACCAACAATAATTAACAAATCCTCTGACAAATCCTTCCCAAACACCTGCCTGAACACCTTTCCCATTGAAGAAAGACTTGGCAAGAATGTACTAACCACACGACCAGTATTGCACGACACATAATCGTATTAGATGGCACAGATGTGTCGGTCTGATAACAAAGTAAACACGTCACGGCCGAGTGCCTCCGCATGTTAATGAGTTGCGGATGGCAAATGGCGGATGGCGGATGCAACGCTGTGACCTAATTATCACGAGTCTGTGTTGGTGTGCACTGACCGCTGGAACTCTTCCGGTCTGATTCATACGCACAACGTCCACTGATTACCAGTCCTTTACCTCTGTGCGAATATTACACATGGCTGGCCGCGTGCCATCGCGTGCTCTTGGAGTATTGGATCATCATATGTTTCCAAATATGGATTCCGGGTCTTTTGCAGAAGACTTTAAGCACTTACACTTTCAGCATCTTTTGGATAGTCCAAAATGGGGCATAATTATTGAAATAGAACCTGGTCGAATAAGCTCACAGAACGCAGTTCATGAGATCAAAAAGATTCTATAGTTTTGTCCTAACGATTTCACTACTTTTAATTGACACTAGTGTACTCTGATGGCTAAACTAAACAATATTAATTTTGTAATACTGACTACAGCTTTTACAAGGAATGGATTGTCCCACAGATCAAATCCCACAGAACAATGAATGAAGTTAAATACTTGGGCATGACCCTTGATAGAAGTCTTACTTGGAAAACCCATATTTGGAACAAGAGACTTTCGTGAAATTTAAAATTTAGAAATCTTTCTTGGCTATTAAAATGGAAAAAATTTGGCTATTGGAAATTCAAAATTAACAACAGAAAATAAATTACTGTTATACAAAACTTTTCTCAAACCAGTGCGGACGTACGGCATTCATCTGTGGGGAACATCAAGCATTTCAAACATAAATATAATCCAAAGATTTCAAGCAAAAGTTTTAAGATTCATCCTGCAAGCCCCT